GAGATTTGGTTATACTTCCTACGGCTTTCCGAGGAAGCAGAACTGTCTATGCTCGTGGCTATCCAGGGCATAGTAGACGTTCGCGTAACCAGGTCTTCTTTCCGTTCGTTAGATATTAGACCGTATTCTAGGGTCTTCACACCTAACCGCTCTACGCGAGTCATTACGCTCGTCAGGACTCGATTGTCGCTGTCTCAACCCCACAACTCGGCTTAACCCCTCGAACAGGGTAGTGCACTCCGGATGTGGACAATCGACTCATGGAGCTCAAAACTGCCCTCGAGCTCAGAAAGCTTGATGCAGCTTCACCCTACTACCCTGAGGTGTGGCATCGGCATCTCCTTGCAGCAGGTCTACAAGGAAAATACCCCAACATCCCCCATGGCCTCCGTTTTGGCTTCGATGCAGGCATCAGACACATCACCCACACCTTTGTCCCTCCTAATCGACCCTCTCTCTACGAACACCAGGCAGAGTTTGACAAGATCGTGCACGCTGAGCTTCAGAGGGGCAGATACGTTGGCCCTTTCACCCAGGCACAGGTTGAATCCCTGCTGGGAGCGTTTCACACGTCTCCTCTCAGCATCATTCCAAAGCCCGGACAGCCGGGCAAATTTCGCATCATCCAGAACCTTTCCTCCCCACATTCCCCTCGGGGGCCCATATCCTCCATCAACAGCTCCATTGACTCAGACCTGTACCCCTGCACCTGGGGTACTTTCTCCACCATCTGCCTGCTCATCTGGCACCTCCCCCCAGGCTCGCAAGCAGCAGTGCGTGACGTCAAGGAGGCATACAGAAACATTCCCATCAAGCCTGAACAATGGCCAGGGCTGGTTGTCCGCCTCAACGAAGACAATAGCTTTGCGATCGACACACAAGACTGTTTTGGTCTGGCTTCTGGGGGAGGCCTTTATGGCTGCGTGGGTGATGCAGGAGCCCAGATCATGCGCCACTGTGGTATTGGTCCCCTCTCCAAATGGGTGGACGACCACATTTTCTTTCGCATCCTCCACTGTCACCTCGACAAATACAATGCCAGCCGCAAACAGCGTGCATGTTGCATCACTGAGAATGGGGGCGAAATCCATGACGGAGGACGCCTCTGGTTCAAGGGCGACATTATGCCAAATGACCAACATGAGGAGTTCAATGAAGATCTCTCGTGTGCTATCCAAGACCTCTCACAAGCTTCAGACAGGTTTGTCATGTCCACTGGCACCAGCTAACCATGCCCTGACCACACCAACAGATCCCCTGAAGACAGACAGTTTACATACTGCATGGCGGACATCGACGCCTTATCCGACGAACTGGGCATCCCATGGGAGACCAAGAAGGACATCCCCTTCAGCTTCATTGCCCCCTTCATCGGCTTCTCCTGGGACCTCACCAATCGCACAGTCAGCCTACCAGAGAGCAAGAAGGCGAAATACCTCCAGGCCATCCTGGAGTGGGAATCCAAACCGAAACATACGCTGGACGAAGCACAGAAGCTATACGGAAAACTTTTACATGCCTGCCACGTTCTACCTGCCGGACGCGCATACCTCACCAACCTGGAAGCCTTCATGGGAGTATGCCACCGTGACAGTCCTTTCCACCTGCGTTCACCACCCCGCGGAACTCTGAGCGATCTTCTCTGGTGGAAGAAGAGACTCACCCAACCAACCATCATCAGAGGCATCCCTGGACCTTTCCCCATCCTTGACACCAACGCTTACTCAGACGCTAGCTCTGAAGTTGGTATTGGGATCACGGTGGGCAACAGATGGAGAGCCTGGAGGCTCTTGCCAGGGTGGAAAGCCAACAGCAGAGACATTGGCTGGGCAGAAGCAGTCGGCTTTTGGTTCCTCGTCCTCACGCTTGCACCGACAACACCAAGAGGAACTCAAACCAAGCTTTTCGGAGACAACAGAGGGGTCGTTGAGGGCTGGTGGAAAGGCAGAAGCAGAAACAGACCCACAAATGACGTGTTCAAGCACATCCATGCCCTTTCAGAAACGCAAGATATCCTTTTCCACACAAGATATGTCCCCAGCAAAGAGAATCCTGCAGACGGCCCTTCCCGGGGAGAGCACTATCACAGGTCCCTCCTCCTCCCTGCCATCGTCATCCCTCCATCAATCCAACAATACATATGCGACTTCGATGCGCCTCTCACACCAGCTGAGTCGCTCCTTCTACAGCAGGGGAAAGCACCCACTCCCCTCCCCAGGGCTGACCGCTCGTCACTACAACAAGAACGGACAACCATCAATGCCGCACTCGAAGAGCACGCCAGAGCCACCTTCGCCCAGACAAGGCAATGGCTTGACAGCTAACCGTTTCCGCCGTGTAGTCACACACATACCCAAAGCAGCCAAACCTGCACGGTACGCCAAGGACCTATGTCCTCTCCCATCTGTTAGACGACCACACGTGCTCGCTAGCGAGCGTCTGCAATGCTGGACCCCACTGGGCGGGCGTGAGTTTGCCATGAACACTCCCTCGAGTTTAACCCCAGACGATATCCGACAAATCACCATCGTTATGGGAAAGTCATGGGAGGAATCCACCCTAGCAGCATATGGTTCAGGCCTCCTGAACTTCCACGTCTACTGTGACCAGAAGGGCATTCCAGAGGATCAACGTGCACCAGCCAGCCCGCTCCTCATTCACGCCTTCATCTCAGCACTCGCAGGTGCTTACTCCGGCAGCACCATTGACAACTACGTCTACTGCATCAGGGCATGGCACCTCATTCACGGTGTCAAGTGGCAGATGGAAGTGGCTGAGCTCGAGGCACTCCTCAGAGCGGCGGAGAAAACTACCCCAGCCACCTCAAAGAAGAAGAAAAGGGTACCCTACACCTAGTGCTTGGAAGTTAGGTTAATTAACTGGAAAATAACTGAGACCAGACTAGACCTAACCGCAAAAAAACCGGACCGCGGTTAGTGGTTAGTCAATTCTGGAAATGAAATAACCGGTTATTTTGCGGTTAACTAACCGTTAAAAAACCGGTTATGACCGGTTACAACCGACCCTATTTTACCCCTTCAAAACGCATCTAAAAGCATGAGAAACGCTAAAAATCTGACAGAGTTATGGTCAAATCTCTAAATTATTGGCTAAAATAGTAGGCTTTCAAGAATATTATTATAAAATTGTCAATTCTTCACCGAATTTAGCGTTCTTGGGCTTGTTTTAAAGCTACGACGCATGGCAATAATGTTTACTGCAAGGAATATGAGAAATATACGCCGTTTTAATCGATTTTCTATTTTTTCGGTCCTAACCGGTTAGTAACTGCAACTAACCGGTTTTCATCGGTTATCTTCGGTCCAGTTAGGTTATTTTGGGTCTGGGAACAAACCCTAACCGGTCTCGGTCTCAGTTAGAGCCCCTGGGCACCCAATAACCTAACCTAACCGGACTTTCAAACACTACCTACACCCCATCTTTCATACTTGCAGTAAAAGGGCAACTGCAGCTGGACAAACCACGAGACGCGGCTGTATACAGCTGCCTCACCACTGCTTTCTACGCCACTGCCCGCTTGGGGGAATTCACGGTCCCAAACCTCAGGGCCTTCGACCCAAGTGCACACGTCAAACCCTCTGACGTCCGAATTGAGCATGACCGAAACAGTCTCCGCTCCACCATCTTTCACATCCCCAAGACCAAGACCTCCCCCCAAGGCGAGGACGTCTCCTGGTCCAAACAAACAGACGGCACTGACCCAGAGGCAGCCCTCGCACACCACCTAGCCATCAACAAGCCCCCTGCTGACGCCCACCTCTTCTCCTACCTCAAAGACAGCCGCTTCCGCCCTCTCACAAAAACAGAATTCACTCGCACAGTGGCAGAAGCTGCCAGGAAGGCAGGTCTGGACCCACGTCAAGGGCACGGCATTCGCATCGGTTCAACACTGGAATACTTGCTGAGGGGCACCCCTTTTGAGGTCATGAAGGTCAAAGGCCGTTGGGCCAGTGACGCCTTTCTAATCTACTTGACAAAACATGCACAGATCCTCGCCCCATACATGCAGGCAGTCCCAGAGGTGCACGAAAGTTTCATCAAGCTCACCATGCCGCACATCCGGAGGTAGTGTGCTTTCCACTCCATGGTAAGTCACCCCTGCCCTGCTCCTAGTGTTGTGGTTTCCGAGACTTGCTCGACGCGTCGCAGGACTCCTAACTCTCGGGAATCGCAGCTCATCTCGTTTTGCCCACAGTTTTTGGATCACCCTGCCGGGACGGAAAGCCTCATGGCTTTCGCCCATTATTGCTCGCTACGCTTCCGTATCTCTCGCTCTCTTTGCAAGGACATTACCACTACCTTACCTACCTACCTACTGCCTCTCCATGCACGTAATGTGCTTGCTCTGTACCCTAGACGCCCTCAGCCTAATACAAAGATTCTTGCCCTGAAACGAAGCGAGGTACGAGTGCAGGGTTAGGGCGCGGTCTTAGTATAGGGCGTGTGATAGTCTAGGTAGAAATCACTCTCTCTTTCTACCACGACAGTCACCACCCCTCTGAGGTCGTCTGACTGGCCAGTTCTTTTTCCCCACCCTCCACTCCCAAAAGAACCTCTATCGGCATCAGCCTATCGAGCACCCGCACGCTTCCCGCGCAGGAGGACTCCTCTGCTCTGAAGCAAGACACATGCTGCACGGGTGAGTTTATCCCACCCACCCTCGCAGCTCATCTCGTTTTGCCCACAGTTTTTGGATCACCCTGCCGGGACGGAAAGCCTCACGGCTTTCGCCCATTATCACTCGCTACGCTTCCGTATCTCTCGCTCTCTTTGCAAGGACATTACCACTACCTTACCTACCTACCTACTGCCTCTCCATGCACGTAATGTGCTTGCTCTGTACCCTAGACGCCCTCAGCCTAATACAAAGATCTGAACCGTGGTACAGATATTCGGTATCAGTTGACGCACGTGCCAACCACTCGCTCGCGTCAACTAATTAGCAGTTTATTACGCATCTGCAGCCTTATTTCTTCATCTGTCCTTTACAAAATCCATTCTACCATAGTTTTAGATAGCTTTACACATTGTTAAACTGTAAGACCTCAAACTTTGTAGGGTCACGACCGTGCGAGCCTGCGAAGTGGTTGCTGCATAGTGTTGCCGAAGTTCAGTCCCGAACCGACGGTTCGGACTGAACTGCCAGAACTGAACTGACAGTTCGGTTACGGTTCTGGTTTCCGTTCGGGCTGAGGTTGTCAGTTCCAGTTCACAGTTCGGGCCTCTGAGGAATTTTTGAGAACGGAGTTCGGACCCGTTCGAACCGAACTGAACGTACATATTTCATCCAAGATTTTTGGCTGTTTCGGAGATTCAATTTGCGCGGCTAACGCCATGTAAACAAATTTTGATAGAATCTCGACATCAGTATCAACGCAACACCTCACTAACTATGCCCACCTCGGACGCTCCAGCCCTGAACCCTGACGGCACCCTCAAGGACGCGAGTGAAATCGAGTGGTTGAACTCCCCGAGCGATGAAAACCGCACCGTAAGCCTCGAAGACCCCAAAAAGCGCAAGAGAACAAACAGTGAGCACGATACTGATGAGTTACCTAGTGCCTTGAAGGAAATAGCCCCGGCTCGACGCGTTGGGACGAAGCGCGTGAAAATCCTGTCCAAGAACGTTCAAAGGATGGCTGCGGAGAACAACCAGTTCTCCGCACTACAACAAAATTTCTTCAAGAATCACTTTCAAGGCAAGTATCACTTCGACTACTTCAACTGTTACATTACTTACTTATCAATGTAGTCGGGGGTGCTTCAAACTCTGGTGCATTCCATATTTCTTATCTAAATGACACACTATTTATAGGAAGCCAAATCTAGGTGATGGTGCCACGCCCACCCAATCGACGCCATCAAACTCGAGACGCCGTGCCGCCTCAGCTCCTCCTTCTCCCGAGAGACCCCCTGCACCTGTTACCTCCAAGTCCAAGGTCTCGACTGCTCCAAAGGCGAACGCTAAGAAAGGAGCAACGAAACCCAAGTCGGCGAGGGCTGTCATCATCAGCGACGACGACGACGACGACATTGACGACGACATTCTTGGTAACGACGACCACAACAGTTTGGACGAAGATGGGGATGGAGGTGGGTGTGATGAGGGGAGCGAGCCCAAGGATCCGTTAGCGGAATATGAGAAGATGCGAGAACAGATACAGCATGAGCGCGCGGTGCGTGCTCACACCTTTCTTCTATCATCGCATACTCACATTGAATGACAGCCCGCAAGGAAACATTCTCATCGGGGCCAAGATCTACGCACGCAGGACCTGCGCGCTATGTTTACGCCTGGCGAAATTAAAAACCAGGCAACAAAGGAAGCAAAAAAAGGGCATTTCTGCCACGCATGCATGTAAGTGTTCTTTTCCTTGAAATTTCTCCTGGTGAACACGTCTCTACAGCGCCAATGGATCCGACCGCAAGAACAGCTTCTTAGCTGGAGATAACAGTACATTACGAACGCATATTTCACGGTAGGTTTCTCAACGTCATTTATTTCACCATTAACATGCTCTCAAGGCACTGGTCTTCTCATGGTGAGATGTACCTTGCAAAATGCAAGGAACTTCAAATCGAACCTCACGCGCGCGCTATGCCCAAGTCTGAAGACGACAAATCCTCAGATGGAACAAGACAGACTAGTCTTGATGGATTTGTCCAGGGCGTCGCCTCCGTCAAGTGGAGCAAGGAAGGACTCCTTGAACATATCTTGGATTTTGTGCTTTCCGATGATCAGGTACGTCGACACCCATACTGTACTTTATGAGTTTTTTATGCCCTTTCTTGCAGTCCTGATACAAAGCTTAGCATTACATCCTTCCATCAAGGATCGATATTGTAAGGAAAAATGGGATGCAGAGTCTTATGAGAGGGGCTATGTGTCTCTTCTAAAAGTGGTATGTCCCTCAATAACAGATAATTTGGTGCTGATAGATCACATTGTTAGTTTGACTCCTACTACAAACATCCAGAGAATCCAACATCGTCCTCCACTGCAGGGGCTTCCAATGAAGGTAAAATCTTTAATCTCACTATTGAACCAGCTTAACCAATTTATTTAGAACCCAAAAGCGAATTCAAAGGCTATGGTTCTGATTGGCTTTTGTCATCTTTGAAGGAAGCCCCAGAGGCTGCGAACTCTGCTACTCATAATCCACGAAAGGAACTCCTCGATTACCTAAAGAGCAAGCTAGCATCCACAAAAAATCCAGTTGAGTGGTGGGGTGTACGTACTTCCATGCTATCTCATCTGTTCCTACTCAGCAATATTTTACAGAAAAACGCGAAAGACTTCCCGACCCTTGCACGCATCGCACGTGATTATTTGGCAATTCAAGGTTCCTCTGTAGCTTCTGAGAGAGCCTTTTCAAGTGGCGGGCTTACAGATACTTTGCAGCGTAACCGAATGCAGCCATTTCTTTTTGGTCGGGTGCAAATTCTCAAGCATGCTTATAAAACACACCTTCTTGATGCTTCGGTGGAGGCCAGTGCTCACCCAGAACATAGATACATTAGTATTTAGAAGCTAGAATATATAATCCCTTTCTATGAACATCAGGGCCTCAAGTTGTTTGTACTACTGTGAATTTACTAGAGTTTTGGCTACTTGTGGTTCTAATTTCTGTTTGAGTTTTCTCTTATAATACTCTGGTTTATAATTTGTATGGTGGACTTATGCCTTTCAGAATTGCTTCAGACATTTTTTGGAAGTATAAGAACAGATGCAAGAGCTTAATTTCTGTTTGAAGTCAGAAGTGAGCACCAGTGTGGGAACATGGGATAATGAGACATTGACCCACTCAGTTAAATTTTCTCTTTCAATATTCTGGTTTATAATTTTTATGGTAGCCTTATGCCTTTCAGAATTGCTTCAGACATTTTTTGGAATGATAAGAACAAATGCAAGAGCTTAATTTCTGTTTGAAGTCAGAAGTGAGCACCAGTGTGGGAACATGGAATGATGAGACATTGACCCACTCATTCAAAATTTCTCTTGCAATACCCTGGTTTATAATGTGTATGGTAGCCTTATGCCTCTCCTTCAATTAATGTAATCCCACTATTCTATTACTACTCTGGCCACCACCCCAATAAAGGTACTTACAACATACATTTACTACCTATCATAGCCTACAGAGGTTTGTGCACACCTATATGAACTGATAGGACCCACAAAGTTTACACAACTACAACCAAATTACAGGGAAAAAACATTTTCCTCATGTCTTGAGGAAATTATCATTTTTTTCAGCCAGTTCGGCAGTTCGAACTGAGAACTGAACTGAACTGAACAGGAAAGAACAGTTCTTACCAGTTCAGTCCTGTTCGGTTCTCAGTTCTGCCCGGGGGCTGTCAGTCCAGTTCTCAGTTCTCAAAAAGTGCCAAAGAACTGAACTGAACTGAACTTTGGCAACACTAGCTGCATCCTGATCTGAAAGTCCCTGAAGAGTATTGATAATGGTGCTATAAGCTGGCATTTCTCCAATCCGGCTGCCGTAAGCAAAGAGGTCGACCGGTGCAGAGGACGCGAAGTGACCACGCACGAGAGGCAATAATCGAGCCTCGTTGTTACGTGCGAAGTTCAGTGTCAAAAACAACGGCTGGTGCTTCTGTATAAAAGAATAAAGCACACCTTAGGGAAGGATGCACAGACCAAGGTGACCTGTATAGGTCGTGATATCGCCATTATCGTTGATCTGGTTTCGGTTTCGCAGAGGGAATTCACGCAAAACAGAGGAACCAATACCTGGCGTGCACACCGTTCTGGAGGTATCATCACCTAGCAATTTGGGATGTAAGCTTTCGAATACTAAAATTAAGAAAAGGAAGGACGACTAACCTTGCTAGTTGATCTGGTCATGCAATTAACATACCTCTACTCGGCATATAATTATGAAATCTTTGTTGAACTCACCAATTAGCAGGGCATTTGACGCTGATGAGGAAATCCCGAAATGACGTGAGTCTCCTTGGTGAGATATCGATGACAGGGTTGAGACAATGACTTACCTTGAGTGTACTATCCATTGAAACTGGGAGTCTTCACGCATACCAATCATATGTACTTTGAAACCCCTGTCGGACTTACTAGGCATTGGAGCGCTCGACGTTGACGAGCGGATTCTGGAATTACAAGAGTCTCCTTGGTGAAATATCATAGCAAAGTCGAGACAACCGCTTACCTCCAGCGTGCAGCTGCTATCCCCTTAGAGCCGGGAATCTCCACGCACACAATTTCCAACTTCGTTCGACCATCTTGAGTGTGGAGTTGAGCGAGGGGAAACTCCTCGCTCCGTCGATTCTTAAATTCCTGGCATGCGTTTCCCCCAGCAACTCCACGTTCACTCTTTTGCCCATCTTCGTCGAAGATCAGTCCAAACGACATCGGTTGGGTACCTGAGGAGAGAGGCGAAGGAGCGGTCAAGATTGGGAGGTGCAGGCTTGTTGCCCATGCAGGGGAGGGTGGAATTGAGGGAGCTGTGAAATCGGCTGTCATCAACTTTTGGTTTCGTTTAGAAAGAGTGGGCGGCTGTGAGCACGCACTCATACTTGAGAAAGTAGCTGCCATCTACGGAAACACTTGTTACATAGTTATCGTCGTCATAGAAACGAATATGAACTCACTTGACATATTTTGTCAAGCGAACCAGGAGGCGCAAAGCTGGCCTACCGCCATGCAAATGAGGACTCGACAAAGCACATATATTGGCGCCGGGACACGACCTGCTGAGCCACTGTGCAGTACCTCCATCCTCGCAAAAAAAGTTTTAGGTATGAAGGTGGAAGTTCGAACGAACCCTGCGCCTTCGGATGCTGTGGCCTCAATGATTTGGCTACTCGTTTGAGCGATGTTCACGCTGTAAGATTGTTATGACGAAAAAGAGAGACAAAGGAGCAACAGCCTGTGAGCTCACCGTAGAATGGGGAGTGAAGTCGATGATGGTGTGCAGTGAGATGTTGGTGAGAAGGAGCGGCAAGCGCCATCAAAGCCGAAGCGAAGAAGCAAGGATATCATGATCAGCGCCTATTCTTAGCGAGCGCGCCGCCGTCGGTCTAGTAGTGCTTCCCGCCACTTTCAGTGCTGAATGGCACTTTTGTAGAGATCTCGATGCGATCCCGACCTATTTATAGATGGCAGCGCCGAGTGACCGAGGTCTTCAAGGCCAATTACCTATTGCCAAATAATTGGCCTTAGAAGGCTTCGATCACTAATAACTGTCATACCTTAGGTGACTGACCTCGTATTCCATGGCACAGCATTGTATCCGAGTCGTATCTGGCGGCAGGGAGTGTCATAACGGCGAAGAAGAATTTTACCATTGTGCTCGTTGGTGCGTCCCGCTTTTCATGGTCAGATCTCTAAACCCAGTCTCTTGTTGTTGCGATAAAAAGGCGAGACCGGAACTGGCAAGACTAGTTTCCTTTCTCTGCTCGTCAACGTCCTGGCAGGCAGGTCGCCAGACGATTACGACTTGCAACCGTACGACGTGACGAACGAGTGCAGCACAAAAGCACAGCCAAACCAACACTTCCAAGGTCTATAGATTCGCAAGCGTAAATGGCGTTGGCATCACCGTGCTCGACACCCCTGGCCTCGCGGATACCCGGGGTCTTCAGAAGGACAATGAACACAAACAGAGCATCACCACCGCTATTCGGGATAATTTCCCGGAGGTGACGGCGGTGATCATTCTAGCCAACGGCACCAACCCACGTCTTGGTGTTGCTGAGGTGGAGGGCGATACCGACGAGGACGATGAGGACATTTCAAATGGGCTGAAAACCGATGTCAGCGCAGCCCATCAAGCGACTTTGATGGTGCTGGTTAAGATTTTTAATTGGGTTGATGGTCTTGAGCCTCAATCAACAAACGCGTCGCTCTACAAATCAATGGAGGTCCAGCACAGAATTAGCAGCACGCTGGCCCGCATGACGCAGCTCGCCGGAGTGGTGGATGCGTTAAAAGGGTTAGTCATGGATTCCAACGGGACCGAGTTAGTAAGTTACTCAAAAGTCTTGACAGCCGTGCACTCACCTGTGATTGTAGAGCAAAAGGTTTCAAGTTGGTCATTCAAAGGGGAATCTGGGTTCTCCAGATCAGCGATACGCAAAAACACTGTCTGCCATTTTCCACTTTGCTACACCAATTGCCACGAGAAATGTTCGGGCGGCTTTACCCTTGGACGTTGGAAACTAATTGAATGCCGCAAATTGGCCAATAATCGTGGTACTTGCAAAGAGTGCAGGCACCCCATCGTGTATCATCACCATGACAAGGTCGCCTGGTGTGAGAAGGTGGAAGAGAAAAGTAACTACGACGGCACGACTAGCGTTTCAATTGCAGAAGTCCAGAAGACCAACGAGATTTACAATAAGGAGATCGAAGAGGCAACTGACGAAATCGGTAGTCTCGCTGAGAAGTATTCCGAGCTTTCGCTTTCTGGATCCTTCTCTGGTCAAGTCGGGAAGTCGGTGACGCTCTTCGAGACACACCTGGAAAACATGAGAAACAAATCGGACCCGGAGAGCGTCAAACGGTTAGAAGAGAGCTTGAATCAGCTCAAGAACAAGCTCCGCCTGCTTCAGGACGCAGCAAAAGCGGCGCATAAGAAGGTGTACCGGCCAACTATCGCGGATTAACTGAGTCATCCTGCCTCCTCGTGAGTCCAAGTCAATCGTCTTTGCAACTTCTCGATTACTGACATGTCCCAGTAAGTGTAGCCACAATACCAGGATGTTCATATTTCTTGCTTACTTCTGGTATTGTGATATTCATTTCTTGTCCTCGGCCTTCGCCTGTACGCTCCCCCTTCATTTTTGTTGTCATTTGGGTCATTGCTTGAAGCTGGTCTTGATGAACCATTTGATCCCTACGATTTGCGCCGTAGTCTTTCAAAAGGGTACCACGATGCAGCATTTGCCAATGTGTTTTCTGAGTGGTGTGCCAAACCTTATTTGTTCCGTTCGAGATCTATTCTGCGTTCAAAGCAGAATTTGAATTGATTGATGCTACACATGTTCATCGTTCCTATGAATCTTTGAGCGAGAGACGCATTGAAAGAGCATCTTCGCCGTCTCCATCTGTATCTTAAAGTTAGCGTTGACGGAAATAACGAGGGAGCCGCTCACAATATTTATCCTCAACCTTGGCAACTTCAAATCCTAACGTGTCGCGATACAAAGCTATTGCAGCTTTGTTAGATTTTCGTACATGTAGCGAACAAAATGAGGCTTTGTAAATGTTAGCCATTGCTTCTTCTACAGGACTGACGGTTTAGCGTAGGGGTAACAGCTATTAGAAACGCACGGGATAGAAGCATTAGCTTCTTTGCGAGCCCCAGCCGTCTATATGATCGTAGTACCGATATCGAGTTGACATGCCCATGAATCGGTTCTCCTTCCTCCTCTGGCTCATCTCTAAAAATAAAGACGTCAAAGCTGCCCATAAACAAGAATAACAACGGTCAAACATCTTAGCAAGGACGTATCCAACAGTTCGACCCTTATGATCTTCTGCAACGAAAGATATTTGCGGCCATGTCATAGCATGGTATATCCCTTGTGTGAATTCAATCAGCGTCGAAAAGGGAAAGAGGAAGAGGGCAGTGCGAACAAAACTTCATCATGTAGTTCTCCGGGAGATTCTGCAAGTTCGTCGACTGCATTCCCATAAGATCCTCGACCTATACTGAATGAAGTGTGAGCAAGCCTCTCATTTCTAGTGCAAAGTTATCAAGGCGCGAGTAGTACCGGGCTTACCCTTGCGAGACGAATGTTCATTTTGGAATAAGATATCCTTGTAGTCGTAGAGTGAGAGCCGATTGACCAAAATTGTGTGACAGCCTGTCACAACGTGCCTCAAGGCCACAAGTTCAAGTCGTCCCCATTTCCTCCTCGAATTGTTCTCCTTTTCTCTGTCAAAACTTCCACATTCCACAAGGACATCCTTTGCTTCAGCGGACGGATTTACGCGTCAAATAACGCTACGTTCGCAAAGTGCTAGTTAAGAAAGTCTCCAACTTTCGAGGATGCGATTCAGCGCTCCGAGGTCTCTTTCGCCGTCGCCAGTGCGGGGGTGAGTGGTTTTTGGCGAAATTTTGAACACAAATAATGAATGTGTTACAGGAGACGACGAAATTCATGCTCATTCGGTCTACAAGACGATTCTGACGAGTATGATTCTTACTCGGAGTCAGAATCGGAAACAGATTCCACAGAGGATACCTCGTCATCTAGTTCAGCGTAGTCCTCCGATGAAGATTCACCCCTGGCGTTGTGAGGCTCTTACACTTGTTAAAATGGAACGTCTCCTGATTGGCTCATAAGACGACCAAAGCACGTTATCCGAGATCCCACAGAACAGCGACAGATCGAGGACACAGTAGCTGCTATACGACTGCGTACACGACATTATGACCCTTATGAAGAATGGGAGAAGCAGACGCGTAAAGACGCTTTTGTACGTGTATGACATTTAAGGTGGCATTGCGTCTAATTTAACGCGACTCCTACTTCAGCGCACTGCACGAAAGGAGCAAGCGATGTCACAAACACGGCTGCATGACGAACAGGATCGATTACGCGCGGCTGAGGCCAAGCGAATCGCCGCCCACCATGCGCAGCAATTAACAGAGGTGCAAGGAAAACTCAATGCGCTTAAGCTCCAGCAACAGGCTGCTGAGACTAAGTTGAGAGAGTACATGAAGGCGCGCGATAAGTTACTATGGCAGCGGGTCGAATCCGTCATCAAGATGGAAGAGGACAAAGTGAAGGCGCGTTTGGAAAAGGAGAAGAAAGCCAGAGAAGAAGAGGAGCGTTTAGCGAAAGAGGCGGAGTTGAAGAGGCGCTTAGAGGAAGAAAAGAAGAAAGAGGAAGAGGAACGGAAGAGAAAGGAGGCAGAAGAGGCGCAGAGGCTAGTAGATGAGAGAGAAAAAAAGGAGGAAGAGGAAGGTGCCCGAATAACTGAAGAAAAAGATAAAACGGAGAGGCTCAAGGCCGAAGAAGAACAGCGAAACGCAATGGGGATGACAATGGAACAAAGCACGAGACACTCTCCTTGTACGTCAGTTTCGATTTGCAGGCTCTACCCTTCCTGACGTCAACATAGCATTTAAAAGGAAAAGCGATGAAGTTTGTCAAGAGCAATCCGGAGCTCAAGGCCGAGTGGGGCAAGGGGCGTCGGCAGATCACACCCAAAATCGGACAGCTAACAAACGATGAGGGGGCCATCACACGCATTGTAAGTTGATCGTTTCTGATCGAATTCACATATTTCTCACAACTGGTCCTCGCAGTCTAACCAACTCGTCGAGATTATCCGGCCCTCCAATGGTCAAGCCCACCATCCAGCAGTATACGCTGCCCTCCTCTCCTCTCTCGCCAAAGCCATTCTTTTACAAGCTGAGACAGAAGTCACTGCCGAAAAACGGAGTGCAATGCCCCTTGCAAAAGTGGCATTTAACCTCCTCGACACTCTGGACCACTTCCCCGAGATATTTTTCGCCAAGCTCGTACAACGCGTAGGAAGCTGGGCTATACCCGCCGTCGTTCCCGCCGTAGACATCGATGGGGAGCCATGGGAAAATAGGTCCAAAGTTATGGGATATAGGAAGAGCGAAAACTCTGATGACTTGGAATCGCCAGCAGAGTATGGAAATCGCGTATCGGGGATTATGAGAGTTTACTTCCATATTCTGAAGATACCCCCGCGTCAGCAGCCTTTAAAGCCGATGTATCAGCTGCCAAGGTATTGGATATGGTTTGCTAGGCTGATAGGGGAGAGGGGGCTTTTGGAGACGGCGATAGCGCCTCAGCTCATCTACAGTCGGTGTTTCTGTTTTCTTACCTCAATCTTCGCTGACTATTTTTCTCAAAGCTGCGCTTGATGTCCTTGGATCCGATGCCAGAGATATTTGGGGCTACCAATGGGTGAAGCTTCTCGCCCTGGTCTACGAGGGTGTTACCGCCAGCTTAGAAGGTGGCAATTTCATCGGAAGCGAGTCTCCTGAAGGCAAAGCAGCCCGGGTTCGCGTCCAACTAGAAATCGAGAGAATCATGACTGGCGTGCGGTCGTAGTTCTGGGCTTGCTAGGCCTCTTTGTATTGTGCATGTGCTTTCGACACTTTTTATGACACTTTTACGATGATCGTTACTGCATCCCACGCACGATTTAAATATATGTAATTTATGATTCTACAGGGTTCTGCACAAGTCATCCAAGTTTGACAAAGAGCATGGGCGAAACAGTAGTACTAGTAGTGGCTGGCGTAGAGCTGATTAGCACGCAATGAAGTTGGAAGTAGCAAAGAAAGGGGGAAATCATAACTGTACGAAATTTCACCATACTTATACTAACTGAATGAACTTTGAGCAAGCCTTTCAATTCCAAACGACGACGCCAGCAGGGCTGGACTTAGTGACCACTGTGACATGATGACGTCGACGTGGGGCCCGTTGTCTTGACCACGCCACGACTGGAAAAACAAGAAGGCTAAGGAGAGATCGGGCTCCAAGCCGGTGGCAATTCTGGTTATGCAACTTTGACCAATTTAATGAATTCTTGCGCTCCACCACTAAGTATCGGGGTGAGTGGCAAGTCTCAGGGTCTCCTAAATGTCCCCTCACTATAAATGTCACGCACCCCTGATTCATATCGACATTGTCACTGTCTACGCAAGATGGTCGAAGTAAAGCGTTTTTGGTGCCTCCTGCTCGACAACGGCGCCATTGAGCCATTCTTTGTTGACATTGGCCTGGATGGGATGGTTGTTGAACTCAAGGAGGTGATCAGATCCTCGAAGAATTGCATGCGTCAATACGATGCTCGAGATATCGCACTGTACAAGGTAAGCACATTTCAAGTCAACTGATCATGAATCCTTTGTAGCTCAACCCATGGTAGTTAAAGGAGCCGATACCCATGGTTTCTTCGACCGATCTGTTGCAAAGCATCAAAAATAAGGGAGAGATTGAGACCTTTGCCGTTCAATTGGAGGATCCCTTTGAAAGTCTAAGTGATGTCTTGCCAGACGGGGTCGCTGCTCGAGTGGCTCACTTTCTTGTGAAGTTGTCTTTGAGAACCCAAGCATCAGGCGAGTTTCCTCTCCTAAAGTCTTGTTGATGATACTCAATCAACAATATAGCAGGACTACTTGGTAAGAAATTAAATGTCCCATGCCAATCTTCCTATAATTCATTACTGCCCAATTAGCTCCAACTGCAATTGCTACCTCTTCATCAGCGGGTTCCGTTCTATCCAACGCCGGTAAGCAAATACCAATTAGACCAACGAAAATCGCTCAACAATTGGCCCAGATGATGACCTCACACTTTACTGTTGGGTTTTGAATGCATCCGACGCCCCTTTCCCTATTGACATCGGAAAGAGTAAGGGCGTGGGTCACTTGAAACGCATGATCAAGAAGGAGAATGAACATAAGTTTGCTGCCATCGACGCTGACAAGCTCGTGATATGGAAGGTGGGCGAATCCTCCCTGTGCGTGTCAAGACATTTAATTTTTGGGAAGTTATCTTCACCCATTCCTTCTGCGGAAATAGGCGTGACGCTTAGAGACATTCAAAGCCCGCAGCAGATCCCAGGTTGCGTCGAATTAAATGCTCTTGACGAACTGTCGGAACATTTCTCCTCGGCCCCTCGCAAGCATCTCCATATAATTGTTGAAGCCCCCACACGTATGTCCAATTCCATCTTGGCCCAAGCACCAGGCGGTCTCGCGGTCCATATGTCAACTGATCTTCACTTTGCCCTCGAAGAAGACTCCGGTAAGTGATTGTGACTTACGCATAAGTATGCAGGTTCTGACTATTGCTTTTGACTACAGGGCCGCCTTCGAAACGAGCGCGTCTTACAAGTCCAGAAAGTAAGTTACACCGCGTCTTCTTCCTAATTTTAACATCAACTCCCTCCTGCTCTTGCTCATTTCATCTTTTTGGTTCAACCGTCCTCGCATCTTCGCAACTTTTGTTTTTCGTGCTGACCATGTTGCTTCCCCTGTCTCTCCTTCGCCGTTTTTGTTTTTCATTTTGCTACCCTACATTTCCCCCTACGTTCCCATCGCTCTCGTCATCTCGTATCACTCGTTCCCACCCACTCGCCGCCGTATTCGCAATGCACCTTTCCTTGGAATTTTCGCTTCCCGTATCACTCGTTCTCGCCCACTTGCTTCATTCTTGGTGCCCTGTCTATTGCTTCTCTACTTCCCGTCCACACCCTATTCTTGGTTCTCACTTCTCTCGCCGCCGCAGATCAGCCTTCCCCCAAGCGACAGTGTTTAGATGGGAAACAGAATGACGAGCAAGGTATGCCATCCTCATTCATTGCACTTCTCTCGTTACTGTCTTTTATCATTCTATTTCACCCCGCTGTTGACCCGCATTCCATTTACAAATTTTGCTCTGTCCTGATCAACTTTACTGGTCTCATCTTCCCCGTCCCTCACCCCGTTCCTCGGTTTGTCTTTGCTAACTCCTCACGTTGTTAGACCAATTACCAAAATCTGATTCCTCTGACTCTAACAAAAGTCAACCCACCATTAATAGTAAGTGAATTGGCTCAAAAAATGACATTTAACTAATGATATAAGGTTGCTGGAGCCCGCGGTCCAATACGGTTCGTGGTCTGTATAATATCTTGCGGGAAGAACGACTAGTTCAGGTGTGCATCAATCGCTTTTTTGCCTTGCATATTGCAGCTAACCGCTCTCTTTTGTAGGTTCGTGGAACACCAGGCTGCGGGAAGACAACGCTCAATCACTTGCTCCATGCCTATATAGTCGAAAAACAACCATTTGCTTCCGTACTTTCCATAAATAGTTGGCCGCCGCCGGGCCAAACAAACGGATCTTTCGAGGAGCGGCTCAAGCTCATAGACCCACGTTACCCAAATCCCGGTCTCGTCACGTTCATGCTTTTTGATGAAGGGCAGGATTCTTATTCGGACGAATATCTTTGGAATACCTTCTTCAAGGGCGTTCAAGGCGGTCATTTCAAGGACTATCGTGTTATTTTATTTTGCAGCTACGGAAGCCCATCAGCCCGTCCTGTGTCCTATAAAGTAGGCACGCCGCTAACCCTACATGTGTCCGCTCGTGTGTCTCTGTGGCCTTCAAAGCATTCTATCGAACCTATCGGTTTACTGCTTACTCGAGCCGAGTTCAACGAAGTCGTAGCAAGGCACGAACGAAAACTGAACTTGCACCCTGATCTTCTGGATCACTTCTTTCATTTGACAGTAGGCCATGTAGGTGCGGTCATCGATCTTCTTCGCATAACATCATACCAGGTTAGTTGGTTTCTCTTGGAGGACACCTTTTCTCTCCTAATTATTTTTCTTCAGCGGGTTGCAGAAATGCGGAAAGGGATGCCATTCACAGTCGATGCCTTTAACGCAGAAAATCCAACTGGCTCGCTCATAATTCAACTCCAAGGTGGACCCTTCGGACGCGGCGTTCCTCAAGCTAGGGAGCTTTCGCAAGATCTAAGCATCACATCATTTTTCAGAACTTTAATCAGAGATGGCGTGTTTGAGGAAAGGGAAGCAGAACAGGAGGCTGTTCGCGCTTGCCATCGCAACGGCTGGATCCACTCCTACATAAACGCAGAAAGTACGACGTGCTATACATTCCCATCCCCTCTCCATTCCGCCTATGTTTCCTGGCTTCTTAAGCCTTCCGACGACATGCCAACCTACCGCTCGGTCTTCGATCTCTGTTTTGCAGCCATCTCCAAGTTCAAACCTTCTCAGATGCACACTCCGATCCGCCGTGTTGGCGCGTCTCACGCGATAGATCCACTACCCGAAGCCCAATACCAGGATGAGTTCTATCGCACTGTTTTCTCCGCTACTGCTGGAAGTGTTTGCATTTCCCCTGAGTTCGCATCTGCACGGGGAGCGCATCTGGTGGGCCGTATTGACTTCTTCATTCCAACAGTGAAATGGGGAATTGAAATCATTCGAGATGGCCATCAGTTATCAGAACATAATTCCCGTTTTACAAGATCAGGAGCCTACGGAGCCTGGCTAAAGTCAGGTGACATGACTGATTACATTCTCCTTGATTTTCGCACCAAGAGCCTACGAAAGTGCCACCCGGGTATGTTGTCTGACTTATGGAGCTATGTATGTCTTTGTTGATACCCTCTGCAGATATTCCAAACCTCTTTCACATCGTATTTGGTGATGGATATCAAACGGCTACTGTATACGATAATCAGTTGAAGCAAGTAGGAGGGACCATTGCCCTGCTCGAAAATCACTTTTAATCACTATCCATTATATTTACCGCATTGACGTCCATACCCAACCTTCTTGATCTAGATATATGACTCTTCTGTACTGCCTCCAGTTTCTCCCTCGATAATTAACATGTCCCCGATGGCCAGACTCCCACACCGTCGTGACTGGCTCTGTATTGCTCGCATGAAGACCTCACAACCTTTTATTCAAAAATTCACTACAATGCAACCGTCATGACGATCAAGTTCACAGGCATCACATCCATTTCACCGTTATCAAACCGAATAGCTAACGAAGCGAAAGCTCATTCACCACCACAATGCTCCTCCACCTCTGCGCACTCTTCCTAGCTCTCTCCCCACTAGCTTCACTCGCCCACCCTTCTCAAACAGTTCTATCCCTCTCGCACGCATGGCCAAAAACGAGGCCGCTCCCCATCGCCCCCTCCAGATCAAGAATCCCATGGAAGAAACAGGCACCTCGCCAACCGCCTGACAAAACGGGGCCAGCACTCCCCCAGCCCTCTACAGCAGCCAAAACAGAATTCTCCCACCAGAGATACCAAACGGTGTCGCGTCACAAAGTCTGGTGCAGGGTTTTTTCAGGCAGGTGCAGCCAGAAGTGGGGCCTTCTCTGCCTGCACCATCTGTCTTGGCCGTGGCCCCCACAATGTGTTCAAATGCGAGTCCAACACCCTGTGGGACGGCTCCCCTGCTCGATGCAAGAAGAACAACAATGGCCGCCTCGTCAACCCAGCAGGCAATATTCTATGCTCCGACTGGCAGCGGCCAAATGGGTGCTCAGCGACCACCCACGACTCCTGCCACGAATGCTCAGGATGCAGCAACTCGACTCATGGAGCTCAAGACTGTCCTCGAGCACAAAGGGCTTGATGCAGCATCGCCCTACCACCCAGAAGTATGGCAAAGACACCTACTCGCAGCTGGCCTGCAACACAAATACCCCAATATCCCCACAGACCTCCGGGCTGGCTTTGATGCAGGCATCAGGCGCATTGCCCAAACCTTTGCCCCTCCAAACCGTCTGTCCCTCTATGAACACAGAGCCAAGTTCAACGAAATTGTGCAGACAGAGTTTCAAAGAGGGAGATATGTGGGCCCTGTCACCCAAGCAGAAGTCGAGTCCCTGCTGGGCACCTTCCACATGTCCCCACTCAGCATCATTCCGAAACCCAGGCAGCCAGGCAAATATCGGATTATCCAAAATCTATCATCCCCACACACCCCCCTGGGCACCATCTCTTCCATCAACAGCTTCATTGACTCTGATCAATACCCCTGCATGTGGGGCACATTTTCCACCATCTGTCTGCTCATTCATCACCTCCCACCAGGCTCACAAGCTGCCATACGCGACATCAAAGAGGCTTACAGGAACATCCCCATCAAGCCTGACCAATGGCCAGGACTTGTTGTCCGCCTTGATGAAGATGACAGCTTCGCAATTGACACATGGGATTGCTTTGGCCTGGCCTCAGGGGGTGGCCTTTACAGACGCCTTGGAGACGCTGGAGCACAAATCATGCGCTCCCACGGTATTGGTCCTCTCTCCAAATGGGTGGACGACCATATCTTCTTTCGAGTCCTCCGCTAGCACCTCGAAGAGTACAACCATAGATGCAGACATTGGGCAGAACACATTGCAGACAACAGTGGTGAGATCCACGATGGAGGGCGCCTCTGGTTCAAAGGCGAAGTCATGCCAAATGACCAGCCAGAGGAATTCGACGAGGACCTTACATGCGCCATTCAGGACCTCTCCCAAGCATCACACAGGTTTGTGCATCCTCCTGCACCAGTTTTGTTGCATCCTGACACCTTGAACAGATCCCTTGAGGACAGGCAGTTCACATACTGCATGGCAGACATCGACGCTCTTTCCGATGACCTGGGTATTCCCTGGGAGATCAAGAAGGACATACCCTTCAGCTATGTCGCCCCCTTCATCGGTTTCTCCTGGGACCTCGCTAACCGCACGGTCAGTCTACCAGAGAACAAGAAGGCGAAATATCTCCAGGCTATCCTGGAATGGGAATCCAAACTGAAGCACACACTGGACAATGCACAAAAACTATACGGCAAGCTATTACACGCTTGCCATGTTGTACCCACAGGACGAGCGTACCTCACCAACCTGGAGGCCTTCATGGGACTATGCCACCGTGACCGTCCTTTCTGCCCATGTTCCCCACTCTGCCAAACCCCTAGCGATCTTCTATGGTGGAAAGAAAGACTCACACAGCCTGCCATCATCAGAAGCATCCCTGGACCCTTCCCCATCATTGACGCCAATGCTTACTCAGATGCTAGCTCGGAGGTTGGTATCAGGATCATGGTGGGCAACAGATGGAGAGCATGGAGGCTCCTCCCAGGGTGGAAGGCCAACAGCAGAGACATTGGTTGGGCAGAAGCAGTGGGCTTCTGGTTTCTCATCCTCACACTCACACTGTCCACACCCAGAGGCATGCACACCAAGGTTTTTGGAGACAACAGAGGAGTCGTCGAGGGCTGGTGGAAAGGCAGGAGCAGGAACAAACCCACCAATGATGTATTCAAACACATCCACACCCTCTCTGAAGCGCAAGACATCTCCTTCCACACAAGATACGTCCCTAGCAAAGAAAATCCCGCTGACGGCCCCTCCCATGGAGAATACCACCACAGGACCCTCCTACTCCCTGCTGTCGTCATCCCTCAGTTGCTCTGACAATATGTATGCGACTTCGATGTGCCTCTCTCACCAGCTGAGTCGCTCCGTCTACAGCAAGGAAAAGCCCCCATACCCCTTCCCAAAGCAGACCATGCATTACTCCAACAAGAACACACGGCAATCAACACCGCTCTCGAGGAACATGCCAGGGCTGTCTTCTCCCAGACGCAACACTGGCTCAACAGCTAACCGCTTCCCTTGTGCAGTCCAACACACCTCCAAGGCAGCGAAACCTGTGCGCTACGCAAAGGACCTGTGTCCTCTCCCATCTGCCAGACGCCCGCACGTTCTCGCTAGTGAGCGCCTTCAACTCTGGACACCATTATATGGACGTGAAGCAGTAAAAACCACACCGTCAAACTTAACCCCAGAAGACATATGACAAATTGCAGTCGTTATGGGAAAGTCCTGGGAAGAGTCAACACTGGCAGCCTATGGCTCAGGCCTGTTGAACTTCCATGTTTATTGCGACCAGAAAGGCATTCCAGAGGAACAACATGCTCCTGCCAGCCCACTCCTCATTCACGCCTTCATCTCAGCCCTAGCAGGTGCTTACTCTGGCAGCACCATCGACAATTACATATACAGCATCCGAGCCTGACACCTCATCCACAGGGTCAAATGGCAAATGGAAGTGGCAGAGCTCAAAGTCCTCCTCCGAGCCGCTGAAAAAACCACACCAGCAACCTCAAAGAGAAAGAAAAGGGTGCCTTACACCCTGGCCTTCATCCTCGCGATCAAGGAACAACTCCAGTTGGACAAGCCACAAGACACCACCATCTACAGTTGCCTCACCACCGTCTACAGTTGCCTCACCACTACCTTCTATGCCGCAGCACGCCTGGGCGAATTCACAGTACCAAACCTCAAAGCCTTCGACCCAAACATGCACGTCAAGCCATCAGACGTCCAATCCGAACTTGACCAAAATGGACTTTGCTCCACCATCTTCCACATCCCCAAGACAAAGACCTCTCCCTGTGGTGAAGACGTTTCCTGGTCCAAACAGGCGGACGAAACTGACCCAGAGGCAGCCCTCGCTCATCACATGGTGATCAACAAGCCCCCCATCTAGCGTTGCCGAAGTTCGGTCCAGAACCTCGGTTCGAACCTGAACTTTCTGAACCGAACTTCAGTTCAGTTCACGTTCACGTTCAGGTCCAGGTTTTGATAGTGACGTTCGGTTCGAGGTCCGGGCTATCGTGATTTTTATGGACCTCCTCTGAATGCATTCGAACCCAAACCTATTGTAATTTTTTTCCATTTAAACATCTCTATTTTTCTTGACTTCAATTTTAAAATGTACAAGGTTTGTAGAAACTATATATATATATTCGGTGATTGCCGCAAGTTGTGGCTGACGAACAAATCAACAAGAAAATGCACACATATTCATCTAATTTTCAGTGATGTCCAACCCCGACAACTGCGCGCTTGCCAAAGATGGCACTCTCAAGGATGCCAATGACATCGAATTCTTTAATTCACCTAGCAACAAACGCCCCATCGGATACAAGGGCTCTGATAACGATGCTGGCTCGGCTTCTTCTGGCTCTGATCTTCCCACAGTTGTTCCCCTTCTTGAACGAGCGCTAATCGTTAAAGGGAAGCACCACTCACGGAAGACAGAGAAGGTGAAGGGAATGGAAGCAGACAAATCAATGGGTAAGGGAAAAGGTGAAGGAGCTGAGGTTCATCCATTCTTCAAGAAAGGTAATGTAGACATTAATAGTTTCACTATCAATTCTCACTCATTCATAGGTTCTAAATCGTCAACATTGGCGAAACCCACAAGTACTTACGTTTATCTGGCTAAATTTAGATACACATTGATGACTCGATTGACAGCTGTACCCACACCTGTCGAAAAACATGCGTTCAATTCATCATCTTTTCTTTTCCACAAACTTACTATTCATTTACAGGTGGACAGATGACCAAAGGATCATATGGTGGTAAGGATTAATATCTTTTATTGTATAACAAGCTAAGTACACCTCAGCTACAAAAAACTCTGAATCCAAGTCAATCGGGGCCATGGTGCCAAACGATGCGAAAGGTAAGATGTGATGGCCACATACTGCAGCTTCTAACGACTTTGGTTCAGACCTGAGTGGTACGAAACACAAGTGCGCCAATTCTGGACCTAAGAACACATCGAATAAGCAAATTCCTGCGAAACGACGAAAGAAAAAAACTCAAGGTAGTGAAGACGATGAATTGGGGGAACAAGATGAGTCTGACGGCGATGACGAGGGAGACGATGACGATGACGACGACGAGGGAGACAATGATGACGATGACGACGATGAAGAAGAGTTGAAAGAGGTGGATCCAGTGGCGCAGTGTGCGCTTTTTCATTAGAAAAGCTAGTAGTATGAGGCGATGCGAGAGGGCATTCAGAACGAGCGTCGCGTGAGTAGCAATTTTTTTGCTTGTTAATTTACTCATTTTGTTTAGGCTCCCCGCAAGCATTCCCATCGAGGACAAGATGAGCGTACGGAAGATTTACAGACTCTATATACTGCCGGAACAGTTACAGTAGATGGTGAGGAACGTAATGGTTACTGGTGTGAGGTATGCAGGTAAGTTTCTTGACTTTGCATATTCCGCCACCAATTCGACGCCTTTCCCAGACATTTAAAGAAGCCTGGTGCAAACACGTTCTTTACGGGTAGCGTTACTACTCGTCGGACTCACATTTCACGGTCAGTCTCTCGTTTTCCCATCAATTCTTTTATTGAGATCTGATTTCGTACATATTAAATATAGTAACTGGGCTTCCCATGGTGAGACTTACCTCGCAAAATGCAAGGTGAAGGGAATTACCCCCCATCCACATGTGCTTGCTCCTTCTGATAAACCCAGTGATGAGCGTGCAGAACAGCAAAGCATTGAGGGCTTTTTAAAGCCAGTACCGAAATGGTCACGAGAGGGCTTGCTTGAGCACCTCATCGAGTACATTGCAATTGAAGACGAGGTTTATAATCCAATTAGCTCGAATTTATGGTTTTGGACTAACCTTTATTTTTTTTAGCCATTTTCTATCGTCGAGAAGGATTCATTCCGCCACCTACTCAAGTTTCAACGCCCAACTACCAAAGATTCGGATATTCCATGTTGCACCAAATTTCACGACAAGGTTCTGGAGAAAGCAAAGGTTGCAGAGGCTCGCCTCCATGAGCACTACAAGGTGAGGTCATTCATCGTTCTTTCTACAATTTCACACATCCTGGTCTAGAATATACCAGCACAGATATTGTTTACATTCGACGCTTGGACTTCAAAATCGATGGTCCCTTATTTGGCGATTACAGGCCATTATATAGATTTGACGAACGGTTCTGATAAGTGGGAGCTCAAGTCTGACCTTCTCGGATTTACTGAGATTCAGGGTAATCATGGTGGTGCTAACATCGCATCTGTAATACTTCGCGTAATTGATAGATATGATATCCGTGACAAGGTAAATTGTTTTTGGTGCATTTTTTTTGATCAGTTTAACAGGACGACCCTTAGTTAGGCTGGGGGACAGCTGATAACGCAACCGCCAATGATAAAGCGATCTGGGTCCTTCAGCGATCTCTTGATGATCCCAAGGGACGTCAGTGGCTTGGGTGTGAACACTGTATTCGGTATGTGTATTTTTGATCTAATGATGACACAATTAATAGTGTGTACCAGGTATATGGAGCACACCGTTGTTCTCGGCGCATCCACATTCCTCCAAGAAATCAGTCCTTCGTTGCCACACAACAAGAGGTCGACAAGAAAAGGTACAGTAACTGTTGAGGATGTAGACGACAATGAAGGAGACAACAACGAGGATGATGAGGAGTGGCTTGCTGATTGGGAAGCTCTTGACGATGTTGCTGATGATGAGGAGGTTGATGAACCAGTTGAGTTCACTGCTGGCAATGTTCTGGGAAAGGCTCTTGCGATGATCAACCAGGTTTTCTAATTGTCTTATTTGTTATATTTATTATTAATCTTCTTTTAGATTTGTTCTTCGTCCCAAGCAAAAGCATACTTCGCGACTATTTGTACGGAAGAAGGCCTTGACCCTTTGGAGTTGAAGAAATGGGTCCGGACACGATGGGGATCAATGTATGATCTCCTCAAGCGTCTTATTAAAAACAAAGTGGTGTGACTGCTATAATATTTGTGATTCATAACCTCAATACACTCAGACAGGCAGTCAATAAGTTTTGCTTGCTTGCTGATACTTGTGGAAAGGTCCCAAAATTACAGGGGAAGAAGTATGCAGACTACATCATCACAGAAAAAGAATGGGTTTTACTGGTATTGATTCGTGAGGTTCTGGAGGTATGATATATTTCTAATTTATGCAGAGTACAATTCTCAGTTTATACTTCAGGAGCCGCGAGAAGCTCAAGTGATGTTTTCCTCTGAGACATCACCAACTGTTTGGTGTGCTATTCCAACACTCGAATGTCTTCAGAATCGATGGGAAACGATGGCGCGTACCCCAAAGTTTGCACCTGTCCAGGTGGCGATTGAGAAAGGCTTGGAAAAACTTCGTAAGTGGTATAAGACAGTCAATGGAAATTATGTCTATTTTATATGTCTTGGTGTGTATTCACCCTTTTCATTTTCTTTGAGCTGATATGATTGTTGCTTATTTTAGCCCTCGACCCTACCATCAAACTTGAATATGCAAAAAACAATTGGGATTCTGAGTCGTATCATGCTGGTTACGCAGCTTTCAAAAAAGTGGTATGAATTTTCTGAGCCGATTCGAGCTGTGTCATCATCCATCTTTATAGTTTGCTAAATACTATGAAGCGACCACCGATGCTACTCCAGCATTAACCACAGAACCCCAGGTATGATTTCACTTCGTTGAAGTACCTTTATTGCTTAATCAGTGTGCAATCTAGATTCCCCTGTGCAGGGGTATGGTTCATCATGGATCAGAGACTGTGTTTGTTCCCATGTGGAGCAAGAGACTTGTCTCTCGGATCCCTTTCAAGAATTTCTCAACTACATCAACAGTCCTCTCACAAGAGGGGTAAAAGACCCTGTTCATTGGTGGGGAGTGAGTACCTTTTTTTCCCTCAAGCCGAGAGTGCTCAATATTTCTGTTTTTCAACAGGAGCATCAATCAGAGTATCCTACTCTTTCTCGCATCGCTTGTGACTATCTCGCTATCCAAGGGTCATCAGTCCCATCTGAGCGTGCTTTCTCAAGTGGGGGTTTGACGGGTTCTCTACTCAGAAACTGACTCAACACAGATGTGTTCGAGGCCTTGCAAATTTTGAAGCGTGCGTATAAGAATGGCCTGATTAGTGCTTCTAAGGAGGCTACTGAAGGGGTTCCTCAAGAGTGGACTCCCAATATGTAGCAGAATGTATCCATCTCAAAAATCACAGTTCTATAATTTTTTTTGTAAGGTTCGTGAGTTCGAACCTGAACCGAACTCAGACTGAACCTCCTGAACCTGTTCAGAAGGTTCAGTTCAAGTTCAGGTTCGAGTTCAGAAAATTTGAGTAGGTTCAGGTTCGGGTTCAGGCAAAATGTGCTCTGAACTGGACTGAACTGAACTTCGGCAACGCTACCCCTGTCAACGGACACCTATTCTCCTACCTCAAGGACAGCCACTTCAGGCCGCTCACAAAGACAGAATTCACTCGAACAGTGGCTGAAGCTGCTAGGAAGGCGGGGTTGGACCCATGCCAGGGGCATGGCATTTGCATTGGCTCGACACTGGAGTACCTGCTAAGAGGAACCCCATTTGAGGTCATGAAGGTGAAGGGGCATTGGGCCAGCAATGCTTTCCTGGTCTACCTGATGAAGCATGCACAAATCCTCGCCCCATACATGCAAGCGGTCCCTGAGGTCCACGAAAACTTCATCAAGCTCACCATGCTGCAAATTCGAAGGTAGAGCACCCCCCCCCCTCTCTGGGTGGCCTCCTCTCTTCATTGGTAAGTCATCCCCTGCTCCTAGCATTTGGGTTTCCGAGACTCACTCGACGTGTCGCAGGACTCCTACCTCATGGGAGTCGCAGCTCATCTCAGTTTTGCTTTCAGGATTGGTTCATTCTGCCAGGACAGAAAGCCTCACGGCTTTCGCCCATTATCGCTCACTACGCTACTCATATCTCTCTCTCTCTTTGTGTGCAAGGACATTACTGCTATCTACCTACCTAATCAATTGTCTACCCATGCACATAATGTGCTTGCCCTTACCCTAGACGCCCTCAGCCTAATACAAAGATTTTTGCCCTGAGACGCAGCGAGGAACGAGTGAAGAGTCAGGGCATGGTCTTAGTATAGGGCGTGTGACAGTCAGGGTAGAAATCACTTTCTCTCTTTCTACCACGACAGTCACCACCCCTCTGAGGTCGTCTGACTGGCCTCTTTCCTTTTCCCCACCTGCCACTCCCTGAAAACTCCATCAGCATCAGCCTCACAGGCTCCTGCTCACTTCCCACACAGGAGGACTCCTCCGCTCCACAGCAAGATGCACACTGTGCAGGTGAGTTTATCCCACCTACCCTCGCAGCTCATCTCAGTTTTGCTTTCAGGATTGGTTCATTCTGCCAGGACAGAAAGCCTCATGGCTTTCGCCCATTATCGCTCGCTACACTACTTGTGTCTCTCTCTCTCTCTTTGTGTGCAAGGACATTACTGCTATCTACCTACCTAATCACTTGTCTACCCATGCACAATGTGCTTGCCCTTACCCTAGACGCCCTCAGCCTAATACAAAGATAAGGCACACGGATGGTTTCAAGACAGTGGTTACGTTTAACAATATGGGTATATATATAGACTATATAAAGTAGAGTGGAATGTAGGGGGTTAAGAAGCACAATTAATGGGTGAAAGAGTATCCAGTCCATTGGAGCTGCAAGCAATGTCCAGGAGTTGATGGGTGGACATACCAAAATCAACCTTGTCACAGTCAGAATCCTCTTCAACCTCTTGGACCTCCATGATTGGTCTCATTACCATGTTGATGTGCCCCAGATGACTCTTACAGTTGGACCTATCATCTGCCTCCTCTCCTGGCTCCCCGACATCCCCAGAATCTGACCCCCAACCCCTCTGCTCCCCTCCAGGAGAGGATGGGAATTCAAGAGCTTCACTGTCCTCAGAATGACTAGACATAGCAAATGAGTGTTGGGACACCTGTTAGGTGTAGAAATAGAGATCGGTGGGTTGTAGTGTACACTGTATGGCCAGCACTGTGATTTTTGCATTTATTTGATTTATTTTATTTTATTCACGAAAAAATGCACGTGGACATGAATTATTGAAAGGTCTGTAAAGCCCACATCTTTGAAGGGTTTGGCAAATCAACACTGTTCAATTGATGATAATGAAGTGGATACATTTGGTATTGATAGGATGGAATGGGAACACTCTCCTGGAGCAGGATGGAGTGAAATATTATGGAAATGGGAGGATATGCAAAGTGGACATCCGTAGATTTATTGGATCAGGTGAATTACATAAAAAGTGTCGGTGGATGGTTGGAGGAAGGATGAGAGCAAGGAGTTGTTGGGTTATACTTAATGTAGAGAGAAATATAGAAAGTTGAGCAGAGGTGACCTTGAGAATGTCTGTAGATCGGGATTGGGAATGTTCCGATTTGACTCGGTGTGGCGAATTCATGTCTCCTTTGCGGCTTTGCCTTTTGGCTGTTTCCCAATTCTCGCTGCCTGCGGCCACGACGACGACGACCCCTGTCACTGACCCCTCGTCGTCTTCCTCCTCCTCCAAACTGCCAACCACCTCATCGGCCACTGCAGCACCTAAAGGCTATGGTGATGGAGATCCTAAGGCATTGAAAGTGAACGCTTTGTTCCTGAAGTCTGTAAATTTTGATACTCACCTACATAAATCCAATTCTTAGAATAAATCATACCTGCCTTCCACCCCTCGAGCTTTGCCAACGCTCCTCATGCTGCATAGAGAGCTCGAGAAAGGAACTGGAGGCTACTGGATTTTGTGTTCCCGTTATGGCAATCATCCCCGTATAGTGTGGGAATTGATGAAATCTCACTAATACGGAGTTGGAGTCTTGGAATTTTCCTCGCGGTTGCGTATAGGCTATCAGATACAATATCTGGCAGTTAAAAGAGCACATTATTATGCGTGTTTTACTACGTAGTAGTTGACTCTAATGGTTTGCTCAGTGTGGTGATCTTGGACTCACCCTTTCTCTCACAATTTTTTAGTGTGTGTGATAACCAACCCCAAATGAAAATGCTTGCACAAGCAATATAAAGGTATCCGCGAGTCCTGCGGGGGTTAGGCTCGCTGTGCACAACTATTTTCTTGCACTCAAGTACTTCTAGACTTTTGAATAATCAAGCAAAGTCAATCATTCTGGGAAGTTGAGGTAGGTTGAGGTGGACCACTTCACGCAACTTGGTTCCGTTTTTGAAAATGAATGCTACGGCAGCCTACAGGTGCAAACAACGAAAAAGCATGTAATAAGACATTCAAGATGACTGATACAAATGTTCAAACAAGTCTAGCTCTTGTTACGCCGTTTCAGAAGATTGTTGGAAATGCCACCTACATTTGATGGCTAATTTACTATGCAATACATAAGACAAGGTGCATTTTTTTATAATATCTTTGTAGAAGTATGCTACCTGAACATACTTGCCAAGTTTCATTCAAGGAGTTCCTGAAATGCATGAGATATACATGAAACACTGTTTTTCCCCTCGACCTTTGCGAATACGGAATTTGTTCTTGTTTGTTTGGGACTTTTGCACTTTAGGGAAGGATTGCTAGCGGTCCATTTTTTTCTATAAGTATATACAGTGTTTTGCATGTGAGATTGCACTGCAAATCCCACGAAAACTTGTTTGCATTTGTATTTCGTGACCTGAAGTAACCATTTTCGGTTGATTTTGGGTGTAGAACGCATGACACCAGCCACAAACTACAAGTACAAACAGGTTTTAGTAAGATTTCGAGTGCAATCTCACATGCAAAGCACTGTAAAAAGCAGCAGCTCATAGGTTCTTTGATCGCAGACGTCGGACGACGTCATACTAGCGAATTTGGAGCTCGAGAACATATTAGAGATCGCCCTGATCAATATCAGTTTTTGCAAATGTACTCCTACTAGCCTGCTACTGGCTAGTTTCAAATAAGTTCAAAACACCGTTCATAATCAACTGTCTACCCACCAAGTCGCGTATGTTGACAAAATGCCGTTACAACGCATCCGTAGCCTCGAAACCCAGACACGATACATCCCATTGGCCTCCATTGTAAACCTTTGAACAATTGGAATTGCGCGTGCGCATGAGGTGCGATCGCACTATGCAGTTCTCCCTTTAAATTTCGGCCCGGGGAACGGACGATACCGAATCCCTTGGCCTTGGCACACTTAGACTGTTCTCAGTGTTCCAAGCAATGGATCCGGAGTCGATGGCATCATTTCGAATTCTCATATCAAGATCTGCGCTTCTTCGACCAATCTTCGACGATTCAGCACAGCACTCGGGGAGAGCTTCTCGAGTTATTTTTTTCTGCCCACTTCGTCTTCTTCTTGCTCGATGAATTTTGTTGAGTGCACATACTAGGCGTCAAGAACTTCCTGGAATTCGGAACCACACTCAGGAGACATCGACGGATACCACTTACCTCTCAAACGCCATTCGAGTACGCAGATCAGGGAAACCCTCACACGGAACAAAGAACATATAAGTAAAGAATCGTCAGACTTCAGTACGATTTCTTCCACCGAGACAATTGCAATGTCCACATGCTCCGAGTCTTCGCCTGCGGAATGTGATGGGGTGGACACGCTGTCGTCGAAGGAGAATAATACATATACCGAACTTGGGCGAATCGGAGGCGACACGACTGATCCTTTTTGCTTTACTCCTCTTGTGTTGCCTGCTCCTGGCGCAGTGCGGACTGAGATGCCTGTGCAGGTTGTGCCGAGCGGTGGGAGATGTCACAAAGCTGCGGTGTGTTTGAAGTTTATCGTTGTTGGGGGGAGTATTGGAGGTTGGTTGTGTGGTTTTGAGATTCAATTGAAACGGTCTAAATTTTATGTCGATTGTAGGTCTTGCGACGGCTTATACGCTGAGAAAAGCGGGTCATGATGTTTTGGTCATTGAGAAAAGTGAAGCTTTGGTGAAGGTACGCGTTCGTATCCTGTCTTTGCGAGAGGAATATTGATCGAACATTCATGTAGAGTCAAGGCGGACTTCGGTCAGACAGTTCTTCTGCGACTTAGAATAAACCGCTTACTTGTGTTGTAAAATCACAGATCACCACCCAACATGACGCGAATTCTCAACCAATGGGGTCTTGGACCTGCCTTGGACCAAATGGCTAACAAATGTGATACATTTACCCTCCTTAATGGTTCGCTGTGCAGCTTACCCTTACTTCCGTGCTAATCTTGCTTTTTAGGTGGCTCAGGTGAACTTATTGGGAATATGACGATGAATGAATCGTTCCTTTCAAATCTTCTTGCGGATTTTCTTTTTATTCAAGTGAGTTTCTTCCGCTTCTTCAAAATTTTACATATGTAGTTCTGACGAGACGGAAAATGTAGCATAGCGATCTTCAATCACTGCTTTACGATCTTGCGGTCCAGGAGGGAGTTACGTTCAGATTCAACACCAAAGTGATAGGAGCAGACTCGGAAACGGTGTCCGTATCGCTGGAAAGTGGGGAAACCTTATCTGCGGACGTCGTGGTCGGCGCGGACGGATACGATAGTCTTGTCCGGGGAGTGGTCACTGGCAAGAAGGACGAAGGAAAGGGAGAAAGGCACTTGATCGCAACGTGCACTATCCCTGCGAGCCTACTGGAAGCGGATGACGATCTCCGACATTTGAGGAGTTCAACAGTCGTGAGTGGGGCTTGGTTGGCGATGCTAGTTGTTATTGACGGAGGCTCTGGGTTTAGTGGTCGTTATGGCTGGGCGATGGGTACGCTTTTCATGGGAACCTCACGGTGGGTTTTTGTCTTTGTAGGTTTGTGGTTTTTCTGATTTTTGTCCAGGCAGGGGGTCAAGATTTTACCATGGCGGTTATATATCATTATGATCTTCCTATAAGGGAAGGGGACGAAGAGTGGCAACACACATGTCCAATCGATCGATATAAATTGGACATTACCAAGTTCGAGCCAAGGTAATTAAGACGTCGTTCGTTGGACGGGGATGAGCTGATGGTTAGAACAGATCCCAAAAGTTGCTGAAATTGGCTCGGACGGTCTCGTCTCGAATATTTACGATTCGATCGCCTGTGGAAGGTGTGGTGTGTGGACGGGCTCGGATTGTGCTTGTGGGTGAAGCGGCGCATCCGTTACCGGTAAGTTTGGGTTTTCTCCACACTGTCAGCGATTGATGACATTGGTACAACAGCCAGGAGGGCACCATAGCACAGGACTATCCATCGAAGACGCGCAAACACTAGGTTGTCTCTTCGGGCGGATCCGACATCGAAGTCAAGTCCCCCAGCTGCTTGGCGCATACGAGGACATCCGACAGGCGCGGTGTTCGGCCACGCACATCTGGGAACGGGAGCACCAGCAAATGCTCATGTGCCCCGCGGGACCACACCAAGATGAGCGAGACAAGATGCTTCGAAAGGTGATGGAGTATGGGGATTGGCGGCAGATGGATGAAACGACGTTCAAGGCTGTGTGGGGGAACGAGCTGACGCTGTACGCGCACGATGCGACTGAACAGGTGGATGATTGGTGGTCGCAGTGGGGAAAGATATTTGAGAGGGGGTTATATTGTGATACCCCTGCGAACTTGGAGGTGTCGATATCTAAGGATGATGAGAGCAAGTTGTTGTAATGCCATTATGATTCTAATGACCAAACAATGCAGCGCGTAATAGCGCGTAATGGGTCGGCAATAGCCGGGATCGCGACGCGGTCACATGATGTTGGTGGAAGCGCGACGGGACAGTGGTTGACTCTAGCTCCTCGTGTTTCTCTATTTTGTTGCTCCATTTCTACATTATCACTATCCGCGAAACCTTGAACAAAACAAAACAAAAAATGTCGCCGCAGTCGTCGTCGGCTATGACGCTGACATCCTTGTTGAACTCTCTACACACCCACCTGCAGACCCAGACTCAACTTTTACCAACGCTGCACGCCCAGCTGGGCTTGCCTCCAACGGCTCTGGAAGATGAGCTGAAGGCGCTGCAGGAGCAGCTGGTGAAAGGCGTCGAGAAACAGATTGATTTGAGGAGGAAGGAGGTGGAGGGGTGGATGGAGAAGTGTGATAGGGTGGAGAATGAATGTTTGAGGTATTGTAAGGCCCTTGGAGGGAATATCAAGGCGACGGGGAGTAGTCTTGGGGAGTTGAGGAAGGAACAGGTTCTTCCGAGGCGGTATGAACTTGTTGCGGAACATCAAGAGAAATTGCGACAGGTGAGCTTTGGGGTCATTTTTGTTGGCTGTTGAGCTGATGGTTGAGTGCTTAGGTGTATCACACTAAACTGGAACAACTCACGACCCTCACGAATCGCTTGAATGCGCTTGCGAGGACGTTGCCATCAGAGTATTATGCTCAGGATATCGTCGAGCCACTGGTGGCCCGTGGAGAAAACCAACATGACGCAGAGGCAAATCGGGATGTTACTCCTGAACGATTCATGAAACTAGAGAAAGAACTCGTTCGTGGCAAGGCGGAAGTTGTAGGTTTACTTTCCCTTCTTCTCAAAGTCCATGAACTAAGCATACTCTTGCAGACGAAACGGCTCAACCAACTATCCGCAACATTTGTACAAATAGACTGGTTACACACAGAACTAGGCATACCGCCCCCAATTTTGGACCATCTCACATCATCACCTCACTCCTTCAACGCCTCCGTCTCTAGCTCGAACAGCAGGTCGTCAACGTCGCAGTCGGCGTCTGATGACCCATTCCTTGACGTATCCACGCCTACACGCTCATCACGCACAAAGACCATCACGCCCCTCCTCTTCCGACACGATGTCATTCCAAATCCAGAATTGGAATATCAACGCGTTTTTGCGAAATTCGTTGCCAGGATCGACGAGGCTGACGATGAGGCGTTGACTGAGAGCCAGACTGTCCCTATTGGGCTAGAAAACGTCGACCCCGTACCGGGTCTCTTGTCATGGGCTCAATCGTTCCGTGCTAACCTGGAAAATACGAAGAGGAAGAGAGAGGCGCACATTCAGGCGATGTATGATCAGCTTGAAGGGCTGTGGAGGAGACTTGGGGTTGAGGAGGGTGATATGGATGCGTTTGTGGAGGCGCATCGGGGGAGCACGGAGGATACGGTTAGGGAGTATGAGGAGGAGCTTGAGAGGATGTTGGAGTTGAAGAGGGAGAGGATGGGCACGTTTGTTGCTAGTGCGCGAGAGGAGATTGAGAAGCTCTGGGATGATTTGATGGTTGGGGAGGAGGAGAGGGCTGATTTTGCGCCGTTTGCGGATGGTGGGTGTTTTTCTTCGATTGGAGTTGACATTTGATGCTGATGGTTTCTTAGACGAGTTCACAGAGGAGTTGCTTACTATTCATGAAGATGAAATCAAACGACTCAAAGAGGAACGAAGGATGAAAGCACCTTTGCTTGCAGGTATTAAGAAGTACTTTGATATTTGTGGGGAAGAGAAGGAACTGGCTGCTGCTGCGTCTGACCAGACCAGGTTACTTGGCCGTGGGCGAGATCCTGGCCGTCTTTTGAGGGAGGAGAAGATGCGGAAGAGGGTCACGAAGGAGAAGCCTCGCGTAAGTGCTCCTAGTTTTATTTTGATTCTGGTTGTTGATTTTTTCATGACAGCTCGAACAGGATCTTTTGGCATCTATCCCACAATGGGAACAGGAGAGCGGCCGACCTTTCCTCGTTCATGGAGAAAGCATATTACAGGTCCTCATGGAGACAGTGAGCGCCGCTGATCAGGAGAACAAACGCAAGCCACCTCGAGCTGGATCAGTCCCTCCACGAGCGACTACCCCTGTCAATTCGGCGCACTCGTATGTTCCAGGTGCGAAGACGGGGGTGGTTACGCCTGCTGTGAGACCTGGATCGAGTATCGCATCGCAATCTGTACCGAATAAGAGGCAGAGGTTGGGAGATAGTACTACTCCGAGTTATGCTTCTGGGGCTGGGAGGGCACCGTTGGGAGCGTATCGAGGTGGGAATGGGGTTGTTGCTGGGGGGAGGACGTCACCGACAAAGATACCGAGCAAGACGCCCAGTGGTAGTGGTGGATCGTCGTTACCGCGACCGGGACATTTGGCGATGCCGGTTCCTAGGCCTGGGACGCAGCATCATGCATTGGGGCATGGGAGAGTGCCTACTAGTTCGGGGTTGGCGCCTCCGCCTTCTGCGTACCCTGGGATGATGAGGAGTACGTCTGTTGCTGGGTATGGAGCGGGTGCTGGGAGTGGGGGTGGGAAGAGGTTTCCTAGTGCCAGTGCCAGTTCTGGGACTGGGTATGCGGGGAGAGGCGCGTCGATTGGGGTTGAGATTATGAAGAAGGCGTCGAGGGCGCGGAGGGAGAGTTTTAAGCCGAGACCGAGTATTGATCATATGGAGAGTGTTGGAGGGATGGGTATGAGGTATGGAGGTGGATTTGTGGCTGGGTTGAAGGAGGAAGATGAAGATTATTGAGAATGGGTGCACTGTACAGTGAATGCTTTGACGACCTTTTTATGACTTTTTTTTTCTTCGTATTTTTATCATCTTTCTCGATATGTCTTTTTCGATTTTTATGCACTGAGCTCTTGAAGAGCTTTCAAATGTAAATTTGTACTTGATTTGAAATGGACGCGATTCGTGTGACGGGACGCGACTTTTTGTGACAAACCCGTTCTCTCCTCAGGCAACTCAACATGGCGCCAGGACGCGGCACATTCGGTCTCTCCTCAGCGCGCGGTAGAGGCCGAGGTAACTTTCGTGCAAACTACCGTGGTGGTTCATGGCGTGGTCGCGGCAGAGGACGCGGCGGCTCAAAGGCGACGGGGGACGCTGTACCCATTCGCGAAGACGACGGTACGCAGCTTGCTGAGAGGTTCGAGAGGGCTGCGTTGAATGATGAGGTTGATGAGAAGCTTGGGTTTGGGAGGATACAGGAGGGGGTGAGGAAGGAGGGGTGGCTTGTTAATATGCATCCTGTGAGTGACCTTTGCCAGTTGGGGCTCATTAAATGAAGTACTGATGTATTGGGCCTTGCAGACGCTTGTGAAGGATCCGGATTGGCCTTCTGGAAAAGCGGCGGTTGATTTTTATTTTATTCAAGATGATGGGGGGATGTTTAAATGTACTTTGCAGTACGAACCGTACTTTTGCATCGCGTGCAAGGTATTTTCGCGTTCTTTTTTCGTATCTTTTTTTTTTCTCTAACGAATACATGAAGTCTGGTACAGAAGCTTCTGTTGAAGAATGGCTGAAGAAGAAGTACGAAGGCCTGATTTGTCGTATTTCACGAGAGAAGAAAGAGGACCTTAAAGTGCCCAACCACCTCATGGGCCACCGTCGACTTTTCCTCCAGTTATGTTTCCACAATATATCGGACCTCCTCACCGTCCGACGCGACATCCTCCCCCTCGCCCAGGCGAATAGCGCCAAACGAGACGCGGTCGACGCGTATGCAGAGGTCATCCGTGAGACTGCTGCTATGGATATTGAGATGGAAGACGAGGCCTGGGCGACGAGTGTTCAACCAGGGCGAGGTGGTGGTGGTAGGGACTCTGATCCTCGGGAGGGCATCATTGATATCCGGGAGTACGACATTCCATATTACCTGCGCGTGGCCATCGACAACGATATTCGTGTGGGTTTGTGGTACGCTGTGACGTTCACCGCTGGACATCCTTCTTTCTGCCATATTGCGGAAAGGGTCAAACGTGCGGACCCGGTTGTTATGGCGTACGATATAGAGACGACGAAGGCTCCTCTCAAGTTCCCGGACCAGGCTATTGATCAGGTCATGATGATCTCGTATATGGTGGATGGGCAGGGCTATTTGATTACGAATAGGGAGATTGTTAGTGAGGATATTGAAGATTTCGAGTATACCCCGAGAGAGGGGTATGAGGGTCCTTTTATTATTTTTAATGAGAAAGACGAGGTATGTGTTCGTATCTGAATGTAGAAGAAAGACTGACCTCTTTGAAGGCTGCAACTATAAAGCGCTTTTTCTCGCATATACAAGACGTAAAACCGACCGTTATGGCTACTTTCAACGGCGACTTTTTCGATTTTCCTTTCCTCGATGCCCGGTCCAAGGTGAACGGCATTGACATGTTCCTTGAAACAGGGTTTGCCAAGGACGCAGAAGACGAGTACAAGAGCAGGACGTGTGTTCATATGGACTGTTTCCGTTGGGTCAAACGTGATTCATACTTGCCTCAAGGAAGCCAAGGTTTGAAGGCTGTTACAACGTACAAGTTGGGGTATAATCCGATTGAACTTGATCCCGAGTTGATGACTCCGTAAGACTCTTGTTTTTTTTAAGCTTGAAAATGACACTCATAATATTGACAGATATGCATTGGAACAACCTCAAGCCCTTGCACAATACTCAGTTTCCGATGCTGTTGCGACCTATTATCTTTATATGAAATACGTGCATCCGTTCATTTTCTCGTTGTGTAACATTATCCCTCTCAACCCTGACGAGGTTTTGCGGAAGGGAAGTGGAACATTGTGCGAAACGTTGTTGATGGTACTTTTTATTCGTTTGCTGCCCTTGCCAGTAACTCATTTTTTGAGCAGGTGGAAGCTTACCGAGGACACATCATCATGCCAAACAGACACGAAGATGCACACGGCAGTACGTACGAAGGTCATTTGCTTGCCTCTGAGACGTATGTTGGAGGCCATGTCGAGGCACTTGAGGCTGGCGTTTTCCGGAGTGACATTGCGACTGACTTTAAGATAGTCCCAGCTGCGGTACAACAGGTCAGTTCACTTGATTCTTCTATGTCAATGTTCTAATGCGCGTTTTACAGCTGATGGACGACCTTGATGCCGCTCTTACTTTCTGCATCACGGAAGAATCAAAGTGCTCGTTGGACGACGTTACCAATTACGAAGAAGTCAAGGCCGAGATCAAAGCAGCCCTCGAAGTAATGCGAGATAATCCCAAGCGTGTCGACAATCCCCTCATCTACCATTTGGACGTCGCGGCCATGTACCCCAACATCATGTTGTCGAACCGACTCCAGCCTGATTCTATGGTTGACGAATCTGTCTGCGCTGTTTGTGATTACAACCGACCTGGAAAGACGTGTGATCGTCGACTCGAATGGGCCTGGCGAGGGGAATTCTTCCCCGCCCACCGAGACGAGTTTAATATGATAAAGCATGCTTTGAATCAGGAGTCCTTTCCCCCCAAGCGTCCTGGAGGACCTCAACGGCGGTTCCCTGACTTGAATCCAACAGAGCAGACGGCTCTCCTGCATAAACGACTTGGCGATTATTCTCGCAAGGTGTACAAGAAGACGAAGGACACAAAGGTCGAGAACCGGGAGGCGATAGTGTGTCAGAGGGAGAACCCCTTTTACGTTGACACCGTTCGCAGGTTCAGAGATCGTCGGTATGAATACAAGGGTCTGCATAAGACGTGGAAGAAGAATTTGGACACGTTTGTGGGTGAAGGCCGGTCCATTACGGAGGTTGACGAGGCGAAGAAGATGATCGTCCTTTACGATTCGCTGCAGCTTGCGCACAAATGTATATTGAACTCTTTTTACGGATACGTGATGCGCAAGGGTGCACGGTGGCATTCTATGGAGATGGCTGGGATCACTTGTTTGACGGGAGCTACTATCATTCAGATGGCTCGTGCTCTCGTAGAGCAGATTGGTCGACCATTGGAGCTGGACACGGATGGGATTTGGTGCATGCTTCCTGGCGTGTTCCCGGAGAATTTCAAGTTCAAGCTTACGAATGGGAAGAACATTGGGTTTTCATATCCTTGTACCATGCTGAACCACTTGGTTCATGCAAAGTTCACCAACCACCAATACCACGATCTCGACCCTGACACGGGCGAATACGTCATCCACAGCGAGAACTCTATCTTTTTTGAGCTGGATGGCCCTTACAAGGCCATGATTCTTCCATCTTCGAAGGAGGAGGACAAGCTGCTTAAGAAGAGGTATGCTGTCTTCAACGACGATGGGTCCTTGGCAGAGCTAAAGGGATTCGAGGTGAAGAGACGTGGAGAACTCCAACTCATCAAAATCTTCCAATCTCAGATCTTTGAAAAGTTCCTTCTCGGTACCACCACCCAGGAATGCTACGCCGCTGTGGCTCAAGTAGCCGACCAGTGGCTCGATGTTCTGTATTCTCAAGCAGAGAGTCTGGGCGACGACGAATTGGTGGAACTTATTGCCGAAAACAGAAGCATGTCCAAAACTTTGGCAGAGTATGGCAGTCAAAAGTCGACCTCTATTAGCACTGCGAAACGACTTGCTGAGTTTTTGGGTGACCAGATGGTCAAGGATAAGGGTTTGGCTTGTAAATTCATCATTTCGGCCAAACCGATGGGTGCTCCAGTCACGGAGAGGGCCATTCCAGTCGCGATCTTTTCTGCAGAAGAGAGCGTGAAACGAACGTACCTTCGCAGATGGTTGAAGGACAATGGCCTGGTCACGTTTGACCTTCGCTCGATCCTAGACTGGAACTATTACATTGAACGGTTGGGTTCCGTTATTCAGAAGCTCATCACTATCCCAGCAGCTATGCAGAAGGTTTCAAACCCTGTACCGCGCGTCCGCCATCCAGACTGGCTTTTCCGTCGAGTTGCTGGTGCAGTCGACAAGTTTAAACAAAACAAGCTCACTGACTTCTTCCGCCAAAAAGGAGAAGAGGGGGACGAAGGCGAGGAAACTCAACCTGCTGACATGGAAGATTTCGGTTTGGAGCCCCGCCAAGTCATCCGGCCTGGGTTCTCCTTTGTCAAGCGTGGTTTTGTTCGTGAAGAATCACCAGAGGACGTCACTGACAAACCGCTTCCGAATCCCACTGTCAACTACTCTGCATGGATCAAAGCGATGCGTCCAAGGTGGAAGAAAAAGCAGGAAGCACGGTATGGTGGAGGGACAGTCATCCCGTCGATGTTCCAGGGGACGAGGGTCCGGAGTAATCATCGTTGGGATATTGTTCAACTTCGACCAAGCAAGGTTCCAGGACGGTTTATGCTCTGGCTTCAAGTGGACTCGGAGCTTCTTGCGGTCCCCCTTCGTGTGCCACGGGAATTCTACATTCATCTCAAAAAACCGGCTGAAAATATTTTTCAAACCGAATATTACTCGTGCGAAAAAGTCACTCGAAATTTGCCCCATGATCTTCCATGCATCAATCTTTACAAGATCATTGTACGGGAAGAAGTATATCAGAAAATTCAGGAACACTTCGTTGATCTTACAAATGACCCCAATGTCGATGGCGTCTTTGAGCAACAAGTAAGTATGAGACCTCCTTCAAAATAGCGTCATTGACTAAATCCCCTAGGTACCACTCGTAATCCGAGCCGTTCTGAAGCTGGGCAAGACGTGCAACACAGACAATTCGAGTCTTACCCTCAATCGCGCCCGACAAGTTGGTTTTGATTTGAACCAACTAGACCGCTGTTTGACCTCTTCGTCACGCCAAAAATACCTCGACAAGGGCAAATTAGGCAAATACCTGTTTTTATACCACGCATGCTCTGCAAACGCCCCTCTTCACGTTTTCGCGGTCTTCATGCCGGGGGGCGAGGTCAGGCTGCATATCGTTGACCCTGCGACCAATCGACAGCCAATTGCTCGTCTAAATTCCGTCTACACTGAAATTCTGGAAAAGAGACGGCAAATGTACGGCCCAAGTGTTTCCATCACGTACCCCACAGCCCCAAAGTTCAACACTGCATATCATTCTAACGACACAACGGCTTTAAAGGCTGTCTCCCGCGAGCTGGGACTTTTCGAAGACAAATCGTTTATCGTCGTTATCTCGTCAAGCAAAGACCAGTCCTATTTTGACCGGTTGGTTCCAAAGCTGGCCAAATTCCCTGTGTTGTGCATGTCGCAGGCGAAGGGTCCTCACACCCTTGACATCTTCCCTTGGCATTCTCACTTGGCCCAGAAGATGTTGAACCGATATCTGTCGCTTGGTCTTTGGCTTGATCGGATGATTGACCTTGCTGAGTATTATGATGTTCCCGTTGGACACATCGAAGGAGATCAACCTCTCATGTTGTCAGACATCAGCTTTGCTCGCCGTTTGGTGCAGCAGGATATTGTCCTGTGGTGGTCGCCGGGAGACCAACCAGATTTGGGAGGAATTGAGCACGACCGACGGCCAACCGAAGATCTTCCAAAAACTGATTTCCTTTCAGCAGGCGTTTATTCGAACGTTTGCTTAGAGATTACAGTCAGAAATCTTGCAGTCAATTCCATATTGCAGTCCGTCATGGTCAACGAACTTGAGGGCAGCGGAGGGGCGACTGCCTTTGATTCGGTATCCCATACGTTAGACGAGTACGCTAGTGGCGAAACGCAACGAGACCTTACGCTTGGCGAGTCGCAGGTTTCTGCACAGACATTTGGTATCATGAAAAACATGCTCAAGTCTTGGCTCGTTGATAAGATCCAAAACATAGAAAATCCCGCCAATCTTGCCCTCGACCATTTCTGGAGATGGATAACGTCCAGCGCTTCGCATTTGTATGACCAGAGCATACACCGCTTCGTACATGGCCTCATGCGAAAGACATTCATTCAACTCCTGGCCGAGTTCAAACGCCTTGGCTCCGTAGTGGTTTACGCTGACTTCAGTACCATCCTCTTGGCCACGTCAAAGCCTCCAGGCACGGCCCACGCCTACGCAACATACATAACGACAGCGGTTACATCCCATGAACTGTTCCAACACATATACTTGAACACGGAGAGGTTCTACGATTTCCTTGTTTGCATGGATCGCGCCAATCTCGGTGGTATCGTATGTGAAGACCCGCTAGCGCTTGAACCGCCAGAAGAACTCGCCATGGAGATGCGTTGGAATATTGAACAGTTCCTGCCTCCTGCAATTCAAGGCGATTTCAGCATGATAATTCAATACTTCATCATTGAGCTCTATCGGATCAAACAAAAGCTCAATCTGACGTCAAAAACTCCATTGCGAGTTCTTCAAAACGATGCTCCAGATGCGACACAGCGCGACGCAGCCAAAGCAAACGAGATTGAGCTAATCTCCGAATTCATTGCCCGACGTTTAACACGAAAGATGCTCAAGGTGGTTGCGAACATTCACGATCGGCAGCGGGAGTATCAAATGCTGGAAGAACCTAGCGGGGAATTCAGTTTTCCGGTCCTCCCTGGATCATATCTCCACATGTCGAATCCTACCCTTGAGTTTACCAAATTCGCCTGTGCCGTCTTCGCCTTGGCCAAGGAGTATCGGAACGAAGTTGGAATTTTGAAACGAAACTTGTTGGAGCTTGTGGGCGTTCGAGAATTTGCGGGCGAAGCAACATTTCGAAATCCGTGCGAGCCACTTAAGCTGGCGAATGTGCCTTGCCGTCACTGCGACGTTCTACGAGACTTCGACTTCTGTCGTGATCCGGAACTCCTCCCGAACAATGTGGATATAAATCCAAGATGGCTTTGTAACCACTGCGGGGGCGAATACGACCGCGTTGCCATCGAGTTCATGCTGATTGAAATGACGAGAGCCTTGGAACGAAACTTCGCGCAACAAGACTTGCGATGTGGAAAATGTCAACAGATCCAATCGGACAATGTTTCTCGATATTGCCGATGCTCTGGCTCTTACCAGTTTACTATTTCTAAAGCTGACATGCGCCGAAAATTAAGGACGATTGTCAACGTTGCTCGCGAGTATAACTTGCCGCGGTTGAAGGTCAGTATAGTCGTTCCATCCCCATGCTTATCTAATTTTATTCCTTAGGAATGCTCACAAACCTTGCTGGGCAATTGGTGATCCAACAGTTAATCCAAAGTTAATCTACGACAATACCCTTCTCGCTCATACCCACCCTAGACACCATATGTACCACAGACCATCATCTCTCATCGTTCATTGATTGTAATCTATCATTGCTACATTTCGTTACATTGTACTCACTAGGAATATCCGATAAGTATTCGTGGTTAGCATATTAATAAGTATAGTTGAAGACGATTGAAATCAAAGCCATCGTATGCCCAGATAGTGTAAACCTTCTATCAGAGAGGGAAACTTGAACGTCGCGGCAGGAGCTGGATTCGAAAATGGCATCTCGTAGGAGGATTCAACTTTTGATAACGTGGTTTCAGTGGATTGGACAACATTGGATAAGAATCCCTTCTTTTTCCAGTATTTAATCCACGATAGAATGTCGTCCTGTCCCAAAGGTTGGAGGTTTGCGGGACGCAACGAAGGGGCCGCCTCCACTGCTCGAACTGTTGAAAGTCTTGGAAAACCAAATGCTTCCGCGTCACCTGGATGAGTAACTTTGGCACTTGACCGATAGAAATCTAGCAGGCGAATCGCAGGGTTCTCCTCACGATGTGAAATGGAGTTCGAATCCCACTGCTCCAGACGTGAGAGCCACTGATGATAAGGCACCAAAGGCACCATTAAAGCTTCGGATACCACAGCGACAATGTTTGTCCAAGGAACTGGAGAGGGATGAACTAGATGGAGGTATAAGTCATCGGACTTTCTCATTTCAACTAACGCAGATGCCGCAGCGTGGATTGGTATCCAAGTGACGCACTGTAATGGTTGAAAATTAACACCTCGGTAAATTATTTTGATCAACTCACGCCATCAGCACGAGGTAAGCAACCAAGAAGCTGCCCAGAACGGACAATGCTTGGGACCCACTCTGAGGTGTTCCAACTCCCATTACGGCCTCCGCATAGTTGTCCAATCCGAACGATAATTGGAGCAAGTTCAGTCCTTTCGGCAGCACGAGCAAGCATTCGTTCCCCTACCCATTTAGATTGGGGATAACCAGTTTGGGAAGCAACGGAAGGATCAGCAACTGGGTTTTCAAGTAAAAATCCTTCAGTCCAATCTGCGTACGTTGCTGGTCAGGGATTGATTAACATGAAGAAAAGAAAATAAGCCGTACTCTTGACCACACCGATGGAGCTTGCAAAAAGTAAACGTGGGGGAGATTGGTAAGGAGAGGAGAGAGCGAAGTCAATCAATCTACGCAAGCCTTGAAGCATGGGTTCCATCGAGGAGAGAGCAATATTGAAGTCAACGCGCCAAGCTAGGGAAAACAGGCCTCAGAATCGCCTGGTATAGGGCGAGAATACAGAACATCTACCGATGTGCATGATGCAAGTGACGTTTTGACGAAGTTCTTCATAGATGGTATCACCCAGCCCAAGCCTTTCTTTCGTCGTATCTCCTTCGAGGAAGACAATTTTGGGAGAGTCGAGTAAAGTAGCGTCGATCCCTCGATCTTCAAAGACAGATACTAGCTTCCTGCGGCTGGTAATGTGCTTGTCCCTCCTGTTCAGCGCGTATATCCGCGAAATCTGATCGTCGAGAACTAGTTTTTCCAATATATGGGAACCCAGGCCGCCCGTACTCCCCGTCAGGAGGACAGCTTCTTGGGATGGGTGTAGGCTAGAGGAATGGCGTGGTGGAAAGTTAAAGGAGTATTTGTCAACCAGAGCGTCCATACCCGCAAAAGCGTTTGATACAGCATCGCTAGGAGTTGCTGATTGCTTGTTGATGGCTAGATCATAGATGAACTTGCTAAGATTATGGATAGTCGGGTTAAGATAGACGAAGTTTGTAGGAATGTCTTTGGTCGAGATATGAGATTGCTGTCGTAATGCGTACAGGATCCTACTTCGAATCCAGGTGACTTGCAAACTAGCAACGAAAAGTAAGGGTCTGAAGAGGAGGCGAGGAGTCGAAACCAGACATACCTATCGCAACCGTGTTCGAAGAAATCATCGTTATCCCCAAACTGCGTGGAGAAAACCTCGCTAATCGTTTTTCGAACGAACACGAGACACTCTTGCATTGAATTTGAGGTAGGAATTGGTATCTCCGTAACAGAAGGCTCTTCGATCGCCTTGTACCCTCTTTCAATCTCATCAGCATAGTCACTGAGAATTGCCTGGCGTCGAGCTGTTCCCTTGGGGGTGAACTGGAATGGCTTAGACGGACTGGAAAACAGGATCATCTTCAACGACGTCAATTGGATTTCTGAAGTGACGTGAGCCCATGATTCCGCGTACCTCTTTGAATATACGGCTATGGGAAGGAGCAAAAAGGTTGGCGTCTTCCACGCTCGGCCTAAATTACCTTCAGATCAGAATTGGACGGTATGTAGGCATCTTACGCACCATATCGCATTTCTAAACTCGATTAGCAAATAATGGTTGGAAGGATCGAAAGCACAAGCAGGAATTGGTTCGATCAAAACCCCAGCTTGGAACCTTCCACGACCAAAAATAACGGCTGAACCAACCTTTGGATGCCGGTTGATAATCGTTTCTATTGTGGTTCGTGAGATTTTGGTGATGATGATTCAGAATACACGGTACCAAGGGGCACTGGGTTCGTCTAAATTTGAGAATATAAGAATATGATGTGAGAGGTGAGAGAACGAGTGTACCTTTTCACCGTTAGAATGCATAATCTGATCATCGGCTCTGCGGAAAAGGAAATCAACAAGGAGCAATCATCTTGGGCACTCGAATATTTACCTCCCATACATCTTCCACAATTCTGGATTGGTGGGATGCCTAATTAGGAGATCGTTCGTATCATACGCATCGATGTCGGAGTTTTGAGTGTTAATCACTGCTGGAGTATGGGTGGGGCATTTCTGTTGAATGGTTAGCGGAGTGATGGGTTTGATTGGTACTTCGTAGACAAAGCAATCCGTACCTGGACAATGAGCCTAAATGTGATATCTCCTCCTCCTTCGTTCAGAAAGACGGGTTTGATGTGGGGAGAAATCTGTGCAAACAAAGGTTACAACAATGAAACCGAGATTAATTCAACTCACATACCTTGAAGTATTCCCAGCCTTCGCTAGGTGGTCGCTCTAAGAGTATCGATGTCAGATGTGGAGCGGCGGATGAAGTGACTGAACGAACGTACTTGGTAGAAACATTGATACAGCTCCGAGTTCAGTTCTGAGTAGATGTCAAGCTGTGTGAATCCAGTTCGTCGAATCAACTTACGCTCCGTAGAGAGGATACAGGTGTACTCCTTTACTGTGCAGCATGTCCCCTACCGCTTTCTGTATCGGTCCACCACCGAAAAGCTGAACATATGGTTGTGACTAGGCGAAAAAAGTGCTCAATGATTATGTGACTTACAATTGCATCGAATTTCTGAAGTTCATTAACTCGTTCAGGTAGTTGGGACCACTCCTGAGGAATGGTGAGTATTCCGGAAGAGTGATCGAGAAACAAACCAACCTCCAAAAAAGAAGGCACGGAGAGTATGAAATTACTCCTGGTGGTGATTGCGCCTGTATATACACTGTCAGGCGAGGATACAGTTGGGGGGCTTTTGGGCGCAAAGTTTGAGATAATGACACCTGTCATCGTCTGTATTATTCAGGGTCAACGCTGGTAATGGAAAATGCGACTGCACATACCGCCCAGGCTAGAGACACGATACCCATTGCATCTGAGGTCGGATTGAGTAAATATGAACTAGAACGATTAAAGGGCTGGCATACGGAAGAACGGAATGCTATGATTTGAAAGAACTCGGCCACATATGTCTCTTTCTCCATGGCCTGCGCAAGGGTTCAGTTAGGGAACTGATACAACGTAATCCCAACTCACAAGGTTGAACGCCCCATTGAAGGATGCTTTGATGACTTATAAAAATAGGTTTTGGGAACGAAGTAGAGCCTGTGTATCCATTGAGCTTTTGAGGAAGGTGTCAGTGTTTGTCAAATCACCTGAAGAGTGTAAAATTATAGCGATATTGCGCAAATCCGTGTCCACCATAGGGGAGAGGGGCGCAAACTCCTCTCCAGATTCTACGTACAGTTGATCGAAGGATGGCACTGGGAGCAGCTCAATTTCACAAGGGCAATCCGAAGAGCTTGCGGAGATAATGCTACGGGCAGAGATGGCAATTTCCTGCATTGCCCGGTCGTCACTAACCAGGACATATTTCGCTTTTGTCTTCTGCAGCAAGTTGGCGACGCCGACGTCTGAATTTCGAGCTGATATAGGGAATGCACGATACCCTGCTCGCATGATGCCCGCTGTAAGGGCAAAATATGATAGTTGGTCTGTTTGGGTCGAACGTTAGCATGATCGGCGGATACGAGTTGACAACATTTGTGTCACCAGTTACTGCCAAGATTGCCACAACTGGCGGATCTGATCCAACTTGAGCATGGGGGTTGGGTATGCCTTGCACCATCATTGCTGCTCTGTGAATAGCTTTAACGGCCTGCCGCCAGGGAATGGTTTGTACACCGCCATCGTCGTATATAAAAAGGGGATGGTCGGGGTTGTTTGAATAGTGAAAGTCATAAATCTCGGGAATAGTTAGTGAGCCATCGAGGGGAGGGGGAATAAATAAAGGAAAGCTAGTCGCTTCTGGGGTAGGAATGCACTTCATGATTTTCGGATAACAGGAATTAAGATCGACGATGTCTTAAATACATGGAGCAGAGACCTGAGTAGAAATATAGGGGATTCACACGGCAGGTCTAAAGTCGGGGAAGGTTAGCGTAAACGTAGGATATAGGAATTGAGTCTCACGATGAGAAAACCCCGATGGCGCGGGTGACACGCTGTTTCGCAAGGGTTATCCCGCGGTGAGTTCCAATCTCTTGAGCTGTCCTGACCGAGCTTGGCCTTCGAAAGCTCGAAAAGGAGCAAAAATGGGAGATAACCGAAACAACCTGTGCTAATGAGCAACCGGCTGCCGCTTCAGAACAGATAGAAAATGGACGTGTATGATCCATTCAATGTTGAATCTTCAGATAAGCTTGGCCAACTCAGTAATTGTCCAGCAACCGGAGCACATGGCGTTGAACGCAACAGTTAATCAACCCCGTGGGAATAACGATTCGGCTCCGTCGGCGCCCGCCGTGCAGCTAAGCCCCGCTGTCCACTCGAGCAATGTGCTTGCTTGCCGATTTCTCGCCGTGATTCGCAGAATATGGACGCCACAGACCTAGGGATGGAGGCAGCAAATAAGTACCATGATGGTCGTAAGTAGCAACCTATGCTGTGGATACTCCAAGAGTATCTTGCTCCCTTTACTCCTTGCTCAACCCTGCACCTGCGTGCACCCGAATCGAGGAACGCTCTCAACTGCGAGTTTTTATGAGCTGAGAACGTACCTTCTTGACCGAATTATTCCCGCCTCTCACCGCATTTCGGCGAGCTTGCCCAGGTTATACCAACTCAGAGGTATATGATGGAAAATGTTCCACACACTGCAAAAATGTAAGAGGGATACTAGTTTCTTGACCGCCAAAAACAGCAGATCTACCTGCGAAGCGGATCTTGACCGGTGTAGAAAATGCACAAAGACGCCAGAGACCTGAGGGCGGCGTAAGAGCTTTCCCATATTGTTGTTTCATGCCTTTACGAGGCATCACTTTTATGCATTCCTGGGAGGAGGGTCTGCGCACAAAAATAGCAGGTTGAACATGAGAGTACTGAGGAACCGAGTGAAACTGATGCCGTTTCATCGGGACGATCCTGACACTTTCTTCGTGAACACATCGGCGACGAAAATCTTGAAAGAAGGGAGCGCGAAAACGGTGAAGGAAGAAAAGGTAAGTTTATACCGTCATGTGACCATTACCAGGCCACTTTAGTAGCTTAAATTGAAGATTGCCTCCTTCTCCAATTGAGAGCACGTAAGATGTTGTATGTGAGTAAGAAAAATGCCTTGACCCGTTACATTTTTGGGCCCTGTTTCAAGGGCCATATGCCATATGCATCATCTAGCTGTACCTCCTTAGAATATTTTTTGTCGACAATGGGGATACTTTACAGCATAGTTGACTTTCTCACCTGGGTTACATGATGGACCATGAATTATGCTGTTAGTTTGACAGTCGGCGTCGCTCAAAAAATGGTTCGAGGGTTATCGAAAAATTTCAAGACTTGCAAATGATCGACTGAAGTCTCGTCTATTGTGAAGTTTCATGTATCATAAAGTCTGGTGGATCAATGATATTAGCCATCAGCGAAACCTCGTCTGTGAGTTGTCTGTGAGGAATATTACCTTCTCTGTCTACTTCATTCTGACCACCTAAGCACTTACAGTGAAGCCTGAAGCTTGATGGCCGATCTAGTTGGCGGTGTTTGTCAACATGGTCGAAGAAAGATAACGGAATCCAGATATCCGTTGGCCTATTAGGTCGGACAAGATATGCGTAAGACAGGCGTGAGTGAGGGACGAAGCGGCCCAACAGTTTCTGCGAGATTGCGGCTTCAACGCAACTTCAACGTCTTCCAACCATTAGGCATTGTTTATTTTTCCGACGATAAAGAAGTTGACATGCACAGCACATGCACAAGTCCAGATATGCAAAGACGTCGACGACCGCATGATAGAGATGTTTTTTGAGTAGCAAATGGCTTGTGAATGCCACTGAATGTATTATGAAAATGAAATCTGCCCTGGGTGACGACTCAGTGAAATCGAGTTTGGTGTCCCACGCCACCGATGAGGAACAGTATCAGTTAGTATCTTTGTAACAAGTCTCCGTTCATCCACGACTCCTGCTCAACTGTAACATCGTATCCTCTAAAGGTCTCTGCACCGCTGCCCCTCTTTTTTCTTTCTATTCTACATCTTTTGCTACATGCTATCATGTCTTCTCAAACCCACAAGCATTCATGCTCTGTGAACCAGAACCACAAGGCACAGCTTGCTAATGCCTATAATGAACTCGGGAAGGAGCTTTCTTCCTCAAAAATACGCGTCGTCGGTAACTATACTCTTGGAAAGGTCATTGGAGAAGGTGAGCTATCACTGGTGTAGATAACCCCACCGATGTCATTGATGTTCGTCTTCTAGGGGCCTATGGAAAAGTCAGGATGGGCACACACCGCTTAACGTCCTCCCGCGTCGCAATCAAGCAAATCCCAAAGGCCATGTCAGCTTCTCTGACCCGCGAGATCCACCACCACCGCCAACTCCACCACCCTCATGTCACACAGATGTTTGAGGTTATCGCCACCGAATCGTCTATCTGGATAGTCACTGAACTCTGCTGCGGAGGCGAGTTGTTCGATTACCTCGTGGAGAAGGGGCGGATACCCGAGGAGGAAACGAAATCCCTTTTTGGACAGCTGTGTCTGGCCGTCGCTTACCTGCATGACAATGGTATCGTTCACCGCGATCTTAAACTCGAAAACGTCCTCTTAGATGAACGATGTCGCGTCAAGCTTGGTGACTTTGGGTTTACCAGGGAGTTTGATAGAGGTAGCTTTATGGAAACGTTTTGTGGAACTACTGGTTATGCATCCCCTGAGATGTTGCAGGGGAAAAAATATCAGGGGCCAGGTGTGTACATTGATGTCAAATTAAAGCACTACCTGACCGTTGGTGCAGAGGTCGATGTTTGGTCCCTTGGTGTGATACTGTATTGTCTATTAACGGGCACACTACCTTTTGACGACGATGACGAAGATGTAATGCGTGCAAAAGTCATCCAGGGAGAGTTCGAGGATCCCGTTTGGCTCTCTCTCGGTATGTCGTTTTCCACTCTCTAGTCCCAAGCTCATCCTACGCATCTCAGAATCCCGCGATCTCATAAAAAACATACTCCAGAAAGACGTCACGAAACGCCTAATGATCCCTCAAATACTCGCACACCCCTGGTTTACCACCAAAAACTTCACTTACGAACCAGATTCGCCTCAGCGCTCACTTTTCCCGCCCGTTTATCCATCTTCCCCCGACCGCGATGATGTACACGCCCAGGATTCGTCGGAAGCATCCACCCAAGAATCCATGTCCCCCTTTATCCATCAATCAGATATTGTCTCCTCCACCCCTACGACACCCGATGACTCCATTCCTGACCCATTTGACAGCACCCCCATGAATACGAGCAAGAAGACTAAAGACTTCCCACCGATCCATCGCACCTGCAGCTCAACCATTCGCAGGACATCGGCATCTGATCTCGAATCTCTCTCTTCTAGGCTCGTGGCGACGGGCGAACGCCAGCCGGCAACGGTGATAGAAGAAGACGATGACGACAAGAGGAAGTCTCATAGGCTGTCGCCATTGTCATGGTCCAATTCGTCTGGGTCCAAGGCACCTCCTGCCCACTCAATCCGGACTCCTGCACGCACGAAACGACGCTCAGTGTCGTCCACCCTGTCAGATCCTGCTTCCCCAACTGTGGACAAAACACCTACGCCATTGCCCCTTCCGTCCGCACGGGACCTTGATTTTGTGTCTTTGTTGTCTACCCCGACCCCAATTATATTTTCCACACCCATGGAGCGCGATCTTTTGAATACACTAAGCACGCTTGGGTTCGATACGGCGCAGATTGTGCATTCCGTGCTGACGGATGCATGTGATGCTGCTGGGGCGGTATGGTGGATGCTCAAGAAGAAAGCAGAGAGGAAGGCGCTGGACAGCGACGCGGGTGGACTGGTCGTCTCGTCCCCAGTGGAGTTTGAGCATAAGCTTAAACTCAAGTCGGGCACAGATGAGCAGTATAAGAAGAAATCGAGGAGCAAGATGCATGCTTCGGTTCAGACGGAGGTTGAGTACCCTGGGCACCACCATGTAACGAGGCCTCCACCTCAATTTGCGGTTGTCCCACCGACACCGACGTTTGTGAGGCCTTCGACGCCTCCTCGACCTGTGACTCCTACGAGATTGCCAATGCTTTCTCCATCTTCGTCGACTATTACGGGTGAAATGTCTTCGTCTAGGTCATACCCGTCTACGCCTGGGGGAAGTATGAAGGACAAGGACAAGGATGGGAAAGGACGGAAGCCGAGGTCAGGGAGCGTGAGTATCATGCAACGGGCTACGACTGCGCTTGAAGCAGCTGGATTGGTGAGAAAAAAATCAAACGAGGCGGTGAGGGAAGAAAAGGAGAAAGACAGAGAGAGGTCGAGGGAGGCAGAGAGGGATAGGCGAATGGGGAGTGGTGAAGAACCGAGATCGTCTCATGGAAGTGGGGGTTCGTCCAAGTTGACGAAATCCCCACCACATAGGTCGTCCAAGGAGAAGGAGTATGGGCTCCCGTCAACACCTCCCCCGGCTGAGCAGCAGCACCATGCGCCCCAGATGGGATCGCCGTGGGTCTTGGCTGATGCAAGGCGAGAGTCAATCTCGCACCCTCATCATCCAAGGGCGGCTGCCATGGTCTCGTCGGTCAACGCGAAGGGGGAGATGCTACACTCACACAGCACACCTAATTTCTCGGACGTGGCTAGTCCTGCTGTTATGGCTGCGGCTGCTTCGAAAACCCCTCCTGCAGCTCCTCCAAATCGTAACCGTGCCAACTTGTTGACTGCGTTTAGGTTGTGGTTCAATGAAGATAGAAAAGGGAAGAGGAAAGATTCTGGTGGTGGTGTTAGTAGTCCGCCCAGTGTTGGTTCTCAGGGAACGTATCGTGGGATGCCGACTCCTGGGATGGGGAAGAGGAGAGGCAGCAATTCTAGACCTGGAGGACACAGACCGAAAAGGCCTTCTATGTCCTCCAGAAGGTCGAGCAGTGTCAATTCAAGAAGGTCCTCGGTGACTTCGGTGCAGATGATGGTGCTTGACTCGCCTCAGGTGCCTACAAGAAGGTCGTTTGGGAGCCATACACCCAATTCGGAGCGGGATCACTCGTCCAGGCCATCGTCTATACGGAGTTTCTCGATGCAGCCAAGGCATCGTAAGTCGCCCTCGGCTAGCTCGGCTGGGTCCACGCACCTTCGTACTGCGTCCCCTATGCAGAAGTATCATGGAAGGGCTGGGTCTGCATCTTCTTCGACGAGGGTTGTGCGTCAACCTATGGCGAGACCTATACATGCCAGATCGAATTCTGCTGCATCTTCAATTCACTCGCCTACTTCTTCAAGACCTACTTCGTTCTATGAGCCATCGGAGAGTGAGGGCCCGAGGACGGCATCTCCGTATAGAAGCCGTGCAAGGCGCTCGACTGATGATAGTTCTGGGTCTACTGGCAGACGCTCTGCTACGTCTAGTGCAGGTGCTACGACCTTTGTGCAGAAGAGGCAGGGTCCGTTCATGAGCCCTATTACCCACGGATATGCATATGGATATGGAAGTGGCGGTGGGAACGTGGGCAAATCGAGCTGGAAGAAGTCGTGGGGGCTCGAGCCTCCTGGCTGGCAATCACGCACTGCACATCTGCCCATTGAGGTCTTGGCCATTTCACCGGCGAATGAACAGACGTCCATTAGGGATGTGTTTTCTGGGAGGCATTCGCTCAGCATTGGTGGGGATGAGAGTGATTGGGTTGACGAGGATGATGATATTCCTGCGTTTGCGGGTGGGTTGGGACAGATGGGATCGTCGGCTGCTGCTGCTGCCGCGAGCACCTTGAGTGGTTCTGTGGGGAGTGGTGGTCCTGCGATGATGACTCTCGAGCCGACGGTGAAGTTGGCCCCTGCGCCTAGAGGTCATCGTAATTCGGCTGGGGCTGTGAAGAGGGCGAATAGCAGGAACGGGGGTACGTCTGGAGTTGGATCGGCGGGGAAGAAGGGAGGTCATTCGCCTTCTGAGCGGTCTTCGCCACTTCCTGCTGATATTGCTTATGACACCGCGGAGACCAGGACGGGAAGGCGAAGCCAGCTTCCTGCTGCGAGGTCCGGGCCTGCGTTCCGCCATGCTATCCAAGAAGAGGATGAAGGTGAAGAAGAGTAGATGGATTCTATTAGTTGTTGTTGGTTCATATTGGACCTTTCCTTTCTTTTACTCTTCCTTTTTTCTGTGTTTTTCGTACACTTACACTCACCTTTTTATATTCGTTCATATGTTCGTTACTGAAGTTTTAACGTTTAGGTTTCAGCTTTCTGGTTAATTTTCCCCTTGTACACGTACACTGGTTCTAACGACCTGGATATCACTTTACTCTAGATACCCTGCCTCTTTGTTTTACTTTCTTTCCCGTTTATAATTTTGAAGTTTAGAGTGTTGTACGAGGCTGTCCGTATGTCATCTTTGCGGTGCGCAGTCACAACACATTAGTCACGTCGTGGGTAAAACATGGGGCTGCGTGACGCCGACAGCTTGCCAACATCTGCTGCCAACGACCACCTCCATCCTCCCCCTCCCTTCATCATCTGACACGGTGAGCTCCCTATTTAGTATTTGCTAAAGGGCGCATTACTGACACCCCACGTTTCGCCCCCTCTAGACCCCGACGCTTGCACTATGTTTGTCTTAGCGCCTTAATGCCGTTCCAGCATGACGCTGACCTAACCCCTCGCCTGCTCGCTCATTCTACATAGGTCTGAACCTTACGACCCATATCTCCCCCGAGACGGCTCAAACAACGCTGGACCTAGTAAGGGCAATGCCAAAACAGCGGCCATTCAAGCGCAGATTGATGACACTGTGGGAATTATGAGGGAGAACATTACGAAGGTGGCGGAACGAGGAGAACGGTTAGATTCATTACAGGACAAAACAGGTGCGTTGTTGGTTTGGGGCTGCTCCTTTTTCGAAGGGCGGTAGCACTAATTTCATATGTGGCGACTCCGCAGATAACCTTGCTGTGTCCGCACAAGGTTTCCGCCGTGGAGCCAACCGGGTTCGCAAGGTGCGACATTCTTCTCTCATGATTCTGTTTTCTTGCTCACGTCGTTCTTTTCGTAATGTCAGAACATGTGGTGAGTAGACGTCTGCTGTGTATTTCGTCCGCAGTTGTCTGATGTCTTGTGCTATTGAAAGGTGGAAAGATATGAAGGTACGTTACTGTTCCCAGCGTCTCTTTTATCTTACTGACACTTGGGCTTTCAGATGCGCATCATCATAGGTGTAGCAATTGCCGTCATCATCGTGATCATCGTCGTGTCGATCGTCAAGGCGACACACAAATAAACTCTCGACCTCCTCTACTGTCCATCCACCGCCGTGTTGTTGTATGTATCTATGCACGTATTATTAATTCCTGCATCTTCACCATGGCATCTTCACTTTACCCTCTACGTGTGGAACAGTAGCCGCTGAAGATACAAGATCTCTTTTGGACCTTTCATGGTTTCTTATCCTCTTGTAACCTTGTTTTCGGATGAACGAGTTTGTTTGTTCATGTACGTGACTGGAGTCCGAAAATATCACCTTCCATTTTACTACAGAGACGTATGTGAAATTAAGCAAGACAATCGACTCAAATTCTCAGCGTCCAACTAACAATGGTACAATGGCCTAACTAAGATACCTTTATGCGCCATATACGAAGCCTATCTTTTAAGAAACCCTATGTTCCACCAGTAAGTCATCCACGAAACAACATTCTCTTCAGAGATTGGTAGGACATTGCCAAGCTGAATAGGGGCCGCGGTCAATGCTTTGTCCATGGCTACTGGCGGGAACCCAAAAGCCTCCCTATCCCTATCGCGTACTGAAACAGGCCTGGACACAGACCGGAAGAAATCAAGCAGGATGAGAGCTGGGTTCTCGATGGCTTCCGCAACAGCAACGTCAGAACCTTCGTTTCGAGAAGACTCCAGCGCGGCCAGCCATTCACCATAGCTTACAAGCGGAACGTCCAGGGCATTGGCAAAGGCGGAAAAGATGAGTTGGACCGGGGCAGGTTTGGGGTGTACCAGGTTGAGGAAGGGTTCCTTGGATGTCCGCATCTCAATCACTGCTGCAGCCGCAACATCCACGGGGATCCATGTTATTTCCTGTGTTATCGCGAAGAAGGTTAGAGCGAAGTGGGGACGAATAGGACCAGTACATACGCCATCTACATGGGGAAAACATTTGAGGACTTGACCAGACCTTACTAGCGCGGGGATCCACTCTGAAGTATCCCAATTTCCCGCTTGTCCGCCGCAAACATGACCGACACGGATAATGACCGGCTTCAACGAGGTTTGTTCAGACGCGTTGCAGAGAATTCTCTCCGCAACCCATTTGGATTCCGAGTATCCAAGGCCTATTGCGCTTGTTGGTTGAAGAATGGGTGCTTCGGGGCTTGGGCCCTCAGTCCAGCCTAGAGTAAACAGGTCAAACAAATGCTAGGAACGTTAAAGTTACATACCTTTCAAAACCCCCAAAGTACTGATGAAGATGAACCGAGGGGGATTGGGAAAAGGCGATCCCAAAGCGAAATCGATCATGCGACGTGTCCCAGCAATCAATGGTTCAAAGGACGACAGGGTGACGTTGAAGTTTACTCGCCAAGCTGCAGGAAATCACAATTAGTGTTGAGGGAAGCCAGAGTGTTAAAGTTAGCACCGTTGTGGATAACACAAGTAACGCTCGATTGTATCTGGTGAAAAGTGGCCTCCCCTAGGCCGAAATACTCAAGGTCAGAGGACCCTTGAAGCATCACAACTTTGCTGGATACGAGGCTGGTAGTGTCGAGGCTATTTCGTTCAAAGGCAGCTTTATGCCTGGCGAACATAGTCCTTTCAGGTCGCTTGATATCTTTACGATTGAGTGCGTATATTCTCGAGACAGATGTGTCTTTTTCTAGCTGCTCGAGAATATGCGATCCAAGAAAGCCAGTACTCCCAGTGAGCAATACAACCTCGCCACCAGCCGCGGATATCGCACTGCTGGGTACATGACAAGGAAAGTTCGCGCTATATTGCTGGACGAGCCTCTCCATGTCGGTTATTTTCCTTGAGGACACCGTGAGGGATACGGAGCTCTGCCCTCGGACCACGACGTCCAATATATATGTTCCCAACTTCCGGATGCTGGGATTGGCATATACAAAGTTCTGTGGAATAGGTGAAGTGGACACTTTGGCTGTATGTTGTAGAGCGTGTAAGAGGGTGTTGCGTATCCAAGCGGCTTGGAGACTGTCTGCCCGTAAACACTAAGCTTTTTCTCTAGATGAACTCGACGAACCTGTCGCATCCTGCTTGGAATATGTCTTCATCGTCACTGACCGGGACCTGCAAAACTCTCCTAACTGCGCATCGCACGAGAACGAGGCAATCCTCGATCTCCCATATCTCGGATAAGGGGATGTCAGGCTGAGAGTATTTGTCTGCAGATCCATATGCTTGTTCTATCTCGTCTTGGTAAGCAGTCAAAACAGCCATCCGACGTGGTGTGTTTTTCGATGATATGTCGAAGGGTTTTAGGGGGCTCGCTACTAAAATCATCTCTTTGAAAAGTCGAGAGTGTGTTGGAGAACAGTCGTTGACTTGTTCCACAAGTGGCCTGCTCATCGTCAACGTGGGTAGAAAAAGAAGTCATGTTTGAATGGTTTTACCAGATTTCATTCCGAAATTCCGCCAAAAGACCCTCGTTTCCAGTGTCGAATTGATATTGTAGCTTTGGCTGTACGATGACTCCAGCATGAAACTGCCCTCGTCCAAACATGACAGCAAATTCGATTTTTTCATGCCGAGTAAGCATCGATTCTGTTGACTGATTCATCACTATTGGGAAACTATATGTTTCATAGAAGTACCTATTGGAATAGGGTTGGTCTACGAGGTTGAATTAACAGCGATATATACGCGATGCAGCAGATATAGACGTACCTTTTCTCCATTGGAATGCATCAATTGTTCGTCGGCACGGCCGTATATTCGCCACATGTTTGGTTCGGTTGGATGGGAGACCACTAAGTCACGAGTATCATACGCTCTGAGCCCTTGAAATTGCGCGTTGAATACACTAGGCGAATGGGTGGGACATTCCTACGCGTCGGCATGAGTTGAAAGAGGATGGATGGAGGGCGAGGCGGCGTACTTGAAACAACAGCTGGAATACGTTGCCCTGATATGGAAGAAATACTGGTCGGCAGTGGGGGGAAAACTGAAGTCGTAAGAGACCTGAGGTGGAGATAACGAAGGAGGCATTTACCTGAAAATACTCCCAAGCTTCTTTCTTGGGAGCTAGCATGGAAAGGTCAGCCGTAATGTTGTTAAGTATAATAGATCTCCAACCTGGAACAAAGGCCATGACCGGGCCCACCTCCGTCCTGTTGAAAAGTTGAGGAAGGTAGGGATGGTCACAGTTTAGACAACACCAAAGAATCAAACTTACGCCCCATAAATTGATATGATGTTAACATCGTTCGACACAAGCATGTCGCCGATATCTTTTTGCAACGGTGCACCAGCGTATATCTGTGTGCAGAAAGGGGAACTGTTAGCGATATCTTCTGGCGATGAATCCGTTCCATACCACGCCGTGAAATTTCTTGAGCTCTACCAGCTGGTGAGGCACCCTGGACCATGACTGAATTTGCTTTAATGTTTGTTGTAAACTGGAAGAGTTAATGACCAACCTCGATAAAAGAGGGGACACAGGTTATATAACTGCTGTGCGTAGCAATGGCCCCCGAAAATACACGGTCTGGAGTCGGAAGGGCAGGCGGATCACGAGGGGAGAAACTGGCCATTGTAAGCCCCGATGCCATCTTCAAAAAAGTCGAGTCAGCTTGATCATTGATTTGGTCAAACCAAGTACCGTCCAGGGGAGCATTACGCAACCGATAACATCTTCATGAAAGATCAGAGGTTTTTGATGAAAAAAAAAAAGTTCCATACGAAACATGGCTAGGGAGTGACAAGCGAAAACTTTCCCGCAGAGGTCGCGATCTCCAAAATCTAACAGCGGATTTTCGTTCCAGGCTCAAAGAGGAAATCATGGGATGCTTACATGGCGCCAAGCCAGCGTCGACGAGCTGGTGGGACACGATACCAATCGGCTTTGGATGCGATGTGGATCCTAGAATAAAACCATTTACTCCAGCTTCCTGCGTCAATAAAGCTAGACCACTCACCAGATGAGTGCAAGATGAGACTGGGTCGATTGCATTCTTGTTGCTGCATCGGAGGTAGCGGGTCAAAATCACTCTCAGTTCCGCCGAACAGATACTCGAAAGTGGGTATTGTTATCGGCTCCCCTACGGAGCTTTTCAGAGCAGGACTTGGGTATACGCTTCCGATGAGTTTTTGAATGCTCGGGTCATGGCTAATAAGAAGGTATTTTGATCTCGTTTCTTGCAACAGATGGATTACGGCTGCTGGAGAATTTCTTGGAGAGATCGGGAAGGCTTGACAGCCTGCACGAATTATTCCTGCGAGGAGAACAAAGTAGCTAAATGTATCTGCGGGTTCTAATGTTAGAAACAGCGACATCGAGGTAAGGAGTGAGACCTACCCGTGTTAGCCAGGATGGCAACCACCGTCGACGGGTCGTCGGAGCCTTTCCCACAGATTTGTTGAATGTATCGCGCAGCAGTGTGCACGGCTCGAACCGCGTGTGCCCAGGTGATCTCCTCAATTCTACCCCCTTCTTCGAACAAGAAAAGGGGATGATTCGGGCTATTCTTTCGATGAAAATCAAAGATTTCCAGCATGGAGAGCGAACCGTCTAGTGGTGGGGGGGTGAAAGTGTTGCTCTTTTGCCCTTGGCTTGTCTTGTGAGCTGTGTGCGACATCTTGCGAAGGAAGCAGTCTGGTCTGTAGGGAGGAGGAAAGGTGGTACTTATAGTAAATTTGGGTGGGAGTTCCCCTCAATCAAGGTTCGATTTGACGCACCTAAGGCATGACACATTTTAGCGATGGAAGCCTCGGAAGACCCATTCTTTGGCATCGGATCCATTGACACCGAAAAGTGTCAAAGGCACAGAAAACCAACTGAAAACCGCTATGGACCATGGCAAGTGAAATGTTGCTCTTTCGGCCTTGGCTTGTATTGTCAGCTGTGTGCGACATCTTGGAAGAAGTCCGGGCTGAGGAAAGATGGTGCTTATAGCACATTTGGGTGGGGGTTCCCCTCAATCAAAGTTCGATTTGACGGCAGCAAGGCCAGCATGTACAGCTGACACTAGCGCTGTTGTGGCGGCGGGAGGCGCAATTGTGTAGGTCAAGGAGTGTTGATCCAAACCTCTGGATGAGTGGTTTTTGCTGGAACGATGACTAGATTGCATTATCCGTTGATGGTTTGCGTCTTAGTTTGATACTTTGTGAATTATCCTTGATCAAGGCAAGAGACAACAAGCAAGCGTTGTTCCCTCGAAGCACATGCAGCAAGGTTGGCGTGTCACCTGTCTGTCAATCACAGATCGCATTGTCAGAGGTCGCAAAGCCAGCCGCAAGGTGGACGCACTATGTACTAGCAGAGTCACTCAAATCTCGAGTGGTGACTTCGTCCAAGTGTGGAGAAAAGATGGACACCGCACGGCAGGTGGAGAGTACGGGTTATCCAGATCTCGCTCTTTATTCGTAAATCGAAGTTGCTGATCATCGTGGTCGACGTTGAGGTACAAGTAACAAGGCTTCATCTCAATTATTGAACGGGCGTGTCGTCAAGTTTTCAAAATGAAAGGATAGTCGACATAGCAAATCTTTCACACGAAGTGACCAGCTGTTCTGAATGTCCTATGTCATATAATTTCGTAGTGTTGCATAGGTCATACATCGAAATCTCCCATTCATGGTCACCAAGCCCCTCATCGTCCTCCCTTGCCACCCTTCATCTGCTGCTTGGAGACCTTGGGACCTGAAGTGGTTGCTTGGCGCGCAGGCTGGCGATGTAGTCTATTAGAGTCCCGCAATCAATTAATCACGAAATAAACGAACCTTGGCCTTCTTCACTTCCTTCTCCTTCTTCTCGGTCTTGGCCTTTGTAATGGCAGCCAGTCTTTGTTGTGACCTAACGGCGGCGGTTTGGTTGCGCTTCGCGGCAATGGCGGCAAGATCAGCACCAACGATTCCGCGCTGGTGTTTCACAGTCCTGCGTGAGCGCTTCTTAGCAACCTCCTCCGTGATACCCTTCTTGTGCATCCTACGGTAAACTTGAGTCCAGGCGATTTTACGGGGATTTTTGCGCTGGAGGAAGAGCGAAGCATTTTTCGAGCCAGCGAAGCGGAAGACCTGAAGAGGACAAGGTAAATGAGAGGAGGTCTTGATACGATGGGATAACGCGTACTTTGCTGTCGCCGCGAACGAAAAGCTTGCCCTTGCTGGGATAGATACGGTAGCCGGAGAAGGAGTCAATTTCGACCTTCTACACTCCCAAAAATTGATCAGAAGAGACAGAAGAGAATAATAGTTCAAACGCACCATCTATGAAGAAATGGGAGGGTTGGAAGAAAGTCAGATTTCTGTACCACATTTGGGGACCCTGCGTCATCCAAAGCAACCATCCACCATCCATCCAAAATTCCGTCCAGATGTCATAAACAGCACCTCTGCCGAATCCCATCGTTCTCAAGAATACGATTCCGCGGCGCAGCAGCCTGTCCGAGTTAAAACTGTGCTCACCTTGATGAGTTTTGTCGGGCAGTCGTTGATGAGTGTGCCTCTCCTCACCAAAGCAGATGGCGCCTCGGCAAATACCGAGCATAGCCACTGGACTGTTTGCCGTCATAACCGTCTGCCTTCCAACTTTCAAGAAACGCAAGTTCCAGCAAAGTTTTTATGCCCGATCTCCCTATCACAAGATACCTAATGCACTCGTGGAGGGGATCAAAGATATCCAACACCTCTCGCCACGCCCCGCCCCTCTGACTCGCACCTCTTTATGACCAATGTCATGAAGTTGCCTGAATGTCTCTTTGTTTCAAGAGGTATATATTCGTGATGGTACCGAAGGCACCACTCCCCATTTCGTTCAAATGGACTGCGATGAAATATTGCTCCATGCCTTGCATCTCACCGTTGTCTTTTACCTCATCTCAAAATGGTGGTCATCGCTTTCACCGTCGAATTTCCTCGAAGTGTTTTGCGAAGGTCTCGCGTTTTCTATTCCATATCCCAGAACACAGAAGGTAAGAGCCACCGGCCAGTCATATTTTTTACACGTCACTCACTCGTTTCAACAGGCTGCACTAAAGGAGATCAGACATCATCTCGTGCAATTACAGAATGACGAGAGTTTTTTAGGATGCCACTTTCAGCTGTCGATTCCATCACTGACACGAGATGAAGAAGAGGTTGTGGTTACTCCACCTATGTACCACCTCTTGGTGCATCCCAACACATATGTGAGGGTTACAATGATCCGTCTGGTCGCGTCGAAGAGCAAGGAATGTGCGGCTCAAACCGACAAGACTCCTTTGCACCTTCGTGACACAACATCTATCTCAATGACCCATCTGGAAAACCAGGATCGTGCGAATCAGACGGAGCGTCCATTGCGTTCTTCACAAATTCCTTCCACCCCTCAACCTCAAAGCCGCTCTTCTGTTAGCCAACCCGTGGCTGGGACATCTACAGGCTCCCAGACCAATATGCCTTTGTCCCGAACTCTTTCAACTCCCACCAACGCTTCGATGCACAACACTTCTCCAGCTCAAACCCGACTTTTCAGCAGCCATGCTAGCAGCACTCCGGCGCCTCTGGAAGCCGCCGTAGAGTCGCCTTGCAACCAATCGGGGAAGCGACCTGCGCTAGAAGAGAGCACCAGTTGGAGCGAACCGTCGCCATCATTAACGCCCTCTCACACTGTTTATGGTATGCCCCAACTCTAACGAACCTTCCAAAACTCACTGACGGTTCCACTGTTCCAGAGCCGGATGAAATACCACCCCAACATTTGGATACGCACGAAGATACCTATGTCGCAGTTCGTATAGCGACAGATATCTCTTCCGTAATTTGTGTTCGGGCAAATGCCGCCGACTCTGTTCGCTCATTCAAGCATCGAGTGCTGGATCGCTGTGGAGCTCTTGTAGATTCCCAAAGCGGGGACGAGTTCTATCTGTCATATCAAGACACGAGGCTCCTCAATGAAGACGCCTCGTTAGGGGACCATAACATTGGCAGGCCCGATTTGGTGCAATTGATTCGTCATCCACGCTCAATCTTGAAGGAAGAGCGACGTATGCAGATGGAAGGGAGCGCTTCGAGGAAAGCAGTGGTTGATGATCTGGAGCGGGTTAGATCAGCTCCTGTTTGCCGCGATATTCGAGCAGACGAGGAGAGTAATTGTTTTTGATATTTGAGAAACTGTTCTTTGTTGCAATGATACGCTACGATAATATATTTACTGCTTAGGCTCGTGACCAGCCTGTATATGAAAACTTCGATATACAGGCTGGTATGTCTGAGTTTAAATCCCCGTACCGCGCGGCTCCCACGCCAGTTTCCATAAAAGGTTCGATGATTTTTGACCTCCCCTTAACAATCCGGTCCGGCCCACGCCAAATCTTCCCGGTCTACGATTTCCTTGCGTCCAACCGAAAATCGTCTTTCAGCTATGCACCCCAGAAGCACAGCCGATATATGTTTATATTAATCCTTGTGTTTTCTTTAACCTTGAATGTACATATTTCATGGCAAGACAACGAGAACCTCCCAAAAATATAGGCTACTGTATTCACGGTCTCCGTTGCGTGAAATCGACGCACTTTCTCATGAATGGCACATTTGTAAAATCTGGAGTGGTTTCATTCATACCAGTCAACTTCTTGGATTTCTGTTACTCATCCATTTTGTCACTCAGCTATCTGTTCTTTCTTTTCCCTCCTTGTTTGAGTAGATAGTGGAAACGCGATGCGCGTCGTGCGACACGTGCTTATTGTTTAGGGGAGGTCAGAAATCATCGAACCTTTTATGGAAACAGGCGTGGGAGCCGCGCGGTACGTGGATTTAAACTCAGATTTACCGGTCTGTACAGTTGCGGACAACTAAAGTCAACAAATTTATAGACCGATTTATTGAGACCGGTAGGGATTTTTTAAAAGTCCGAAAACCATCGGAATAGGCAGGAATTGAGTAGATCTTTCAAATGGTACGAGCCGATTTCCCAAAAGTGAGGATTTGTCAGAAAAAAGGTCCAAAATTTTGGCGCAGGCCCAAAAAAATCGATAAAATATCGAAAAAGTCATTTTTGGATAGATCTTGTTGAGTACTGTCAGAATCCACCGAAAGAATAAAAATAAAATAGATCCTCCCCTTTAAAAAAAATTGCTATTATGCTGCCTAAACCTAGAGGCTGTCCTCCTAAAAAACATTGCAACCTTGCACGCCTCCAAAATAACCCTTTTTTGACTTCCATTCCATCAGTGACATCATTTTCTCAAGGCCGTCAGCCTGTCAGTGAGGGAGATGATGAGGAACTGATCACGAGATCTCGAGAGTCACATCCATTGCACAAGAAAATGAGGCAAGGGAAGCTGAGGATTCAGGAGAAGAGATGGATATGCAGAGAGTAACTGGGATGAGCTTGATTAGCAGGATTTTCCTGAGAGACTGGCTGAGATGGCGATGTAGGATGCAAAAAAATTGGCTCAAAATTTTGGCGCAGCCAAAAACTCGTGGGAATAACATGAAAACACCATTTTTGAGCTCCTTTTGCCTGTCCAGTTTTAGATCTGTCGTCAGATTTCCGTCAAAAAATCTGGTTCCTGAGATACTCAATTTGTTGACTTTAGTTGTCCGCAACTGTATATCGCAGGTACTTCTCTCATATATACAGAACGGTCACCGGTCTATTTACTGCTCAATAATAAAACTCGACTGGGGCTCACCATCACGTGCTGAGCACAACTCCTCGGCCCGCCGTCCAGAACCAGCCTCCTGGACCTCAAGCGGCGCGCGCAGGACCGCCAACGAATTTTCAACTAAAGGATGTTATCGGCAAGAGGGTGATCGTCTGACTCACAGGTCCCCCTTGCTCAAACTCTTCCCAGTGAAAGTCCAGATTCGCCAGGCCTTTTCAACTCGAGCTTTGCTCGAGCTCCGCTCATGATCACCACAGTGCCAATGTTTGGCAGATGCTGAGTTAGGAGAGGTTCTCGACACCGAGAACTTCTCCTAGCGCTGGCTCTCTTTCAGACCACGTCTATCCAACCCAGGTAGGCCCGCGCCCTCTATCTGCCTGCCCATAAATGCACAGTGATTCTCGTCGTAGGCCCCGCCTATTATCTACTCTAAACAAACATAATCACTTGTCTCTGGTGAGGCTCTCGTTTCACTGGACATCGTCCACTTTTCTTACGTTTATCTGGTTCAGACTTGGTTTGCCAGATAGTAAGAAGCCCAGCAAGATCTATTCGACTCATTGCTCACATATCGTGCCTGTCGCAGATTCTCTCCAAACCCTCCTTGTGATCTCATCCGTTCGCAGAGGGCAGAAACAAACGACGACATCACCGCGTAGGCTAGACATTGTCACCGGCTACGCACGATGACCGGAGTAGTGCGGCTTTGGTACGTACTTCTCGGTGACAACGGCCCCACTCCGCCACGCTCGATTGAAATCGGCCTGGACGAGCTGGTGTGTGATCTTCAGAAGATCATCACGACGAAGAATTGCATCCATGACGTTGAGCTTGAATACATCGTATTGTATAAGGCGAGTGCATTCCAAGCCATCTAATCCTTTGTAGCTCAAATCATGCTAGTCAAACCAGTCAATCCCTATCACTCCTGAAAACCATCTGTCCGGACGCATCAAAAATAAAGGAGATATTGACACTTTAGCCATCGAAGTTGAGGAGTCGTCTGATAGTTTTAAGTAATGTCTTTTCAAACGGGGTGGCTGATGACATGCTTCACTTGATTGCAAAGCTTCCATCTGGTGCGTGTGTTGCATTTATGCCACTGCCTACACATCGACTGATATACACGCTGGTACTGGTCCGGTTTTGGGTTCCTGTCACCAAATAGATGAAGAAAAACCACCACCTCTGCGAAAGCGAAATCGGATCAATCAAGATTTGTTGGAAAGAGGTGCAGTTGGTATGGTGTTATACCTGACAATTTCTCAGTCTCCTCATGACTAAATCTGAGTGTCTTCAGGCTCAACAATCACACCGTCCGGTTCGAAGGATTCAAAACATTCTGTCTCCGGCCATGGATATAGAAAGCCTCGATGTCTTTGTGCAAGAGAAGGAAGGCGTCCTAATGAAATTATGTATCTTCTCTACGGCGCCCTCTGGAAGGAGGAACAAGCTTGGAGCAAGATCTCTCGTATTGTTCAAGAGCATGTTTCAGATCCACTTGTCGCACCTAGACAGGACCATGATTGTGACCTGGATCCACGCGAGGAGGCTCAGGTCATTGATCTTACATCTCTTTTGAACTAGACGACAACAGATGTAAATTTTGACCTTTTGGCTCCTGTCATGCTAGCCCGAGGCGAATACAGCAATCTCGACAATTTTCTGGAAACAAGTTCCAACCATGTCGTCCTTGAAGGGCAACCTGGTGTCGGTTGGTCCATCTATCTCTCATTCCATCCCGTAATGTGTTAATTCTTTTGTAGGAAAGACGGTCTACTTGACATACTGTCTAGTGAGGCGACTGATTGCCGGCTTACCCACTATTTTCGCGAAACAAAAAGATGATCGTTACTTGTTTTTGGATTCAGGCGTCTACTGGATCCCATCCTACTCTTTCAACTTGTCTGGACATCCGCCGTTTACCGATCGAGTACTAGTGAAGAACACGCTCGTGTTGTTTGATCTCAACGAAATGCAATCAACACCAGAACAATTTCAACACTGGAGAGTTTTGGCATCGTCATCGCCGCAACCTGGGCGATGTAAGGAGTGGGCGAAGCACCGACTGGCTAAATCATGGACCATGAAGACATGGTCGTCGGGAGAAATTAATTTTGCTCGGTATTGTTCAATGGAAGGGAGTGCTTTGAGGAATGCAGTGGTTGATGACCTGGAGCGGGAAAGATTAGTTCCTTTTTGTCGCAATATTCTGGTAACCGAGGAGAGTAATTGTTTTTGATTTTTGAGAAATTGTTCTTGTTGCAATGATACTCGAGTATGCTACGATAATATATTCACTGGCCCGATAATAGAACTCGACGGATGGGTGTCTCAATTTGTGGTTTTCCTTAGGATAGGGATATGGTTGCGGAATGATACCTGCCACGGGTCAGTTGGCTTATCCTGCTTTGAGTGCCGTTCCAAATCGGCCAACGTGAAGGACGGATCGAATGGGACAGTGATACACCGATCTTCAACACGTACAGACCTTGCTCGCAATGAAATGGGCTATATAGGTTCGGCAGCCGATATGTAAAGTACTAGAAGGTAAAAGGCGTCAAATCACACGGCACTGGAAGGACAGTAGAATGGACACACCATTATTTCCTCTAATAAAAGCGTCTCCATACCGATTCGTGACTACCCCGTTGACGTGCTCCTCAGTCTGTTCCAAAGCAATGTTCATGTATCCATCCAAGCACGATAGGAGTCCTAAGAAGATCAATCAGAACCTTGGCTGCCGAAGGAGAGTCCAAGATGCACACCTCGGTAATCAACCCCCGATGTGAGTCGGACGATCACCCTCTTGCCGACAACACCCTTGAGAAAATCCGTTGGTGATCCTGTGTGCGTCGCTTGAGGAGGAGGCGGCTGCGGCGGAGGAGACTCGTTTGACGGCGGCGGAGGGGAGTTGTCCATAATCACTAGCGACGAGCAGAATGCTCTACGTGATGGTGAAGGAAGAAAACGAGATACAGAGCTTCCGGCCGCGTCAAGGACCCTGAAGCCTTGAGAACAAACATCCGCAAAGCGACCATAAAATTGTGGGCTTATTTCCCAGTGACAACCATTCCCAGCTGTCATGTCCTCCTCCACAGTGCGGGTCACAAAGTACGCCGCTATCAAGAACGCACCCCTCGTCGGTCTCGCAGAGGGCAATGGTTCTTTTAGCAACGTCCATTTGGCCATCCTCGTCGTCGTCGTCCCCTATGTTGTCAAGTCCTTCACTCCCATTGTCAAGTACGGCGGGTTCAAGACCTACGTGTTCTTGCTTCTCTTACTTGGTGCACCCACGGCTGTCGGCTACTGGTCTTTCATGAGCATTTACGGGGGCAGGAAAAACGAAAAGGTTCAGTTGCCTGGCAAGGATATTGACGAGTACATCACTATCAACGACCCCGAGCTCAAGAAGCTGTACAAGGGCAAGGAGAAAATCCCCATGCAGGTCTTCCACGACGCGTATTTCGAGGGCAAAATTGATTTCAATGGTTAATTTGCTTACATTGTATTTCATCTGACGTGTTGATTTTTGACGCGACGTTTTCATTTTAGGCGACGTCCTGGACGTGCTTGAGCAACGCCATGACTGGGCCAAAATGACCTTCACGCTGGAGTTGTTCAAATACGTGTTTACCGTCCTTATTCCTGAGGTCGTTGTCCACTCGCAAACCCAGGACGAGGAACAGGTTCGAGGCCATTATGACCGTGAGTTGTTGCAGTATATCTTTCTTGACCGCCATCGTCTCATGCTAATCGTGTTATAGGTGGTGACGACTTCTACTCTTGGTTCCTTGGCCCACGCATGATCTACACCTCCGGCATTGTTCTGGATGCTGACGCCGATGAATCCTTGGAGACTCTTCAGGACAATAAGCTTGCCGTCGTGTGTAGCAAACTGAACCTCAAGGAAACTGACACGTAGGCCTACTTTCCTTCTTTTTTTTTTTTTGTTCTTAAATCTTATATGACTTTTTCAGCCTGCTTGATATTGGCTGTGGATGGGGAACGCTCGTTGCGTACGCCGCCAAGAACTTCGGATGCGACGCCACTGGTGTTACGCTCGCTAAGAATCAGACCCAGTTTGGCACAGAACGAATTGCCAAGAACGGGGTATGCTCGCTCCAATAAACCGCTTCCGCCCTGTGCGCTAATCCTTCCCGACAGGTGTCTGCTGACCGTGCCCGTATTCTGTGCTGCGATTATCGTGAGATCCCTGCCGGCACTACATACAACAAGATCGTTAGTTTGGAAATGGCTGAGGTTTGTCAGACTGTGCAGGGTACGCTGCGGGCAACTGATGGTCTCTTTAGCACGTCGGCATCCGTCGATACTCTCAATTCTTGAGCCAGGTCTATGATCTCCTTGACGACGACGGTATTTTTGTCTTCCAAGTTGCAGGTATCCGCCCAAGTTGGCAATATGAGGATCTTATCTGGTAAGTAATACGTCAATACTTCAAAAGCTTCTCTAAATTTTCCTCAGGGGACTTTTCATGAACAAATATGTCTTCCCTGGTGCTGATGCTTCTTGCTCTCTTGGCTGGGTTGTTGGCAAGGTATGCAGGCAATAACTGTGCTTTTGTTCCTCCCTAACATCAATTCTTTATCACCAGCTGGAGAGCGCAGGCTTTGAGGTCAAGAACATCGACGTTTTGGGCGTCCACTACTCTGCGACTATCTACAGATGGTACTTGAACTGGGTCAGCAACAAGGAGAACGTCATTGCCAAGTATGGTGATCGCTGGTACAGGATCTGGGTGTTCTTCTTGGCTTACAGCACCATCACTAGCCGGTTCGTGGCTCCTCCCTGCTGATGTTTTTGGTTATGTACTCATATCACTCTAGACAAGGAGGTGCTTCCGTGTTCCAGTTCACGCTGCACAAGAACTTGAACGCCTACCACCGTATCGCTGGTGTGGCCAGCCACGCTTCTATCCATGTCAAACTTGACAAGGAGCCTTCGTAAGCATTCGCTACGTCCTGCTCGTTGTCGTTGCTAACGGTGTCACTCAACTAGGTTGATCGAGTAGTTGAACGATTTGCTTTGATGTTCTGTTGCGGAAAATTACCCTACGATCGTAACTCCTCTTGTTCGACCTGGACTTTGGATAATGATGCGAGATCTACGAATACCCATATAAACAGATTCTCGTTTTGACATTTCCTCATGAGATCTTAGAGAGACTCAGTGCTACTAAAAAAATTCAAGACTAAGTGCAAATGAATGCGCGAGCTAGATGGATTAGACGTTGTCCGAGTGTCGTTTCAAAGTTTAATCTTTGCACACAGCCAGCCATCACAAAACTAGCTCTTCTAGCTGGTATACGCCAATGTCTGTTCTCATCGCCTTGTCATTCTTCCTTTGCCTCCAATCACCCTTCTCTCTTTCCTTCTTCCTCTCCTTCTCTGGTATGGCAGCTTCCTTCAATGCCTTTTCGTGTCCTACTGCGAACGGCTCCAAAGGTCCTCTCAGTTGTTCTACCATTTCAGCGAACACCACTTCTGGCTCTAGTTGAGCCCGTAGATGCTTCAAGATCTGGTGAGCGGGAGGATGCTGCAGAAGGGAGAGGAAGGAAGCATCCATGAGTGTTTGTAGGAAAGCAACAACCTGGTAGCGGTGTAAGCAATGTTTGAGCGGGCAAAGTTGGTAAAGTACCTTTTCAAGAGGCAGCAGCTCGTCCTGCTTCTTCCCTGCATCCTTCCTTCCAACAACTACCCACATCCCATGCTCGTTCTTTCGAATGTCTTTCTTTGAAGGAAGCAGTCTCTCCTCGCCCGCTGCTCTCCGTGCTCCCCATTTGCTGACCCAGTCGTCGAGAACTTGAGCGACACACATTATGTCTTCGATCTCTCGAAGATGTTGACGGAGGGCGAGGAGAAGGTATTTTTGGGATGTTGGATATGTCGTACAAAGGGATAAGAAGGAGGGGAGGGATGGGATGGATGTGGCGGGATGGGAGTCAACCTCCATGGCGTCGGCTGAGTGTTGTTCCCGGTGATAAACGGCAACGACGCGTAGACATTCGACAATCTCTGATTCTGGGAGGTCCAAGACGGTGGTGAAAGCTAATCGGATTGACACCTTCGAAAAATATGAGGTATGGGGTGGTTTAAAAAACATGGAGATGCTCACCCAGTCGTTCCTGGCTCTCAGGGCGGTAAGGAGGCCGTTGCCGCCATCTACCATGCCACTGGACACCACCCTTCTCTCTAGTAGGTACTTCAGCACCTCGGGTGAATACGACGATGGTGAAAGATGGGCTTTGTTGCTTTTTATTGACGTTGAGAGAACAGTGTTGAGTACATCTCTGACAAATGTGAAGCTCAGAGATGGCTTGGTTGCACCATTGGTTGTGTTCTACGATGCTCAGTCAGAAAGGCAGCAGAGCGTGATGAAGATGATTTGCCTTTTTCGTGTCGGCTTCCTTCTCCGACTTCTCCCAGGCGAAAAAGGCTGCAGCGGCTGCTTGAGCTCTTCCAGCTTCCATAGCTGTACGCATTGTTTCAAGGAGTTTTGTGCGTGCCACATCAGCTGGCTGTGTCTGAGTCGTGGGCGTATTGCGTATCCATTGCTTGCTTGATGCTGCTTTACCCATAGCAGCTGCGATGGTTGATGTGTGAGGGATTGCGTATGAAACGACGATGACACTCGAAGTAGATTGCATTTTATCTGCGGTTTTTCCGGAGGGGGAGAGGAGGAGAAGTGCTTGATCTTGGAGGGTTTGGTTTTGGGCCTCTTTGCTGGAGATAGTGGAAGCGGGAACCAGACGGAGTTGTAGAGGGTTGGGTGCCAACACTGAGGGGATGGGCAAGGTTTGGGAGGTGAGGAGAATGGAGTATTGAAGATCCCATAGGAGGAGAATTATCTCCGATGGAGAGGTAGGCGACACACCGGAGAGGAGGACGTGAGAGGACGTGAGCGCAAGCAGTGAGATGGACTGTTTTAGTGTAGGGGACGAGATAAAGGAGAGTCCAGTCAGTTGAAAGGGTGGTGATAGTTGAGAGAGTTGTTGATCGTCGGACGGTGGGGATGTCGAAAGTTGGTAAGAATGCCATGTACCGTCAGTGCCTTCCTCCTGTGTGAGAATCGGAAGATAAAATAGGGTAGGAACGGCGTACAAAGAACACTGATGCACCCTGAGGCGCTACATGACGAGCTTGCGATCTCCTGTGGAGGATTTGCATCAGCGTGGATCGAGGAGATGGAAAATGGTATACATTTTGTTTGAAGGGGAGGCTATAATCTCCCACTTGCGCTATTATATCTTGAGTGTCGATAGTAATGACTTTCAACCGTAAGGAGGAGGGTGGCGTTTCTTCAGATACGATTTCAACGAGGGCGGCGGCAGCGGTCGTGGGTACGAATGAGGCTGAGCTGCTGGGGAAGAAAAATGAGCGAAGTACATTGGATGACCTCGGTGACGAATGAGTCTTTGGCGTTATGAAGTCCAAAGACTCAGAGTCATGTAGCGACACCTCCCCACATTTTGACAGAACGATGAGTCGTTGCGAAAGCTCTTCGCATCTGTAAAGCCTGTATATCGATTTCTTTGGTGGAAGCTACAAATCCTGTTTTCAAATCAGCAAGCTAGGTGAATACAGAGGCTTCATACCACGATTTTTGACTTTTTTTGGCGTTTGTCCTTTGCTAGTGACGCCGACATGTTTTCACTCCACATCCATATTGTGCGGTCACCTTCATCTGTTGACGCAAATTCAGAAGAAGTGCTTATGGCAGCGTACGTTGTGTATATGGTGCTGTCTCGTGATCGACTGGACGTTGAAATAGCGGGACAAGAAAATGAGGTCGAAGGCCCTAACGTGTATGAGATGATTGGATGGAGGGCTGCTACCTATGTGAACGGGTAAAAGTTGATTCATTTGTGTTATAATGAAGGCCTCACATCCAAAATATGGAGCCCGTCCGCTTGTGCAGCAACGGTTACATATCCGTCGTCTGAGCTCGATGAAGCTTTTCGATGATGGGTTGCATAGACGTTTTCGGAGGTTTGTTTTGATTTTCCTCGACTTGATGAGGTATAGGATGCAAGGGTGAACGGTTCCCTGATTATTGCTGGTGCTACCATGGAAGGATCGCCAAAATACCTGTGGGTGAGTGCAACTTTAATTTTTTGGCAGCTCTTTCCTATATTTGGTATCGGTGACGTAGCCAAACATCACGCGGTCACCGTCAAGCACATCGCCAACATCCTGATCAAACACGGCCTCCACGATGGCCTCCATTTTTATCCAGCTCCTCGAAGAAGGAGGAGGGGGTGGTGATGGCGAGCACAAGTTGCCCCCTGGTTCCCCACCGATGCGTACGTGACATTGGCGACTTTGTATAATCGGCACCTCAATAATTCCACAGAAAAATTCGAGGGGCCATGGTTCACGACGCAATTAACCATCTCCCTCTCTGTCGGATTGACGTCGTTCTTTTTGTTTTCTTACTGTAGAACTAGGTGGCCTCTTATCTTCGCACCGCGGACAAAACTGAAAGGTGGAGATCATCGAGTTCCCTCACGCGACTATACCGATTGACATTGCGTTTCAGGGTTTTCTCCTCACGAGGCTCACGCGCACCAGGCATTTTTTGGTTGGATAATGCCGACCATCAGGACTTCCGAGTTTACTGTTCTTCAGATTGTTGGGCTCGACGCGGCTGTGGTGCGGCTTTTCCATATCATTGAATCGCCTTGGGGCACACCACTAAACTGAAACATGGTTGCAGCTCTTAAACTTCTTCAAGATGTCATTCTATCTTTTCTCCGTCTGTTCCCTGTTTGCCACTACGATGCTTATGCCATTGAATTGGAAGGTAGAGCGTTTTACGGTTTCGCGGTGGATTTCATCTAATCGTATTGCGCAGCACAATAAAGATCTGGACGACGACACTGACTGGCCTGACGATAAAGATGATTGGCCAATTTTGAGGAAGAGAGCCTTTGATCCCGTCACGAATCATACCGGCCACGACTGGCTGGACCTCATCAGCGACGCGAACTCATATCTGTCTCTTCACCTTATGTTCACATATCTATTCACACTCCTTGCACTCTATTTCATTTACAAGAATTATCGACGGTTCCTTCGTTCTCGCCAGCTTTTCTCCCTCGAATTGGTACACTCCATTCCTGCACGGACGGTCATTGTGACAGATCTTCCCAATCACTTACAAGGGGAACGACCATTGGCGGATTATTTTGAAAACATGGGGTTGGCTGTCGAAAGTGTGACGGTTTGCCGAGAAGTGGGGAGTTTGAAGACCTTGCTTGATCGAAGGACGAGAGCCCTCTTAGAGCTGGAGACGGCTTGGGTCAGTTACGTTGGCAATCCCAGCACAGTGGAAGAGTACGATCCAGAAGACAACGGCATTCCGCTATTGGTTGATACGGATGTTGAGGGAGGGCAGCAGTCAGGTCAGGGGAGACTCGTGGTTCCTCATCGGAAAAGACCTACACTGAGGCCAGGGTGGTTCAAGCCAAAGGTGGATGCTTTGGAGTACTTGGAGAATCAGTTTAAAGAGGCAGATGAGCTCGTCAAGAAGCGAAGACGGACGGGCAAGTTCAAGGCTACAAGGGCCGCATTTGTCACATTTGAAAAAATGTCAAGTGCTGTAGGTCCTACCATCTTTTTCTTGTCTCTCAAGCACTAATTGAAATACAGCAAATTGCCGTTCAAGTCGCTCACGCTCCAGGCCCAGGCCAAATAACCACCTACCCCGCACCAGAACCCCGCGATATCGTCTGGTCAAACATGGCTCCTTCTCAGGCCACGATCCGAACTCGCGACTTCTTTGTACTTGCTATCATGGGGTTTCTTCTGTTCTTTTGGATCTTTCCTATCACTGCCCTGGCCAGTTTGCTGAGTTACAAGGAAATCAAGAAGTCGATGCCTTGGTTGGGGAATCTCATTGACTCCAATGAACAAGTCAGGGCAATCGTTCAGAATTCATTGCCCAGTGTAGCTATGATCAGTCTGAACGCTCTTTTGCCATTTATTTTGGAAGGTAATGAATGCACCCTATTCCATTCTTCCCCAACCCACAGCTAAAATTTGGAAAAGCTTTGACTTACGTTCAGGGGTACAGAGCACGAAGTTGGGTTGAGTATTCGCTGCTGAAGAAGTAGGCTATCGTTCCTGCACTACTTGGGCGCGGCTGATCATTTTGAAGATATTTTCTATTCCTTCTTGTCAACGTTGTCTTTATTTTCCTGCTTGCATCGACGTATTGGCAACTCGTTCGAGATTTGGCTAATTCGCCTGCCAAAGTTCCGGAGAAGCTCGCACAAGCGCTGCAGGCTGGTCGAGCAAGGTTGGCATTCAATTTATCAACAGGATTTTGATCGACTCATGTTCAATTTTAGGCACTTCTTCCTATCGTATGTTATCCTCCAAGGTCTTGCTATATGTCACGTCTATCTTTCTCGGTTGCTGATTTGTCCTCTAGGTCTTGGTATCATGCCTCTCCAGCTGCTCAATTTGGGTGTTATCGTACCCCGTTTCTTTTATCGCATGTTTCTCACGCGTACGCCTCGAGACTTTGCCGAGCTCAACGCGCCCCCTATGATCAACTATGGGGTGGTCTACCCACAGGCTATCCTCATGTTCGTCATCACAATGTTGTACAGCGTTGTACAACCTTTGATCGTCATATTCGGCGCCATCTACTTTGGCGTGGCGTATGTTGTCTACAAATACAAACTGCTGTTTGGTGCGTGCCCCATATCACTCGATCGCATCGTACAACTCATCTGCCGCCGCAGTCTTTTACAAGCCCTATGAATCTCAAGGGCAAGCCTGGCCCATCACTTTCATCCGCCTCATTTGGGGGGTCGTCATTTTCCTACTCTTCATGATTGGCATTTTCACGCTCAGAAAATCGTACATTCTTTCGTCACTCCTCGTGCCACTGCTCATCGGCACGGTTGTCTGGTCGTGGTATGTAGACAAGGAACTTAAGCCTCTGAGCAAGTTCGTCAGTTTGAGCTCGGTGTTTGAAGTTCAGCGAGGGGAGGAAACTGCGGATGTGCTTAGACTGAGGGCTGGTCATCCTGTTACTTGGTCGCAGAGGTATTTTCATCCACTTTCGAGGCCAGTCAGCAACAAGATAATTGATATCTTTTAACAGTAACTTGAACAGGAGGAGGTATGCTCAGAATGATGATACACTCTATGTTGCTCCTGAAGATGAGCGGACGGATTATGTACGTTTTCCAAAACAGAACAAATATCAGATAATTTATACCCCTTTTTAGTCACAACCGCCCATGGCTAACTGGTATAGCGGTGTCCTCAAGTGCGTCCCGCTAAAATTTGAGACTGGAGATTGTGTGCTAACCCTCGTCTAGTACTGGAAAACGGCGATACGGTCACCCTGCGCTGAATGGCGTTCTGCCAGAGCCATGGCTCCCTTTGAAGAAGGGACAAACTCTTATCAATAACGATCGCGGCGCAAATGCTCGGGCACATAAAGATCCAAACCAAGCTGTCGTCCTGACGTTGCGAAAACGCTACAGCGTCAGTGCGCGCCGAGCGTCACGCGTCCCAGCCGCTGGGGGTGAGACTATCGCCTTGGGCGGTCCGAGCTCTACAAATCAGCTTGATCCTACGGTTGTGAGTAATCCGTGGGAAGACGCTGCTGGCAATACACGGCAGCGGTCGCATACGCTGAGCCATCGACTAAGCTACGACCATGCGTCTGGGGTTATCATGCTGCCTGATGATGGCGGGGACTGGATCGAGGCAGACGATGATGACAGCGATGAGGTGGATTATGGAACGGAGAATGGAGGTTTGGAGAGGAGTTTGACAGAGTCGATGCTTAGTTCCCCGGGGGAGGAGGGGAACGGGGGTCAACAACTCCGACAACCTGCGTTGTCCTCTAGCCCTACGACTTCGACACCGAGTAGGCCGTCAAGGTATGGAACATATTTCCATCATCCGGAGAGGCGGAGATTGCAGATTCCTGGCGCATTTCCAAGGTCATAAATAGCACACTTGATACCCCTTGATTGTTATAATAATAACTTTTAATTATGTAATGATCTTAGGACTTGGCCTTCTCGGCTTTTCAGCGTTCTTTACAACGATGCGCAGCCCTTTTAACGGGGTTGTCCCAGATTAACCAAGTCGTCCATCGACATGCCACGGACAATAGGATTTATAGGAAGTCTGGCACTTTTGGTGTCTGGTCTCACTGGTCCTTCACTAGCCGTCATACCACTGCTTTTCCAGCAAGCAGGATGGCTAACGTTCGTATCTCAGTCCATCTCTTCTCTTCGTCCGAACTGATGACGGGGCTTTCTTATTAGACCACTGATTGCCTTCGCCCTTATTGCCTTCCTAACTGGCTCCGCGACATTATTCGTCATCGAAGTCATGGCCTCTATTCAAGGAAACGAAGAATTTCAAGCCTCGATTGAATTTACGACCATCGCGCATCTGTATCTCGGGAAGCGTTGGCATTGGGCCGTGCAGATTGTCCTTTATGTTGCCTTGCAGAGTCTCATCATTACTAGTCTTATTGAATCCTTCCAGGTGAGCTGGCACAGGTCTTGTAGTGTTTTCATTTGTCTCACCTCTTTTCAGAGTATGGATTCCCTTCTAATTTCTGTGGCGCACAAGACCTGTGCCATCAGTTTTCAGAACGGCTGGATATGTGGTCAGCGCCCATGCCTATGCATCGTATCCATTTAACCATGTGATTTTAGAAAAGACCATGTTGACAGACGGGAACGGGGTATTCTCTGATTACATTCTGTTCAGCTTTGGAACATTGGTACCTTTTCCACTACTTCGGGAGCTCTTTATGCAATGCTGATTTCTTTAGATAACTTTTGCCATGATTGTTCCCTTGAGTCTTATCCATCTCACGGATAACATTATATTTCAGATTGCTTCCTTCATTCTCTTAATAATCATTGCTGTGATCTGGATTGCCACTTACATTCAAGTCGGTTTGGACAAGGTTTTCATTCCCGTTGTTGCTAGCAATCAATCCAACGTCGTTGGATTTATATTGTCTAACTTTGCCTTTGTGAGTGTTTTTCGTTGACCTCTTATTACGACCCACGAACTGACATTGAACACGATAGGTTACGACCGCCCCGGCGTGGATCAACAACGCACACCCTTCAGTCAACATTCGCCTCGTCGTTTGGCTCTCCTTGGTCATCGCCTGTCTGATTTACATCCCTATTGGTTGGATGGGAGCATCTGCATTCGCAATAGGCGGCAATGCTACTATCTTGAGTATTCTTTCAAGCAGCCGTCCTAACATTGTCGCTTTAATTTCGACATACGTATTCCCCGTTGGTAAGTTCCCCCGCGACATTTTTGGCTATTGGCATCTTTTGATTTGGAATCCTTTTCCTATATAGCGGTGCTTATCACTTCAGTCCCCGTTTTTGTTATTGTGGTGCGGTATAATCTTCTCCGGGGAAATATTTGCTCGAATCGCATGGCCATCTTCTTATCCGCCGTGGTTCCTTGGTTAATTGCTATACCATTCCAAACGAGAGTAGGTCTCATTTGATTGGAATTACTCAGTCTTCATGCGTGACTCACTGCGGTTTGTGAAGGGATGGATAGCTATCATCCTCAACTGGACCTCTCTAGTCTTCGCAAGTCCTGCCAACTTGCTCTTTCCGTTCTTCTTCTACATTGCATCGAAACGGTACAAAGCATTAGCTTTACTTGACACCAATGTCCAGCCATCGGCAGACAATCGCAACAGCATAGAGGCAGGCCTTCAGCGCGGATTAGAACTAGTTAGGACTAGATCGACGCGGATTAGATCGACACGGCTGCCACCGCCGCCGCTGCCTGTCCTGATTATTCCCAATGAAAAATCCAGGCTCGAGGCTGACGATTTTGTTCGCCTTGTGCGATCCCCCTCGAGATATCGTTATTACGCAGACAACTCAGCTAATGAGGCATCCGGTTCACAACAACCCGAATCTGAAAAAAATGAAGCTGAACCAAGCAAAAGCGAATTGCTTGCCCTTCCTGGCAGCCCAACCTCTGTACGGCCAATGACAGCGGGCACGGATGATTTCATACTGCATCCAATAGCGGATATGCCCCCTGTTACTCGACAACCTACCTTGTCAACTACCACGAAGAAATCGGAAGAACCACCTGTGACATATGTCGACCCCGTTCCACCACAACCTACATTCGAGGCATTTCCATTTCTGCGTCCATCATCGTGGTGGTCTTGGTGTCCTCCAACCCGAGTCGCCGGAGCGGAAGGTGTTATCACTTTTGTGTTGGTCCTTGCTGCGTTTATCGACAGCATTGTGGAGTCTGTCAAAGGGAACGGGTCGGGTCTAGGGTGACGGTGCCTCACGTCTCAAAATACCTTATCATCTCACCCCCGGTTGATGATCAATGCGTCTTTCTTTTATACCCTTCAGCACTTTATGTCGATGTTCAAATGCACGGGCGATCTTTCTTGGATCTTTCTATATGATACGAGCTTCACGCTATCTACTTTTTTACGAACTGGGGATTAATGCATGCACAGTAGATAACTTATGGATAATCAAATATTGGTGGAACTGGTAAACCACTTGTTGGCAAAGGGCTATTCGTCTTCATAAGGGGGCTCCACATAACAGGAATTGCAATCATGATTCAACGTTGCTATGGAGGTGGATTGCCCAACTTTACTTCGCAAAGGGTCGCATTGCTACTTACACCTTTTGCTCCTCCCCAACCTTCCACATTTCCAAACCACGCTCCCCACCAACGCCTACGATTCCCCTCTTCCAGTCAACGCTCAAAACCTTTTGACCACTCCCACTCCACGGCTTGAAAGTCGCCATCGCACTTTTCGGACTTCTAAGATCCCAAATTCTCACAACACCATCATACGCCCCAGTAACAACCTGGTGCGAGTTTGTCGCGCTCGTGGCGACGCAAGAAGGCGTTGAGGGGTGCATGTAAGTATTTGACGCGGAAGTGAGGATCGTGGTGGACGAGCGAAGGTCGTAGAGCGTCATACTCCTGTCTGTGGAGGTGGCTAGGGCACTATTGCCATCAGGCGTTAGAGCCATGTCGAGGAACGGTTTTTCTGAGGCTGTCTACAAAAATAAGGGTTTATCAGGATTTCGAATATCGGAAGGAGAGGAAGAGGGTGAACTTACAATCGTATGACTGCAAACGCCTGTCTCTGTGTCCCATCTTCGTACTGTGGAATCAAAGCCACAGCTATAAGCTGTCTCCCCAGCACCTGACGCGAAAAGCACTTTTGACACCCTTGCGGTGTGCGATTTGAAGACAGAGAGAGGTGCCTTCCTCTTGGCTTTGACTTCACCCTCTTCCACCCTTCTCCGCTTCTTGCTGCGATCCCTCTCATTCAAAGCTGGCTCAGGAACTTCGTCGGTCGAAGGGACAGTAGCGTCCCAGTACCCAATGAGGCCATCCCAAGACGCCGTGAGAACATGGGTGCCTGCGGCGTTAGCTGAGATCGAAGAGACAGGAGCAGTATGTAGGTGGAGAGAGGCCATGGCTTTTGATTCGTTTGTGCTGGCCATGGGGTTTAGTGCTACTTGCGTCAGACGCGCGGTGAGATCGTGTGAGGCACTGGCGATGACGATTTGTTGCGAATTATCGTCTAAGAGTGAGGAAGAGACCAGACAAAGTGAGGTTATGGGTGCGGGGTGCGCGGGTATGCTTGCAGTTAGATTTTTGGAGAGGTCGAATGCGCGGAGGTTGCCATCGTATGAGGCTGTCAGGAAGTATCTGAAAAAAGAATTAGATGTCTTTGTAAATATGACTTTGAGTCAAGAAAAGCGAGAGGTAGGACGACTTAAGCTTTGTCCCGGTGAAAGAAAGATATATATTGAAACTTTTATGTACAAGGGGTGTATACCATCGCCCTGCACTCGTACGCACCGTGGTAACTGGCATGACACAGATGAAACCCAGTCTTCATGAGGGATTTCAGACATTTTTTGAGGCGGCATGACAGATTCGATATACTCGATCTCGAGAGTTTCTTCCTACTTTCAGCCGTTAGACTGGGCGTGTGCAAATAGTAAAAAAGAGGTGCACCTCTCCGACGCCATGCTCAGAACACCATTCAGCCAAAGAGCCCCTGATGATCTCTCCTTTGATGAGAAAATCAAAGGGAACAGGCTTGACGAGCGACAGAGCCTTGTTCACGAGCTGTGATAGTTGGTACCGTCTCCATGTCGTTGGGATCATGTACTTTTGATATGGAAGCGGGTACTGTGTCTGCGTTGTGAAGACCACCGGCTGCGAGACGATGCTCGCATTGGTCGAACCGCCGTTGGCTGAAGTCGATGTCGACGCCATGGTCGAAAACAAAAAATTGTGACAACGGGTCACACCTAATTGCTGGATTCGATTTGTTATAGTAAGGCTATCGTATTGATCGTATTCAAAAGTACAGAATGCCAGAACGATGAATGTGCGATTTGTTTCTCGGATTTCAACGTGCTTTAACTTTCGAAACAGAATTCCCATCCGTCGACAGCGGCCAGATAACGAGTGGTGATTTGCAAGAGTTGGTATAGATACAAAGGTCCCCGACCCTTGTATACAATGAAAGCAGCTGATCAAGTAAATGCAGCCGGGGTGAACATTTTGGATGTATCCTTCATGCCGTTCGCAAATTCGAGTTGAGAAGCAAATTGAGGATATATGGAGAAGCGATTTTGCCTTGGTATCCCCCGCGATTCAGAACGCCAGCGTCGTCGACTTTAGGATTGATTGTAATCAGTGCACGACTCGTTTTTTCTGGGAAATCGTGCGAGGTCGGAAAGAGTGAACGAAAATCGTTGGAAAATCGGTGCTGTTATTGATATCAGTCCTGATTTCATTCTCCGCCTGCTCTGGAGACTTGTTCAGAATATTTCTGGCCGTCCCCCCGTATTTGCTAATTGCTTCTAACAATTCTTTCAGTGAATTTTTGTTGGTGGCAGTTCCCTTTGTCAATGAGTCAATATTAAGATTCAGAGAATAGCTGGAAACATTACCGAGCAAAAGAAATCTCTTCCCATGACCACGTCCTCATGACCCAGTACTCAGCCCCTCGGTGCTTCACCCACTCCTTGTATCGTGCAGATTGCGGGGATGACGACACTAAAACTCTCCAGTCATAAAATCGTTCTGGTGTTGATTGTTCTTCGTTGAGATCAAACAACACAAGCGTGTTGTCCAGTCGATCAGTGAATGGCGAATCTTCTGACATGTTGAAAGAGTTGCATGGGATCCAGTAAACACCCGAATCCAAAAATATATAACGAATATCAGAAGTTTTTACGAAAATGGTGGGTAAGCCAGCAATGAGTCGCCTTAGAAGACAATAAGTCAGGTAGATGGTCTTTCCTATGAAAGAGCTATCACATTATGGAATGGAATAGTAGACAGTACACGAACCTATGCCGGGTTGCCCTAGAAGAAGGACATGGTTATCATTTGATTCCAGAAAATTGTCGAGTTCGGTGTATTCGCCTCGGGCTAGAAAGATCGGAGTCAGGACATCCAGATTTGCATCCTCCATGGTCCACTTCAATAGAGAGGTAAGATCAACGATCGTAACTTGAGCCTCCTTAGGTGGGTCCAGGTCACGCCCTTCGGCCTCCCCAAGTGCGACAGCTGAATCTGGAACATGCTCTTTGATTATACGAGAGATCTTGGTCCAAGCTTGTTCCCCCTTCTTCCAGAGGGCGTCGTAGAGAAGGCACATGATTTTATCTTGACGGTCTCCTTCGCTCGCGTGAAGAAGTCGAGGCTTGATAACTCTGGAGCTGCCAGGGGAGCGAGGAAGCTTTGTGTTGTTTGAACTGGACCGAGTATTTGTTGAAAGTAAACCTACACTCAAAGTCAGTTATGAGCAAGCTCAAGAATCACCAGATATAGCATCATACCAGCTTCACCAACTGAGAAGGTGATATGGGACTCGTCACTCAGATTGGAGCAGCCCTCATGGATCTTTAAATTACTTCGTGGTCCTGGGGATTCTTCTACGTTGTCGATTGAGTATCATCAACTAAACATAAGAAGATGAAACTTGCCTGGTGCTTGTACCAAGATGTGAAAGGTGTTGGAAGGCAACTCCTCACTCCAGAGCTTTGAAAGTCGGCAGTCACCCGTGATGCGGTCAAGAGAACGATCGGTACCGTCTAGTCTAACAGATTCAATAATTTCTTGTCCCATTGGAATGGCGCACTTCCATAGAAGAAGACTTGGTGCAAAGACATTGTCGAGCCGAGGCGCCGCCAGGGTTTTGATCGCTTGCTTGAGTTCACTGATGTAGTGATTTCTGTCGATTCTAACAACGAATGAACAGGATTCTGGATCGTCGCTGGGGAGGACAAAACAACGCAGCAGTAGACCTGCGTTCACAGTTAGTTATGAGCAGATCCAGGTAATAAGATCTTACCAGCTTCACCCTTTTTCGACGAATTAGGGTCAATGCGACTTACCATAGCTGCACCTCTTCGCGGTCGCGGGACGGTGACAATGAAATGATGCCTGAGAATCACTTGGAGTGCGAAAGTTTGGTGTAGTTCTCCTAAACCAGAGTCGATCAATCATATTCTGTCATTTTCGTCAAAGTAAGTACAATACTAATGTTCTTTCGCATTTACAAAACATTTCATCAGATGTACATCCCGCCTTCACCGACCTCAAACCGTTTCCGCGATGAGGTGGTGTTGGAGTTCGATGGGGTATGATCCCATTTTGGCAGTCCTGCCAACTCCCCCGTCGCGAATTGGAAAAGCAGATCCTGGGCAGATCGGATGGTGTCCGTCGACCACTCGATATCATCTTGGGATAGATGAAGAAAGTTGGCTGGGGCGATTGTTCTCGGTGCTGGGTGTGGGATGTGGGGCGACGGCAGGAGTATCAGGGTACCTGGCAATTGCTTGATGCTCAATATGGCGAGGAAGGATGCCGACGCTGATTGAATTAGGTTTGGTGGAGAGAAGGGGTGTGCAGCACCGTTCTTCATTGTTGGATCAGTAAGAGAGGAAGAACGGAATCGAGTGGGGGGCGTACGGGTAGTGGTTCTGTGTTTGTCGAGGTAGTTGACAGGTAGCGGATGGGAGCGTCTTGAAGTGATGGGGGGTCGTTTGAGGCGTACGTAGGAACTGGATATGAGTCGAGCAATGCAGTACTGTGTCAAGTGTGATTAAATGAGCTGAACCAGTAGGTGAGGGTAGATACTTTGATGGTTGCAGGGTATTGATTATTTTTTCCGCGTACGGATGCATCGCGTACACAGGTAAGCGAGACAAGACCTCTGATATGATGATAGTTGATTTTGTCCAAGGAGGATTGAAGACCAGTCCTATCTGATGTGTACATCATCATGAGAACCGAAGACGCGAAGACGTCAGCCTACCTGAACGCCGTTAACACCTATCGCGCCTGTTTGTTCGCCTAGTCTGGCACCCTTCGCCCAATATGCCGCAGAATCTCCGGTAGCGACAACCAAAGGACGATTTGTGGGTGTCTCCCCGACGATTTGAACGTTGACAGTGACTGGTTCTGGATTTCGATTTGGGTGAAGAGGGTTGATCTCATCTTCTTCCTCATCGGATTCGATGGCGTAACGCGGGGGAACAGTGTCTGCAAGGGGATCTACATCCTAGAAGAGGGTTAACGACGTCGACGAAATGATATTTCAGGACACTTGCCATTTTGTTGCAATTGTCATTGACAATGTCAAGTGATCACCGAGCATCAACAAGCCAAAATTCCTGACAGGCACGGCGGCAATTCTAGGGCTTTCCTTCTCCCATCTATGTCTCCTAGTCACCGCCATGCATTTTTCAAAGACCTATGCTCAGCTTCTGCTGAGCCTACCCCCTGAACTTCGCGAAAACGCCATTCAATACCGTCAGGTTGGTTTATTTATCTTATACTCCTGAGACGAATGCTTATCATCTCCATACCAGTTGAAAAAACTGATTAACCAGATCGTCACAGAGCTTTCATCCCTCGGCTTGAGCCCCGCACTGCTGCACGAAATTATTTCACCTCCTTCTCCTGCAGCTTCAAGCGACGTTGACGACCGAGCGGATCAAACGTCTCTCGCAAGCTCTGAAAGCGGCACATCTGCGGTTCTGCCACCAGACATTGAAGAGTGGTTCAAGACCTCTGGCTTCCCTAAAGTTGTCTACGAGCTCTCCGGATCTTCCACCAACATTTTACCGCAGCTGAGGCTGTGGGTCAGTGTGCCGGAGTCCAAACCCAAGGAGAGCAAGCTTTTGGAATTTCAGTCCGACGATGAAGAGGTGGAAGGATCGAAAGATTCTTCTGATCATGGTCAAGAGGGCGTAACGCACACCCTGTTCTGGTCCTTACAGCAGATGCAACTAAAGGGTGCCCCCAATCTCCAAGCCATTACATCGTTCGTCCTTTTTCTCCCTTCTCTCTCCCCTACTCAAATTCACCATCTATTCTTTAGCGGAGATCTTTCGCATCCCACTGGCAGAACCCAAGAAGTGGTGGTACCCCTGATTCATGACACTGAATTTTTCCACAACCTCTCGACTGCCCTTTCCTCGGTGTCCACGCACCTTACGACCGTTCACGCCGAATTTCGAACCACAATTCAAGAGCTTTCTCGCACCATCGGAGACTCTGCGCTACCTGCCTCCGTCACCTCAAGGGGCTCATTCCATCCGCATTCGGGGCTAACATCGCATGCGGGGATGATCCGCAGCCCAAACAGAGAATCGGACAAGAGCGACTTATTTTCTTGGCGGGAGATATTCCAGCTTTACGTTGAGGCTGAGGTATTCGAGAGTGTTGGGGAGCAAACGAGAGGAGAGCTGACCGTTGAGGAGAGTGAGAAACGGCTCAAACTTTTTGCGGAGCGGGCAACACAGAGGGGCCTCGGGGATTCAAGGAAGTTCAAGTTAAAGCAGAGCAGGGTAGCTCTAGAGACATTTTTAGGATTAAATTTATTCATTTTAAATGTTAAGAAGGTATGTTTCTTTACCCTCTTTTTTTTCCTTTTTCTTCCTCACCCTCACCCCTACAGTTCTCACACGCAAACTCGGAAGCGGCGCGCAAGATTCTCAAGAAACACACCAAGCGCACATCGCTACCCCTACCAGGACTAACCTCTGAGCCGGACGCCTTATCTCCCCAGCTCACAGCTCTCTTTTCCCAGATGCACACGACTACGCTTCCCCGAACAATGGTTCAAGCCATTGGCGAGACCCTCCTCCCCATCATACCCCATCTAGACGACTACTCGTGCTTGATATGTATGAGCATCGCGTTCAAACCAATACGTTTGAACTGCGGGCACCTCTTTTGCGTGAGGTGCTTGGTGAAGATGCAGAAACGGGGACAGGGTGATTGTCCCATGTGTCGTGCGCCTGTGGTGTTGATCGCTAATCGATGTGAGTGTTCTTCGTTGTTTTCGTTCGATGGCTTGTTGCTGACTTGTGAGGGGGTAGCAAATGTGGACTGGGCGCTCTTGAACTTTATGCAGGATTGGTTCCCTGTCGAGGCCAAGGAGAAATTGGAAGCTAACGAGAAGGAGGCTGCAGAAGAGCAGATGAAAGAGTTGGGGCTTGATCCTGACAAGCCTTGTGTTATAATGTAGTAACTTCAATTTATCGGATTATATGTATGTAATAGTCTACAGTTCACTCTGCACTGCGTGGTGGCGATGAGGAGCGATCAATCGACATCTAACATGTCTTCTAAGATGCTGTCAGCGTGATCCTTCTTGACTGCGTCTATGAAATCCTGTATTCCGTCGCCTTCGAGGACAGAGCTGAGGTTCATCAGCGTTAATCCTATTCTATGATCGGTCACTCTCTCCTGTTGATGAGAGAGCTGTGAGATGAGAAGCGTGAACGAACGGATCATATCAGCGCACCTGAACGAAATTGTATGTTCTGATTTTTTCACTACGGTCAGCGCCTCGTACAAGATTTCTTCGGGTATCACGACGTTCCTCCATCTCTCGCGTGAGCTTCTTGTCGAGGAGGCGGGAACGCAGGACTTGGAACGCACGACGCCTGTTCTGTAGTTTGATCAGTGAAAGAGCAACCGCCAACGAAAGTTTTGAACTAACCTGATGTTGGCTCCGTTCGTCTTGCATGGAGACCGTGATTCCAGTAGGTATGTGCGTAAGACGTACGGCAGATTCGGTTTTGTTGACATGCTGGAGGGTATATCGTTAGGACCATATGTCAAGTCGTTTATGACGATATCTACCTGGCCTCCAGCCCCACGAGCTCGCATGACCTCGAGCTTGATATCGCTCATCGAAAAAAGCTCTTCGGCCTGGGTGTCTGTTTCCTCTACAAGCGGTAAAACCTGCAAATCTGTCTTCAATAACCATTCTCAATTGGTATAGCATTGCACATACAACGATGGAGACCGTGCTCGTGTGCACTCTTCCGCTAGATTCAGTTGCTGGCACTCGCTGCACCCGATGGACACCACTTTCGAATCGCAGAGCGTCATATGCGCCGTCTCCCTTGATCTCTATGATAGCGTCCTTCGTTCCACCGCCATCATTATCATTTTGTGCGACGACTTGTGCCTTCCATCTGTTCACATTTGCGAGCCGCTGATACATTCGCAATAGGTCTCCCAGGAAAAGGCTGGATTCTGAGCCCCCGACACCGGATTTCATTTCCATCAGCGCTGAGAGGTGGGATGTTGTGGATGGGGGGACTAAGAGGGAGGGGAAGGTAGATTCGAGGAATTGAGTAAGAGTTGAGGTGAGGGAGGTGTATTCATCCACTGCGAGTGAACGCATGGTGGGATCTGGGTCGTCGAGTAGGGGAGCAGTATTATCCAGAAGCTACTATAAAGTATGATCAGTTTGCAGTTGAGAAGATAAGAATGTAAGACGACCTGTCTAGTCTGCGTCCATTCGTCCCAAGCCGTTTGGAGGGCTTTAGACTCTTTGAGCTGCTTTAAGCGTAGTACATCTTCAGGCGAAGACATTTCCTCTGAAAGCTGGAAAACTATGAGCGTACGGGTACGGTTAACAGAATGTGTACTCACTTGTGAAAGAAGAAGTTTCCGCTCCTCGACGCGCTTCTTCACCACGCGCAACATCCGCGCATTTTCGTGCTCTAGCTGGGTGATAACATTGGGTGTAGACTTTTCCGCAGCTTTTGTAGCGGCGACAGCAAACCTACGAAGACTCGTGGTAGCTAGTGGTCGAATTCTTTGCAAAAGAGAACATGTTGAACAGAGCATAAGAAAACGAAATCTCGTTATGTAATTTGTATCCTCTTTACTTTTTACCTTTACGCTCTCTTCTGAAATCTTACAAAATGACCATTGCTTCAGACAAATTGTGATTCATCCTTGCCCGGAGAAAGAACATGTACCTGTCGCATAAGTGCTCGGCTACAACGTTATTGGCCTCAATGGTCTTGACGCCATCCTGCCCTTCTCAAGCTTCAACCATCATACCCTTCTCAAATCACCCATAAAAGCGTTCACCCGTCGACGAACGCCGCATGCACCCCTTCATCTGTACCTTACCAAAACGAACACGATCTAAATTCCGCATCCACCCAGAGGTGAGACAATTGAAAGACTTGGGATGAAACGATGTGAGGTTGAAGGGTGCACCCCTCTGGTCAAATGATGATTGTCGACGGCCGAGGGTTCGCAAAGATAGATGGTAGGCGGAAATTGGTCCAATGAATGATAATGTAGATAGAGGTGACGCTGCAGCAATCGTGGGGCTGCAGGTGCCCTGTTATGGAAGCTCTGCGACTTCACAATGTCGGTGTTGATAGATTGAGTGGAAGGTTCAGTGACGGAGGCGATGTGATGTACTGGAGGTTCATGGTCGTCACTGTTGAGGCGGGTTGGACATAGTGGGATTGTTTCACGACGGTCATTAGTGTTGGTATGACATTAAAATCGGTGTGGTGACAAATACTATAGTGCTGTTGAGGATTGCAGGAACATCCATTCCCGTTCGCGGTGTCACGTCCCAAACAAAGGAGGAGGTGATGCCCAATGAGCCCTGTATTTCTCCCCCCACCCAGAGGGGCCTTGGTTCTGCTTGGGGAACTTGAAGGAAGGGTGTAGTCCTGAGAAATAAGCAGCAATCTCGAGGCAGACGACGGGCAGGTAAGACTAAAAATTGATTCTCACGGCAAAATATCATAGAGTGATTTACAAACGAGGGCAGCCTTCAATGGAGAAACGAAAAATATCCCAAACGAAGTCGAAACGTACAGTGCAGAATATTGTACCCACATTATTTGCCCATATGGATAAAGGGAACCCAACGATGGAATGAAACACCCTGCAAACGGAGTTTCTTGACTGAAAGGTGAAGGGCTAGGGCAGACTTTGTCATATCAGGTTCAAGAGCTGGTCTTCCATCTGGACCGCCAAAGAAAAGTTCTTCATAGAATGTGTCCACAATAGTAGGTCCGTCTTCATCCATCATTTTCCTAGCCCACACTCTCAGAATTTATTTCCAAGGGAACAATGCAAATAACAACCTACCACATAGTAGCAATGACCCGCCGAAATCCAGCAAAGATCAAGCTTGCACCTATACTCATTGCCTCATCCGGTAGGTTTTGATCGCCCATGGCTGTCTCACAAGCACAGAGAAAGGCAAGTGATCCATTTGGCATCTTTTCCTTCATAATTCTCGAGATTTGGAGTAGCCCATCATCAAGCTTGAGCCCACTGTCAAGTGGTTTCCATGGATCTTGATTCCCATGGCATGCAAAGTGAGCTATAGACACATTCGAAAGATGGGAGGCAACAGCTTCAACTTCAGCAGGTACTCCAGGAACTCCTAATTCAATGAGAGCTTCGCAAGATACATGTCGCCGAATGTTTTCTAGCTCCCTTCTTGTAGAAGGCAGCCCCTTAGATTGGATCACAGCCATCATTTGGAATGACTGGGTGGTGGGAGCTGAATCCAAAGCCAAAAGTGCCCCTATGGATGGAGTGTATGAAGAAATGAAGTAATCTGGGGCACAATCAATAGCTAGCTTGTCATAATAGAGGCCTGCAGCATGGATGGGAAGGAAGGTGAAATGACCAGTTGGGCACCATTGCAGGATGGTCATTTCATCTGAGTTCTATAATATCTTGTAAGTAGGTCAATCATTTGTGGAGATATATTGACTGACCTTAACATCAAGAAAATCAATGACTGGCTTCACCAATTCATCCCACAGAATCCTCAAAACAAAGGTGAACATGTCATCTGAAGGAAGTTTTGGAGTTTTGCTGCTAACCCTCCCTGCACGCTCTTCTCCCAGATGGTTCATATTTATGTCTTGGATTTGATTGATGAGTGACCGTGATATTGGTGACTGAGAGCAGGCCATCTGAATGATATTAGCAAGTGCCATCAACTTAGGAGTGCCTAAGTTTGGAAGAGGGATGTGGTGAATGATTGTCGATGTCATGATGAGGCAATGGCTTTCATCATCATTCGCAATGAGAATGACCACTGGATGTTTTGATGCAGCCACTTTGAGTGAGGATAAACAGGATGGGCATAGAAAGTCCTCAAATCCGCTCTTTGTCCTAACCTTATCAATAGATTGAGCCCATTCTTCATTGAGGCGGTTGAGTCGGGCTGCTTCCTGGTCTATATATAGCTTCTTCCTGTTGTCCAAAATCTCCAAAAAAACATCACGATGAGATCCAATCTCCAGCTGAGTCGCAATATTACATAGCTTATCTGCCAATTCTGGGTCAACCTTGTGGAGTTGATCAAAGGGTGAGCGGAGAGATAGGACCTGTGACCAGAAGATACTTCGTCCTGCTTCTAGAAGTTCTATGGCTTTGTCTATATGTCCAGAGCGAATAGCACATCTAGCTGCATCCCGAGCTAAGCCATCACTGCCTGCAGTCATAGCGTCCTGTCGTGATGCTACATCAAAGCTCAGAGCAGCCACCTGTGGTAAAGCCTGTATGGCAGCTTCATAAGCATCAATTGCAGAGCTATGTTGATTTTCATCTGCATAATGTATCCATCTTCTTGCAATGTGGAGACGATTAGATGGAGATTGGAAGGTGTATTGGGTAGCAGTGAGGAATAGAGACATTGCTTCATCAAGATCACTTTGCTGACCTCCTTGCTGAAATTGGGCTGACAATGCAGAAGCAAGATTGTAGAGCGAGCTGGATCGGTCAGGATGGGGTGGAAGTCGGAGCTCAAGAGCTTGCCTATGCAGAGAAATGGCTTCATCAAGATCACTTTGCTGACCTTCTTGCTCAAATTGGGTCAATAGTGCATTTGCAAGATTGTTGAGCAAGCTGGATTGATTGGGATGGGGTAGAAGGAAGAGCTTGAGAGCTTGCCTGTACAGAGAAATGGCTTCATCAAGATCACTTTGCTGACCTCCTTGGTCAAACTGGGTCAACAGTGCAGAAGCAAGATTGTTGAGTGAGCTGAATCGATCAGGATGAGGTGGAAGTCGGAGCTCGAGAGCTTGCCTATGCAGAGAAATTGCTTCATCAAGATCACTTTGCTGACCTCCTTGCTCAAATTGGGTCCACAGTGCAGAAGCAAGATTGTTGAGTGAGCTGGATTGAAGGGGATGGGGTGGAAGTTAGAGCTTGAGAGCTTGCCTGTACAGAGAAATGGCTTCATTGAGATCACTTCGCTGACCTCCTTGCTCAAATTGGGTTGACAGTGCATTTGCAAGATTGTTGAGTGAGCGGGATCGAAGGAGATGGGGTGGAAGAAAGAACTCAAGAGCTTGCCTGTGCAAAGAAATGGCTTCATCAAGATCACTTCGCTGACCTCCTTCCTCAAATCGGGTTGACAGTGCAGAAGCAAGATTGTTGAGTGAGCTGGATCGATCAGGATGGGGTGGAAGTCGGAGCTCAAGAGCTTGCCTGTGCAAAGAAATTGCTTCATCAAGATCACTTTGCTGACCTCCTTGCTCAAATTGGGTCCACAGTGCAGAAGCAAGATTGTTGAGTGAGCTGGATCGATCAGGATGGGGTGGAAGTTAGAGCTCAAGAGCTTGCCTGTACAGAGAAATGGCTTCATCAAGATCACTTCGCTGACCTCCTTGCTCAAATTGGGTCCCAGTGCAGCAGCAAGATTGTTGAGTGAGCCGGGATCGATCAGGATGGGGTGGAAGTTAGAGCTCGAGAGCTTGCCTGTGCAAAGAAATGGCTTCATCAAGATCACTTTGCTGACCTCCTTGCTCAAATTGGGTCCACAGTGCAGAAGCAAGATTGTTGAGTGAGGTGGATCGATCAGGATGGGGTGGAAGTTGGAGCTCGAGAGCTTGCCTGTGCAAAGAAATGGCTTCATCAAGATCACTTTGCTGACCTCCTTGCTCAAATTGGGTCCACAGTGCAGAAGCAAGATTGTTGAGTGAGCTGGGATCGATCAGGATGGGGTGGAAGTCGGAACTCAAGAGCTTGCCTGTGCAGAGAAATGGCTTCATCAAGATCACTTTGCTGACCTCCTTGCTCAAATTGGGTCCACAGTGCAGAAGCAAGATTGTTGAGTGAGCTGGATCGATCAGGATGGGGTGGAAGTCGGAGCTCGAGAGCTTGCCTGTGCAAAGAAATTGCTTCATCAAGATCACTTTGCTGACCTCCTTGCTCAAATTGGGTCCACAGTGCAGAAGCAAGTTTGTTGAGCAAGCTGGATCGATTGGGATGGGGTGGAAGTTGGAACTCAAGAGCTTGCCTGTACAGAGAAATGGCTTCATTGAGATCACTTCGCTGACCTCCTTGCTCAAATCGGGTTGACAGTGCATTTGCAAGATTATTGACAACAGCTGCATAATTCTCCTTCCCTGAGGTAGTTCTGCAATCCCTTCCCTAAAAAGTGTCACTGCAGTATTCAGGTCAGCCATGTTACCTGACACTGTGAACTGTTTACAAAGTTCATCAGCAAACTTGAGTGATTCCAGAATACCTGTGGAAGTTTCAGTGCCTTTCATAGCCCAATCCAATGCCCTTTGAACATTGGAAATATCCCCCATTGAATCAAATTGTGTTGCTAACAGCGCACCAATCCGGAAGTTTATGTTCAATTCTTGCCGATCTCGCTCTGTGCAACATTTGCTAGCATCTTGCAAACTGGAAATTGCTTCGTTCAGGTCGGTCAGATCATAGGAATGGTTAAAGCGGGCATATAATGCATCAACCAGAGTCGTTAATGCGATGAACCAGCTTGTAGATGCAGCTGATAATTGTGTAAGTGCATGTTGAACAAGGAAGACAATTTTGTTCAGAATGTGAAGGGAAGTTGACTTCTGGAAGCCCATCAACAATCCCTTCGCCAGTTCGAATGTGGCTTCTTTGTCCGTCTCCTCTTCTAGTCGGATGGCAGTATTGGTCTTAATCTTCACTAAGCTAATATATGTTGTCAAGAATGAAATCCGCTCACTTCAGGGCTTGCCTCTTGGTCTGAATTCCCACCCTCAACTATCTCCTGGCGAAGAGCCAAAGATTCCATCATATCGTGTCTCTGATTGGTGTACATAAATCTGACAACCAATACAGACGCAAGATCTCTCTTGGCAGCACGGTGGAGCGGGTGTGTTGCTGGGCAGCTATCTTTAACTTGACGGAACAGGAGGACCACGGTGTTCAGCTCTGAAAGCGATAACCCTGCCTTGCATTCTGCCATGAGCAAGACGGCGAGATTGATCATTCCAGACGCATCGTCCTCGCCATCATTAATAAACTCCTGCAGTGTAGGTAATTATGATCACAATCCCGGGAAGTGAGACAACATCATTTACTTACATCGGTAGCGGTAGTGTTCCTATCAATGTCTGTTGTGCGTCCAGCTGGGGCGATATCCGTGACCTGCTCTTCATTAGCCTATCGCGATGCATTGAATATTGTAGAGGGCGTACTAATTGAGGGCTCTCCCGTGCACTGGCTTCGGTACGATCACCTTCTCCAACTGGGGTCTGTATAAGGCCTGTTAACAACCACAAAAGGTGTTTCCTTGATTCGTGATACGAACGCGAGCTCCCAGGATATGAGATCCTAGCTCTTGGATGGAAGGCGCATCTGATTTGTTGTAACTATCGGAGAGTGATTTTGACTCTGGCATGGTGACGAGATGTTGTAGAGGTTGATTGAAGCTTGTAGATTGAGAAAGAGGTTTGGTGAGGTTCGCTGAGTTGAAGGCTGTTGAAGGTCGAGAGACGAGCCACTGGGCGTACAGCTTATTTCCCACGCTATTCCTTCCAACTTCTGTTTGTACCTAGAACCTATTCATCTAGGTTTCCTTCGTGTCTACGTCCCTCTAGCTCTTTGCTATCCTTGTCGGTGAAGGACGCGAAACTCTCACACATCTCCAAGTTACCAAGTCACCAGTCACCGGCACCGTTCATCCAGAAAGTCATTGCTCGCAGAATCATGGTGTGTAGTAGCCTCTTAGCCGTCCGTTCCTTAATCCGCTCCCAGGAAGTCGGTATCGACGCCATCGTTTAAATGAAACCTAGTCGCGCCTATATCGTTCCCAACCTGCCGCATACCTGGACAACGAACGAATACGTGAGACCTTCACTGGCCATGGTGACAGTCGTATGTCTTTTTTCTTCTCTTGGCCCATTACTCCATTCTAATCAGTCATCTATTTACTCCTTAGCCTGTCATCGATCTCCGAGCGCATCTCCTTCTGTCTTTCCACGGCGATAGGTCCAAGCAACTCGTCCTCAGGCAGCAGTTGCCTTTTTCCCTTCCACCTGCTGTAGAGCTTTACAACGCGAGCCTGAGGGGAGGTTCTTTAGGAGTTCATATTGGACAACGAAAGCTGGACGTGCGGCTGATGCTCGAGAGTGAAAAAAGGGCACAGGCTTCTGGTCAAATCGTTTTGGATCACGCTGATCTTTAAAACTACCATATCTTTCATTTTAGAATTGTCAACTAATCCCTGAATCGCTGCTGCAGCGCCAGCTTGAAGCTTCCTTGGTGGCGCAATGACCGAGCGAGCTGGGTACATTTTCCGATTTTCGTATATGATTTGAAAGCAAGGAACTGAAGTGCGGATTGCTGCTAGTGACCAAGCCTACCACCTACAACGTAGAAGGTTTACACTCATTCGACCTGTGTGATAAACGGAAATCATCTTGGATCTAAGGAGAGGTTGGTTCTGGATCCGCACCTATCAGGTAACTTGGCCGAAATTAGAGTCTATGTATCTGGTGCGTGGTTCATCCGTCTTCGTTTATTCCCTCCCGTTCTTCCTCCCGTTGTGGACTTTAGTGATGAATTAACGAATTTCCTATTTCTCCTGCACCCGCCGCAATTTTTCCTATCGCTCCCGTCTCCTTTCTATGTTACACTTTGAACATCACTGACGTTTAGGTCATCTCCCCAAGAAAACAGCTCCTCAGGCCAGGTCGAGTCCCCGCACAGAACCATATCACGAGAGGATTTTCTGGATCGGTATTGTCTTCGGAACCATATCGCCACCCACAGTAGATGGAGAGCTGAAAAAAGACGGACCACCCCGCCTCGCGCTGACACTAACGCTGCCCGCCATGCGTAATTGGAGGCAAACCAGTCGCCGCCACGTGTCATGTTTGGATGAACAACATGTTTTTTTAGACGTTTTTACTCCTACGACCGTCATTCGTTTGGCGCTCGCCTTCTCTTTCTCCACATTCCCTATTCCACTCGAGCCTCCATTTACTTCTTAGGTTCACGCGTATTGCTATCTTCCCTATTCCACTCGAGCCTCCATTTACTTCTTAGGTTCACGCGTATTGCTATCTTCCTTTCTTCAAACACTTGTCGTCATATGGATAAACTGGATCTATCCCTTCTCTAAACATTTAGATTAACGACGTGGGATTGTCCACCATTTTGTGGTCGTTCATGATAATATATGGGTCTAGAATTTCAGTATCAGTTATGTCCAACTATTCTGTTAGCTGGTATAGAAATTGGGAATCCTGCCCTTGCGTTTCTGTATATATGGTGTTGAATGGTCTCTCTGCTATTATCCTCAGCCAACCATAGTAAATCATGGGGGCTCAAGAGTCCCCGTTTCATAATTTTGTAGACAGAAGAGAAAAATCAAAATCATAATTGTAACATGTGCCCCTAATCAAAACCTGTAAAAGTAGAGGGTATCCAAAGTCTATGGCCGTAACAATGCCTTACGTGCCTCCTCGCTTGCCTTTCTTGCACTAGCTAACGATGGCCGAGCCTCTCCAGCGTTATCCGATGTTGTCGCCGTTGTCAAAGGCCAAGGCAACGCTGTGGTACTCGCCCCATTGGTCTTGCGTCCAACGTTATTTGCGGCCGCCATAGCTCTGAGGACGTTCCCTGTACTAGGCCTCTTCTTCCGTACCGCTGCTGATGAGTCCTGCTTCACTGCGAGATTCTGGCGTTCTGTTCTCTTTAGGAAAGGACTGGGGAGGTTTTCTTCGTCTCCGAGGTCGTATTCTGGTGATGGTAACGAGCGGGGCATTGGTACGCTGCTCGAACGTGTGATGGCTGTTGAGGTGTGGAGGTGCGGGTGCGGGAGGGGTTTGGGATGAGGGTAGGGATATGATGCGGATGAGGACGAGGATGATGAGGAGGTTGAAGACGATGATGCTATTGATGCTGTGTCGGTGGTCGATGGAGGAATAGTTGCTGACCGTGTATGTGAAGGTCGAACGGTTGATGATCTAATAGACGGTCGACGGAGTCGAGTGGGTGGTGGCGCGTTTGTGTTGACAGAACCTGCATCTGAACTTGAACCCTCCCCCTTTTCCTTTGAACGCCTCTCTCGTTCCTTCCTCGAACTTGGACTAGGCGGGGGACTATGCGCTTCCTCTTCTCTCTTCTCTTTCTCACCTCCTTCCTCGTCATCCGCGTCCTCAAAATCAAAAATCTTGGCAAAGTTCAAGCCAACTTTTGGTGAAGCGTCGAACAGATTCACTAGTTCTGTCGGCGTAGGTGTCGCAAGGGTTTCCCCAGTCGCAGTAAGGACAACGCCTTTCATTGCGGAGGGGATGAAGTTGGTGTATGCGGGGCGGGTAATGGGTGTCTCTAGTGGGCGTATACCGGATGGTTTGGGTGTCGGCTGATTATCGAACTTGCTTTGCTGTGACGGTGTTTCATGAGCTATACGACCGAGGGGTACAAGAAGGTTCTTGACTTCTTCCAGAGGTGTCTTTTCCTTCTTCCCTGTAGCTTTGTTAGAAACAAACGCATGTAAGTTGGGAGTAATACACACCCTTTGCAATGCGCTCTTCCAACTTCCTAACTTTATCTTCGACATCCTCCCGGATGCCGTCTAAACGCGCTTCCTCGATTTTCAACTCGTCTTCCCTCTTCGCAATCCACTCAATACGCTCCTCAACGGCTTTTATGCTCTGTTCCACTTCCTTTCTAATTTCTGACTCCCGTGCTACCCAAGCCTCGCAGACTTCGGTTTCGCGACGCCTGACGGCCTCCATGATTTCTTCCTCCCGTTTTGACATGGCCGACGCGACCTCTTCCTCCCGCTTCATGACGAGGACCCGGAGCTCCTCTTCACGTCTGGCGATGGCTTGTTTGACTGCGACTTCCACGTCGCGTTGCGAGGGATGACAGTTCTGCTGATTCTGTAGCTGGGCAACAACGTGTTGGAGTGCCGCTATTTCTTGGTCCTTTTGCGTAAAGAGGGTGTTGATGTGTTGTTCTTTCTCGATAATAGCCTGCTCTCGAGCGAGAACTTCGCGTTCTTTATTAACGATAGTGGTTTTGTGGGCCTTGACCGTCGATAACCTTGCTTGCGACATTAGTTACATAAAAATCGAAGTATATAACACTTACATCTTTTCTGTTTCCGCGACCTTGAAGACCAGTTCGAGACGCTCATGTTGGAGAAGTTGAGCAGCAGATGGGCGCATGGCAGGCTGAAATAGATAAGCATCATTGCGAGCTCAGGGAAACTTTGCTCACGTTTAAATTTAACATCGCCTTGATAACCCCAAACAGTGCTTGGGAATAACCTCGAGGGAGAGGTGGAATGCGCCCATTTCTAGTTACATGTTCAACACTTGACGGGAAAGGTAGGGTAGACCGTACCTAATAAGAATACTGAGTTCGGAGTGTGTTTTCGCTTCGTGAAATGGCGGCTTGAGCGCACATAGTTCGTAAATTAGACAGCCGAGGGACCAGATGTCCGATTTCGAGTCGTAAGCCTTCTCTTGCATAAGTTCCGGTGACATATAATAAGGGGTGCCAACGTATGTGTTGGCGAAGCTCGCTTGAGCTAAAGCTTTTGATAAACCGAAGTCGCCGAGCTTTACACAATTGTTTTCATCAAGGAAGACTAGATGGTAACCTGAGCCGGAGAAACTGTTGGAGAAGAAGCGGCCTTACCGTTGTCAGGCTTGAGATCCCTATGTAGAATCTGAGCCCGGCGTGAGCTACTTTCGGTATCTAACGGAACTCCAGTTGCGCCGGAGCCACTTGAGCTCCTCCCATGGCCGTTGGGATGGTGGCAATGGTGCAGCGCGAGGAGGATTTGCATGAAATAGTTCCAAATGACGTCCTCTGAGATGGGACGATTTTGCTTCATTGCTTGTTTGATGATGGCGGACAAGTCTCCACCACCGCAGTACTCCATGAGGATGTAGAGAATACCAGCGTCTCGGTCAACGTAACGGTCGTGATATCGTACAATGTGGTCGTGGTGTAAGTCTTTGAGGATGTTTCTAGAACGGGTGAGCGGCTTGGTCAAGCAGAAACAAGAAAAGACGCGTACACTTCTGATACAATTTGTTTTCTATCCCTGTCGCTCATTCTTTCGAAATTCAACTCTTTCCGCGCAAAGATCTACGCGACGGTGTCAGACAATGACGAGGTTGAAAAAGAGGTTGCGCCCACGAGTCCATCGCTTTTCCGGCGTACTTTTCGAATAATGCCAAAGGAGCCGTTGCCTATAACGTCGAGTGGGTCGTACTGGTCGAGAAAAGACGACATTGGATGGTGGGTGTAGGAAGGAAGGAGGGTCGGAGGAAATATTCAAAGTTCAACTGATCAATATGGAATTATGTCCCGTGATCGCGCCAATTGCTTACATCAGCTGCCACGTCTGGAAATAGAGGGTGTGAGGTGGCGATTGAGAAAAACAACTTTCTTCTGTACTCTAATGAGCGGCTGTATGTCCTGTTTTCTTTGACGTCTTTTCTCTTTTATTCTTCTACTGATATTCCTTCTAGTTCGTTTTCTCAATCTTGTTCGTCCGTTCCTTCCCATCTTGCCAGAGGTTTCGTCACCGGATCGCAAAGTACGTTTATTCCGAGTTGTCATAATTATCAACCCCCAACGCCCGCGAAATAGGTACCTTTCAACCAAAAGGTGCTATGGACAGCTGTAACTCTCCTCATTTTCTTGGTGTGCTCTCAAGTTCCCCTGTACGGCATCATGTCGTCAGACTCTTCAGACCCGCTTTACTGGATGCGTGTCATCATGGCGTCTAATCGTGGAACGCTTATGGAACTTGGAATTACCCCCATTGTGACATCCGGGATGATCATGCAACTTCTTGCTGGTGCAAACTTGATTGACGTCGACTTTAGCTTGAAGGAGGATCGTGCTCTGTTTAGTGGGGCTCAAAAACGTGAGTCTTCGTTCATTATGTGTTTGAACAAAATTACAAATGTTATTGCAGTCTTTGCTCTCATTATTTCCCTCGGCCAGGCCACCGTCTACGTTCTCACAGGACTCTATGGACAACCAAAGGATCTCGGCGCCGGTGTTTGTCTCCTTCTTATCATCCAACTCATCGTTGCTGCCCTTATCGTCATTCTGCTTGACGAGCTCCTCCAGAAAGGCTATGGTCTCGGATCAGGAATTAACCTTTTCATCGCTACCAACATCTGCGAGTCCATTATCTGGAAGGCCTTCTCCCCCACCACCATCAACATTGGACGAGGAGCCGAGTTCGAAGGTGCTCTTGTCGCTCTCTTCCATCTCCTCTTCACCTGGAACGATAAGGGCCGCGCCCTCAGGGAAGCTTTCTGGCGGGAGCGTCTTCCCAACGTTATGAACCTCATCTCTACTGTCGTTATCTTCGCTATCGTCATTTACCTCCAGGGATTCCGCATTGAGATTCCAGTAAAGAGCAACAAGTTCCGTGGCCAGCGTGGCACGTACCCCGTCAAGCTCTTTTACACCTCGAACATGCCCATCATGCTCCAGTCCGCTTTGACTTCCAACGTCTTCATCGTTTCCCAAATGATCGCCTCCCGCTTCCCCAGCAACCTCTTCGTTCGACTTCTTGGCGTTTGGGAGGTATGCCCCTGTTTCTTTCTTCTTTGATTATTTCGTTGATTTTTCTCTCTTTTACTCAGCCCATGGAAGACTCACCACAACTCCGCGCCACCTCTGGCATTGCATACTACATGTCACCCCCGCACACCGTCAAGGAAGCCATCCTCGACCCCATTCACACGGCCGTGTACATCGTATTTATGCTCTCCGCCTGCGCTCTCTTCTCCAAGACATGGATCGAAGTTTCTGGTTCAGGCCCTCGGGATGTAGCCAAGCAGCTCAAGGAACAACAGATGGTATTTTTCAGTCCCCTTATTTCTGTCTGTTTCTCATCGCTTTTCATGCAGGTTATGGCAGGCCACCGTGAAGGATCCATGTACAAGGAGCTCAAACGCGTCATCCCAACTGCAGCCGCATTTGGCGGTGCTATCCTCGGTCTTCTGTCAGTTGCTGCCGATCTCTCAGGCGCCATCGGAAGCGGCACTGGTATTCTCATGGCTGTTACCATCATCTACAGTTGTGCGTAACCGTTTATCTCATCTCCTAGATTCTATTTTTTTGACCGTTCTCGACGACAGACTGGGAGATCGGGATGCGCGAATCTGGGGGACCAGAAATGGCGGCGTTTGGCGATCTGTTGTAAAAGTACCACAAACTAAGCTTTATTATGGAGCTTTTGGGCTTGAGAGAGAGAAAGTAGCATCACGCGAATTAAAATGACGAGCAGCCAATTCGGGAGGGAGGAAGGGATGGATGGGGTTAATCCTTGTGTTTTTCCACTGTCCGCGAGTACAACGATTATTAACTAATATATTCCTCGTCCTGCTTTTCCTCTATCGCGTTTGAGAGTCAGTTCAAAATAGCCATGGTCCGACTGGAATGCCTGTTTTTAGCAAATGTTTGGCCTGAAAAAAAAAAGAGACTGACCACGTCCTCTAGCACCCTCGGGTTTTATTTGCAAACAATTCAAATGAATGAGGTTGAGAGCCTTCACTGCCTCCCTCGCTTTGATAACGCAGGAGATGTTGATCTCACTTGCACCCTGGCTGATCATTTCGATGTTGACATTCCCTTGTGCAAGGGTCTGAAACATCCTCCCTGCGATACCCACCATGTTCGGCATCTGTTTGCCTACTAGGGACAGGATAGCCATGTCACGGTGGATGGAGACCTGATTCATTCTTATCTATCAGTATTACTCTAAATTTCGAAACAAGGCTAAAACTCACCGTGCCGCTCTTCCTTAGTTCCGCAACCAACTGATCAAGCACTTTTTTCCCTAACCCGTCCTCGATGGCCATACTCACGTGAACCTCGCTCGTGCTGATCAAATCGACCACTACCCCGAACCGATCCAGTGTACCGAAGATCCTAGCTAAGAACCCGTGGCTTACGCTTTTCCTGTTTGAGTTGACGTTGAGGACTATGATTTTTTCTTTGATCGTCACTGCTGTGGGCAGCCTTTTGCGCTGCTCGTCCGCTGCGGCTAGTGAATTGTCGTGCGGACTTTTTGAATTTGGGGAGGCTGGTCCGTCTGGGATATCAACGACACCTTTCAGCCCATTCAAGACCAGCTCGGGATCGGGATGTATAACCGTACCCCCTCCTTTGGGGTTTTCAACGTTTTTTATCCTGATGGGGATCTTACGTCGGATGACCTGCTCCATAGTGAAAGGATGAACGACCTCGCTGCCATAGTACGTCAACTCTGCCGCTTCGTCTGGCGAGATCATGGGGATCAAGCGTGCAGTGGGCACTTTACGAGGGTCAGCCGTGAATATCCCGTCCACCTCTTTCCAGATCTGCAGCTCAGAGGCATTGAGACCTACGGCGAGAAGGGCACTGGCGAGGTCTGTGTATCCCCTGCCTATTTGGCGCAAGAGGGAGCCCGGGACGGGGCCGAAGAAGCCGGTTATGACGGGGACGCGGGCGGTGCATTGGGAGATGCGGTCGCCCATGGCGGCAGCGATGTGGTTGTAGAAAGATTGGGTGAGCGTGCTGGTGCTGGTGTCGAGGTCGTCAGAGGCAGAGGGGGGGACTATGTCTTCTAGGGAGATGTATTCTGCATCGATGCCCTGGAAATATAGTTGAGTAGGTTGGGTATGTTAGAGAGCGAAAGACCGAACCTGGTCTTTGAGGACGCAAGTCATGATCTTACATGCTAGCCTCTCGCCGAGACCGACGATGTTGTCTCTTGATCGCGGGGATATCTCGTCGATGATCTAGAGGAGGGTACGAATCGTCATAAAGTAACAGTAGTCAAATAACCATCTCTACACAGAGAAATAGGGTACGCATACCTTTGCAGCGAACAAGAAGTTCCGGAGCCATTCACAGTCCCTTTCGATTTCATCCTCGAGTTCTTGTAAGATTGCGGGGTCGCGTATGGACGATCGCGCGGCGAAAATGTGTTCGTCCCGAAGGAGGTCGACTGTTTTGTAGAATTCGGGCTCGGAGGTGGAAGATGTAGATTGGGGTGAGCCGGTCCCGCTGCTGCTGCTGCGACTGTGGCCTAGAGACATGTTGAGGATACTTTGGGTGATGGGTGTTATGGCGCCTCCTCCGGAAATGCCATTGGATTTTGTGGGCCTGGTCAAGGCTTCAGAGGAGGCACGGAGGAGGAGGTTGGTCGTTCCTAGGGCTTTTGTGGATCCTGAACGGGCAGAACAGACGATAGCAACTTTGTAGTCATCTATATAGGTTCTAGTAGGGAGATGTGAGACGGAATTCAACGGAAGAAAAAGTAAGGACGTACGAAACAATGTCTTTTGCAATCTTTACGGCAAATTTGCCTACACTTGTCCCACCGTATTTTTGAACTAGCCAAGGAGTATCTGACATTGAGGTGAGATCAAAAAAAGAGATTTATTGAAGCACGTGGTGCAACGCCTTTCTTTTTGTATCCTCATGGACTACCTCAGTACAGGACAGCAACAGGCCCTCGCTCAGCTCAGAGAAATTATCAATGGCGCAGACGACGACGTGGCGATTGGTGTGTTGAGCAGCGTCGACTGGGATGTCCCTGTTCGTTGTTTCTTATATCTTTTCAATTTATCGTACTTACCGACGTATAGAGAGCCGCCGAGCTCATTTTCGGTTCTACATCTACGTCTGCAGTATCAGACCGAATAATAGATACATTTGAAATCGACGATACGCACCAGAGTATACCGGAACGACAACCCAGCACTTCTGTCCTAGCCACACTCACCCGCCCCGTCTTCTCCTTCCTTGCGTTTCCATTCCACGTTCTATCCAACGTGTTCCGTTTCATATTTGCCATTCTACGCATTCCGTTTCCTTCGCTCCGGTTCACGAGTCTCAATTTCTATCGACCCCTGCGACCCAGACCTACCTTTCGCAGAGGGCCAGACAGTTGGTTGAGAGAGCTGGAAGAAGAGACGGGCGCGGTGTCCATTGGCCGGCTCAAGCTACCAAGAGGGACTACCTCGTCTATAGGCTTGGATGCGGGCCCGTCGTCGTTGACGTCTCGCGCTGCTGCCGGCAACTCGGGTTCGGGTAATGGGTTTACGGAGGATGGGAGGAAGGTTTTGCCAGATTTTGTATTGCGGGGCTATGAGGAAACCTTGAGGATGTGTCAGAGGGATGCGAAGATTGCGTGCATTGTTTTGGTCAGTGAGGAGCATGATGATGTTGCTGAATTTAAACGGTGCGTGCGTTGGTTTTTGGAATGTGCGGCTGCTTACCTCGTGTAGCTCCACTCTTACCGACGCTGCGTTTGTGAAATCGTTGTATGACAATGGTATCGTAGTATGGGGAGGCGACGTTCGCGATCAAGATGCCTGGTCTGGTAAGCAGACACCTTGGTACGCTTTCCCCCACTAACCTCCCCCATTAGCCGCTGAGAAGCTGCAAGCAACAACCTACCCCTTTGTCGCTTTCATAGCATTACAACCCGGCCGTACACCTTCCTCTTCCTCATCCCCACGCACCTCCGCCCCACCAACTCTTACAGTCCTCTCTAGGCATCAAGGCCGCAGCGTTCCTTCCTCTGCGCCAACGTCCGCTCAAACACTGCTTAACCATCTCGAACAACAGGTCATTCCTAGGGTCACCCCATTTTTGGAGCGCCTCCGTGCCACGCAGAGAGACAGGGAGCGGGACAGGCAGCTGAGACAAGATCAGGACCGTGCCTTTAGAGATTCAGCGCAGAGGGATAAGGAGAGGATTGAGGCTGCTATTAGGGCAGAGAGTGCTCAGCAGCAGGCGAGGATCCAGGCGGAAGAGGAGGAGAGGGAAAGACGGCGACAAGCGGAGGTGGAGAAGCAGAAGGAGGTTGTGAGGATGGGGTGGAGGAGGTGGACAAGGCGGGTGTTTGCGAGTGAGCAGAGAAAGAGTGGAAGTCTGCGTGTTGCCATTCGGTTGCCGAGTGGGGGGCGATTCGTGCATCAGTTCGAGGGCTCTGCGACGTTGACGACGTTGTACGCGCTTGTGGACGCGCAATTGATCCCGGGAGAGTTTGAGTCGCGTGATGATCCTCTTTCACCGCCTGATTTGGATGGCGTTGAGGGTGGGAGGTTGGCGTTGCTTGAGACGCAGGTTGAGAGCTACCAGAGCCCGACGGAGTATTGGGGATTCCTGGTTGTGTCTGCGTATCCAAGGGTGGAGATACCCTGGCGGAAAGGTGTGCTGTTGGGCACTATAGAGCAACTTAGAGGTGGTGGACAGGTTGTTGTTGAGTTGACTCAGAATGGGTTGGCGGGGAGTCGGAGGAGTTCGAGTGAACATGTTCCTTCTTCCAGCGTTGATGATGGGTATAGCACGGAGGATAGCGAGTAGATATTTGGTGAGGCGGGTTATACAATTATTATATATTGCGTGCAGGTATAGACATGACTACTGGCTCAGAATTGTGCGCACGAAGGATTCGTAGTTGACGTTCCCGTCGCTAATTTCATCATCAGTCGCCAATCTACGCGATGTAAGAGGGGACAACTCACGCGCCGATCTGAACCCCCTTCAACAGTTCGTCTACCTCCTCATCTGACATCTTCTCTCCCAGTTGCGTTAGGACATATCTCAGCTCTCCAGCACCGATGAACCCGTTCCCTTCTTTATCGAATACCTGGAACCCACGGATGAACTCCTCTGGAAGAAATCGCCTGATTTAGCATCTTCAGGCAGCGAAGCAAGATGAGAACACGTACCTGGTGTCCCTGCGGGTTTGAACCCATCTGGACGATTTAGAATTGACAGGAAGGCCTTGTAGTCCACTGTAGGTTGGGAGGTTGATGATCAATGGGAGGGGTGGTAGAGAGTACGGATGGACGCACCATCGCGTGGTGCAGATGATACAATCTCTGCTACCTCTGCTTGAGTAGGATTCTGGCCTAGGGCGCGTAAAAGGTCGCCTAGTGTCTCGCGAGGGACGGCGCCGTTTCCTCGTTTATCGAAGAGGGCAAAGGCCTCTTTGTATTCTGATAGATAATAAAATGTAAGTTTGTCAAGAGATCAAATTTGAAGCGTACCTGCGTTATCGCTCTTTAGAAGAGATTAGATAGGTTGAAATTCAGGGGAATCGGACACGTACCATGAGGGTAAGGGAGAGATGGAGGTCTGTTTATCGATGTTTGGAATAGAAGCTCTTGGATTCAACTCTGGGCGTTCATGTCGGATATCCCACTGCGATCCCTTCGACGAAACAAGCCCCAATATTTTCCTATTAACAACGACGACGACCCACGACCCATTTCTCTAGCATCCCCAGCCATGCCTACCAGCGTCGCAGCTGTCGCATCTACCTCTAGGAATAACCACAAGCGACCCAAGGGGAGACAGAGGGAGAGATATGTCGACGACCCACGGGATTCAGAGGGGGCTCATCTTTTGGCTGGCCATTATGATCAGGGGGAGGAAGGGGAGGAGGAAGAGGAGCAGCCCCAGCACATTCCAGTCACGCCCCACAAGGACGTTGGCAAGGACAAATCGAGGACGATACCTTTCAACCCACCGGAGAAACTCCAGTCCCGCCATCCACCCAACATTGTACGGAATCAAAAGTACAACGCGTTTACCTTCCTCCCTATCGTGTTCTATGAACAGTTCAAGTTTTTCTTCAACTTGTATTTCCTTCTAGTTGCCTTGTCGCAATTTATACCCGCACTTAAGATTGGTACGTTCTTGGTTCTTTTTTTGACGTTTGGAATGTTGGTTAATATCTGGTTTAGGTTTTATCGTTACTTATATCGCCCCCCTCGCCTTTGTCCTGTGTGTAACCATGGGGAAGGAAGCCTATGACGACTACAAACGACACATGCGAGACACGGAAGCCAATTCCCAACGCTACCTCGTCCTTGACCGACCCACCACGCATGACGAGTCTTCTTTAGAGGAGGTCTATCTGAATACACACGCGAACACGCGTTCCGTGCCCTCGTCATCTCTCCGCGTGGGCGACCTCGTTCACTTGGAGAAGAATCAGCGCGTTCCTGCTGACCTTATCCTCCTTCGCACTTCGGACGCATCGGGGACGTGTTTTATCCGAACAGACCAACTGGACGGTGAGACGGACTGGAAGTTGCGTGTTGCTGTTCCGGAATGCCAGAAGCTGGATGAGGGGGATTTGGTTAGGCTGGATGCGGAGATATACGGTGTGTTTTCAAGTTTTCAAAAACTGTGCTTTTCTGATTTGTATCTCAGCTGATGCACCGATCAAGGATATCCATTCTTTTATAGGGACTTTTACTTTGAACAAGCCACCCGTGCCTTTGGATAGGAATGGCAACGACCTACCGCTACATGCCTTGCCACCCTCCGTTTCGCCGCTAACGGCGGAGAACCTCCTTTGGTCAAATACCGTACTCGCTGCTGGATCTGCCGTCGGTTTTGTCGTGTACACTGGTGCTGAAACGCGCGCCGTTATGAATACGAGTCACCCAAAGACGAAAGTTGGACTATTGGATCTGGAGATCAACAGATTGTCCAAGGTGAGGCTTCCGTGTCTGAAACCATTTGCGGTTAGTAATCTTCTTCTTAGATCTTGTGCGCCGTTACCTTTGTGCTCTCAGTGGTTCTCGTAGCACTGAATGGGTTCCGAGGGCCTTGGTATATCTACGTCTTCCGGTTCTTGATTTTGTTCTCCTCCATCATCCCGATTAGGTGCGTGCTCCTTTATTTTTTTCCCGTACTTTGCTGACAAACTGTTTAGTTTACGAGTGAACTTGGACATGGGCAAAACGGTGTATGCATCACAAATCATGAATGACAGTGAGATTCCGAATACTATCGTCCGGACGAGTACGCTACCGGAAGAGTTGGGGAGGATAACTTACCTCCTCAGCGATAAGACGGGAACTTTGACGCAGAACGGTATGTGTGAATCTTTTGCCGAGATGGGTCAATTCAACTTTTTTGTCTGCATAGAAATGGAGATGAAGAAGCTGCACATGGGAACCATGTCGTATGGGTCTGATTCGATGGACGAGGTTGCTCATCAGTTGGCGGTCGCTTTCGGTGCTGATCAGGGTATGTGCGAATACCAAGTGTATTGACGGACGTCTGATGATATTGTAGGACACTTGAGACAAGGATCCCTGTCTACTGGAGCGCAAATGGCTACGAGAGGGCGAAGAGACATGTCCTCGCGAGTAAGAGATGTCGTCCTCAGTCTTGCTCTCTGTCACAACGTGGGTTTTTGAGCATTCTCTTCCTCACAGCAAATTAATCTTTGAGTAGGTCACCCCTGTCACCAATGATGACGGCACCGTGACGTATCAAGCGTCTTCGCCAGACGAAGTCGCCATCGTCACTTGGACGGCGTCTGTTGGCCTCACTCTCGTCTTTCGAGACCGCACGCGCATGGAGCTACAAACTCCCTCGGGGTCACTCATCAAGTTTGATGTCCTCGACATATTCCCCTTTACCTCCGAGTCCAAACGCATGGGCATCGTCGTGCGTGATTCTCAAACAGGCGAAATTACCTTTTTACAAAAAGGTGCAGACGTGGTCATGGCAAAGATCGTGCAGCGGAACGATTGGTTGGAGGAGGAGACGGCGAATATGGCCAGGGAGGGGCTGCGTACCCTTGTTGTGGCTCGGAAGCGGCTCAGCACACCGATGTACAATGAGTTTGCGGCGCGGTATCATGAAGCGACGATTAAGCTTGATGGGAGAAACGAGGCCATGGCGGGTGTTGTTGCCGAGTATCTGGAGCATGATTTGGAGCTGTTGGGTCTGACGGGCGTGGAGGATAAACTTCAGGATGACGTTAAATCTACGTTGGAGTTGTTGAGGAATGCGGGGATCAAGATCTGGATGTTGACTGGGGATAAGGTTGAGACGGCGAGGTGTATCGCGATTTCAACGAAGCTGGTCGCGAGGAATCAGTATATCCACGAGATGTCCAAGCGTACGTTTTCTTCGACTTCTTTTGTGGTGGAATCCGGGGTGAACGTGTTTTTCAGTGAAGAATTCTGATCAAGCGCGAGACCAGCTGGAGTTTCTTCAGAATAAACTGGATTGCTGTCTGGTCATTGATGGGGAGTCGTTGCAGGTATGATGTCTCTTTCACTTTTTTGACGCGTTCCAGACCTTGCATGCGATACACAGCTCTGCCTCAACCTCTTCCAAAACGAGTTCATAGAGATCGCGACAAAGTTGTCCGCTGTTGTAGCATGTCGTTGTTCGCCGACACAAAAAGCGGACGTGGCGCGGCTAATTCGAAAGTTCACGAAGAAGAGGGTATGCTGCATTGGTGACGGCGGTAACGACGTTAGTATGATTCAAGCAGCGGATGTCGGTTCGTCGTTCCTGATTTACCCTTTCGCGTTACTTTCTCATTGCAATGCAGGCGTCGGGATCGTCGGCAAAGAAGGCAAACAAGCCTCCCTCGCAGCAGACTTTTCCGTTACGCAGTTCAGCTTCCTCACGAAACTTCTCCTGTGGCATGGTCGAAATTCATACAGGCGTTCAGCCAAGCTTGCCCAATTCGTCATTCATCGTGGCCTCATCATCTCCGTTATGCAAGCTGTGTTTTCGGCCATCTTCTACTTTGCGCCGATTGCCCTGTATCAGGGATGGCTGATGGTGGGGTATGCGACGATATATACAATGGCTCCCGTGTTTTCCTTGGTTCTTGATCGGGATGTTAGCGAGGATTTGGCACTGCTTTATCCCGAGCTCTATAAAGAACTGACAAAAGTATATTGGCTTGATTATTGCTGTCTGAGTGCTGATGACGGTCCCCATCGCAGGGACGTGCTTTATCCTACAAAACCTTCTTCCAGTGGTTGATGATCAGCCTTTACCAAGGTCAGATATTCTATCTTCTCCCAGTAATTGACTTATACTTTTTCATGCAGGTGCTGCTATCATGATTATGTCCCTTGTTCTGTTTGAGAATGAGTTTCTGCATATTGTTTCAATTTCATTCACCGCTCTTATTCTGAATGAACTTATTATGGTTGCATTGGAGATCACTACATGGTATGCATGCTTCTTTATTGCTGTTACTTCTCTGATACCATATCTGATAGGCATATTTATATGATTGTTTCTGAGGTTGTTACCCTCTTCTTCTACATTATCAGCATTGCCTTCCTGCCAGAATACTTTGGTATGGCTATCCACTTTTTGACTTGGCATTTATTTAACTGACCATCTTTTTTGATAATCATCAAGATCTGTCATTTGTTGTTTCTCTTGGTTTTGGATGGAAAGTGGCAGTTATTGTTGCCATAAGCACCCTTCCTCTATACATCATCAAGCTCATTCACATGAGACTAGCACCTGCAGCATCAAGTAAACTTTTGTAGATAATTATAATATGACATAAAAATACCAGCCCACCACCTGCTTTAGATTGAAAGCCCAGCCTGTCTCTGTGTTTTTTTTTGTTGTGAAAAATCTATGCATGCAGCTGAGCAGCATCTGCTGACCAAAGTGAAAGTGATTATTTTGATTTGTTGACTGACACATATCTTGGGGGCTTTCGTCATTTGGTCAAGTGTTTTTTGTGATATTTGCATTATATCAGATCCCAAGTCAACGATTACTGGAACAGTTTTACTGTTAACATCATTTATGGAGGCATAAGCCTCAGTTGCCTCAGTGCCGGAAAAGGGGTATCCTGGAGGACACACTAAGTGTTTGGACAGCTCTATAAGTTCCTCGTTACCTTCCTGTACTCAAGTTGTTAATGAGGTTGTATTGATCTTGTGAGCTAGCCAGCGTTTTATTTTCCTTTTGATTTCTGGCAGCTTTCTTCAAACAATGAATTCTGATGATAAGCAGGGCACTGTAGAATAGGGATTCCTCAAATTAGATTCCCAACTAAGAAAAGAAGCATCAATTACAATAAGTCGTCGCATCCAGGAATGACCAGAGTTTTTGCAAGGCCCACCTCCAAGAGTCCACTGAATATCACACTCCTCATACAATAAAGCCTTATCCTTCTTCTCTCATAGAATTGATGGATAAAACATCAGGGCACCAACAACAACTGGGAGAGCCATGTGTTCATCAAAGGAGAAGAATAAGCAGTTTGAATCACTTGTGTGTCTTGAAGTATGAAGACAGGAAGGATCCACAGTGCAGACATGTGGCCAGAGTTTGTCATCAAATGAAAAACTTCGTTCTTGGTACCTTGTGCAGAAGATAAGATAGAGTGGGTCCAAAATGTTCTGTTCAATGAATCTAGGAACCATATTTCCAGCAATAATGCAATGTAGATCCAGTAACTGGGATTGTGTAGGAGACACAACTGAATGGGAAAGTTTGTTGGATGTGAGCTCTGGATAGGCACAAAATATGCCGTGCTTGTTGATATAATTCATAGTGTGTGTCAAAGAAGAATGGATGATAGCAGTGACAAGAGAAGGGGAAGATGTCATGATCAGATTGACACAAAGGTCACGGTTTGAATGATGTGTTATGAGTCCTTACGAGTTTACAAGTAAGACTCATTCTTTATCAACTGAGGACTTAGGCAAATTTTTTATTCATTCATTCATTGATTCATTTACCTTTCATCACCATGGGAACCTTTTCCCTTAAACAGCAAAGCACCCATAAAATCTCGAAAAATAGCCAGAAAATCAGCAAAAAATATGTAAAAAATCAGAATATTGCTTCGTAAGTTGGGGAGGCTGTGTTCAGGGTTCAGGGTCTATATCTAAATATAGAAACTAGCTAAAAGTTGCCAAAAAATCAGCAAAAATAAGAGTGATCTTCTCTGTTGCCCTGATGTTGAAGGGGCTGTGTTCAGGGTTCAGGGTCCATATCCAAATATAGAAAATGTTATTACATTATGAAATGTGATCATATCATCTGACTAGCATTCTTTCTTACTAAGCCATTGGCTCCAAGATATGTATTAATATATGACTATTTCCAAAAGTGTCCAATTTTTTCAGTATTCTGCATTTTTCTCAATAAGGAATGATCTGTATAACTTTATTTATATATATTTGTAAAGCTAAGGAAAGGGGCTGCTGTGCTTCTGATACTGTGGGAATTTTGACCCAAAAAAGGAAATTAGTCACAAGTATATAGAGCACACTGTTACAGGTCACAGAATATAACTAGCTATATACTTTTCTGAGATATACACAAAACAAGACTGTGGGAGGATTTTTCCATAACCAGAAAATTTGTTATAAAATTGGAAAAAATTCCTAGAAAATCCAAAAAAAAAAAGTGCCTATTTTTGAAGTAGAACTACTAACATCACATATTCAGTTGTACATAGTTGTTTGTTTATCATGTATACAAAGGGAACCCTACCTTAGGGTTACCTATCTTTCGATATCATCACCACTTGCATCGTATGTTTGCGCACTAGCGTCTCATGTCAACACAAGCCTGCTAGGCTTGTGTACCTTACCAACAACACGTCCAGCTGGCTGAGCACCCTGTAACTGCTCACTTACCGGGATAAGCACTGACATGTTGTCAGCCACCCACAACTTCTCCTCACGACCAACTACACGAGGAGTTTACAAACACCATTTCACAATGGTGGGGGCACTGCAGACTTCACCAAAGCATAGTGAAGTCCGCTATTCAAAGGATTAGGAGAAGTGTGGAAGGAGGGAAGATGGAGAAACAGGAGGAAGAGGTTCAGTAGTGAAGGCTGCAGCTCGTGTTACCATGGTGGGTCTTTCATGAACAATCAAGCATCCTCCCTAATGGCTCCATCTTGAATTCTTGAATCACTGCTTGTGCTACCATGGTGGGTTCAAGATCTCAATTGGAGATCGACCATTGAGAAAGGACAACAGATTGGAGAGGAGGGACGAGGAATGGGTATACAGGGAGAGTCCAAGGTGAAACATACCTCTGCAGCTCGCAGTCATGCAGCAGGTTGTGCATCAATCGAGGATATCTCCCAGGAGTTTTCTATCTATGGACTATGGATCACTGCTCGTGTTTTCGCAGCGGATCTAAGGTCCATGAGGGAAAACTTCACCCAGCAATCAATGAGCATCAGGGATTTCACACTTACGCAGCCTTGATTCACTTGTCAATTATTCCTCGAGGTCTCAAGGGTTCAAGCTTGCACTTATGCAGATGAATCCATCGAGGCATGTCAGTACTAGCTAAAGTGGATTCGATATGTGTCTACACGATTGAGGAAGTGCACTAGCTAGGCATAAGGACCATCCTAGCTGCCTGAAAGAATGAGCAATTTAGCATAAGCCTGTGCTTCCACAGCTAGTTAGATTCTTATCAACTGAAGGGTGAGCAAGGTGCAGCTCTAACCAGATGAAACCATACTCATGCCTATGCGGTTAGGATGAATCTCAGAAGAGTTTCGCATATAAGGAGTGGCAGCCTAATCTATGGACTACTGGATATCACAATTATGCAGCTGACTGTCTGTAGAGGCAACTGTACAAATTATATCAATGGTCCTGAACTGTAATGAAGGATTCAACTCCTTCATGTCCATTCATTTCATCTCTATTACTTTGATATACTTTCCACTGATCAAACCCTTTTCGGAAACTGCAGTATAGTAAGTCACACTAGATCACGTGCTTCTCATGTTTGTAACACGTTGTTGACACATGCAATGCATCGATTCTTTACTCTCACCACCACTGTGTTTTGCACACTCGAAGCGATGTTCTATCGTGCTTCCAACCTCAGAAAGTAAGTTGTGTAGTTCAGGGTCCTCACTAACGCTTCTATTATATAGCAAGCATCAGATCAGTCCTAATCTACATTTACACATATAGTGTCTGATATCCAGCTTTCCGTGGATTTCCCAGAAAGTAGAAGAGGTTGTAGCCCCGGATTTGCAGAGCTCACACAACCTCATCTCGGATACGCCTGTGACCGTCTTTTCATAAGAGGGTCTCCTCACCTTTTAGACCTAACTCTCTTGATGTTCATCAGGACTATGCATTGTTAGTAAGTTACTACGGAAACTCATGGAACACCTGCTACATGAACCCTCTATCTCCTGTTTCCTGTCATCTGTTCATATTGATTGTCAGTTTTCATTGGTGGTGCAAACCTTACTGATTTCAGTCTACTGCTCCATTGGAAGCTATGCCCAACCATGTTAAAAGACACCCATTACAAGTTGGATATCTAACACATTCTTCCTACTACCTCCCAACTCGATACTATGAATGTCTGGTTCTAATTGTAAAGCGACTCTCTCTGGGACAGGGCAGACAGGCCAGCTTGCCCCTTGATCCTCTTGATCTGCTTCAAATCCCCTGTGACCAATTCCCCCCTGAGGAAAAGAGGTTCTCAAGCAGGTGGATCCTCAACGATCCTGCAGGTTGAAGAGGAATTGGATAGAACTTTACAAACAGTGGAAGGCAGCCCTAGTCCCTCCAGAGAGGGAAATCAGCTACCAGACCCTATGGTTCCATCTTCCATCTCAGAATCAGCTCCAGTAGAAGCCATTTGAGGTATCATCAACCGGAGTCGAAAGGGCATGGATAGGGAAACCCATCTATTTGCACACGCACCTCATCTGAAGATGGCCCCAGCGTATGAAGAAACTTTGACTGAGTCGATTGTCCATTGTCATCATGCATGGGACCCAGCTGAAGATGTAGACCCTTTACAGGAATTTGGAGCAGAGGAAGGAGTACTACAAGGGCTAACCCCTACACAAACTATGCCTTTCTGCAACATACTCATTCATTGGACAGCTCCGCATCAGAACCTAGAATGGAAGAATCTGGAAGACTATACACAGCTATTATGTGCGATGACTCTATCACAAAGAGACATAGAGTTGATACCCGAGAAAGGGAAATCATATTATGCACTACACTATAAGATTCTGATGCACACCTACGAAGTCACGCTGGGAATCACACAGATTATCTCCATGATAGATCAACTACTGGCCAGGTCGGCACGTCATTCCTTCAGCATTGACAAGGGGTTCGTCATCCTTAAACAACTAGCCAGTACTTTACAGTGCCCCACCTATTCCTGCAGGAATCCAGTCATTCCAGTGGAATCCACAGGAATCCAGTGGAATTACACAGGAATCCAGGGAATTACACAGGAATTCCACTGGAATAGGACTGGAATCAAGCATAATAAGTGTTTTTCAACTCCAACCTTATCCTGATGACTTAGTACCCAGAATTCCTTATAAGATCAAATTCTAATGTCTTTCATAATAGCAGGAAATGCATTTTACTACATACAGGACAAGGAGGGGGTACATTGTCCTACATAATTCTACATAGTACTACATAAAGCTTATATTAAGGGAAAGGAAGGGGGAGGGAGAAGGAAGGGGGAGGGAGAAGGAAGGGGGAGGGAAAAGGAAGGGAGGAGGAAGGGTGAATGGATAAGGAAGGGGAGAGGAAAGCTGAATGGACAAGGAAGGGGGAGGGTCAAAGAAGGGGGAGGGACAAGGAAAGGGGGAGGAAGGGTGGATGGATAAGGAAGGGGGGAGGAAGGGTGAATGGAGGGACAACATGTCATTGTGAGTTTGCGTGGATGTGGTTGTGTTTGCGTGGACATGGTTGTGTTTGTGTGGACATGTTGTGCCATCGTCTGGCATTGACATGTCATCTGTGGCATTGTTTTGTGGGTGCTGGCAGTAAACGTGGGCACTGGGTGTTGTTTTGTGTCCGTTGGGCATCTGTGGGCAGGGTAGTGTCGTCATGGGTGCTTAGTGTTTAAAGGTTCAGTTCAGTCTGGTTTTTTGCCCTGAAAACGCGCAACCGTGGACTGCAACCGGTCAAGGACTGACCCAGATATTGAGGGAACCAAACCGAACCACCTAGGACCGGTCTTTTGCGGTCCATGATACCGGTTCAGACCGGTTTTTTTGCGTATAATTTATTATACCAATATAAACCATTTGTATCTCAAACATTATTACTCTGAAAAATAAACAGGTTATATAAAATAGTAAAGCATATAAATACCCGTCATTCTACCAATTTTCAAGAGATTTAATGAAGATTTGACATTGCTATGACTGAAACCGAATTACATCTCCTAGAGACTCGGGTAAAATATGGATTTGGTTATATCTTTCTCAATTCTTAACTGTTTTTGATGAAACAAAAACCCAATAAAAGGCAATAAACGTGGTTACAAGGCTATATAATGCACGTGACCGTTTAACTGGTTGCAACCGATTAAAACCAGTCTTTGAACGGTTTTAAAAGATTTTCGAAATGAGGCAACTGGCAACCGGACCAACCCCAAATTGGGGCAACTGCAACCGAAAAAAAGACCGGACCACGGTCTGGTTCAGTTTGGTCCACCTGTTTTTTGTGGTCCTATGGACTGAACCTTTAAACACTATGGGTGCTGAGTGTTTTTTGTGGGCGCTAGGTTGTTGTTCCGTGGGCAGTGGGTGTTGTTTCTCGTGGGTGGTGGGCGGTGTTTTTCATGGGTGGTGGGTTTTTTTCATGTGTGCTGGGTTGTTGTTCATGGGCGTGTGTTGGATTGTGGTGGGTGCTGGTCACTGTTGGTTGACGGTGGCAGTTGTGGATGGTGGTGGCGCTTGCGGATGGTGGTGCCACATCATTGTCATTGTCCTTTTGATTGCCACGTCACTGGCAGCGACGTGGCACCTGGATTGTGAGGAATGAGGGGCGAGGGGGCTTATTACTCACCTGGGTGGCCGAAAACAACCAGACAGTGACAATGTGGTATGTCATCACTGTCAGACGACAAGTTGCCACGTCGCCTGGACCTTGCCCACACTCAGTTTGTTGGTGACCCAGTTGTGGTTGCTGGTCAGCACCAGAGTGTGGCGTGGTCGTGGTTTGTGGTCAACACGGTTGTTGCTGGTTAATGCAAGCCCCGTGGGTGTGACAAACATGGTTGGTGGCGATGGTGGGTGGTGAAGAAGAGTGGCGTGTTTGTATCAGCAGGTTGCCAAATAATCATTGTTTGGCATCGGTCAGAAATAAATAAACTATAATTAGTAACAAATACAACAAATAAATAATGGATTCAATGGAGTACTGTTCCTGCTCATTCCAGGGGACACCATTCCTGCTCATTCCGGGGACCATTCTGGTGTAAATTCCGGAATAATCAGATTCCACCAGAATGAGAAAACACAGGAATGACCAGAATCCTGCAGGAATAGGGGGGGCACTGATAAGACCTCCAACTAGCTATGGGGGAGGACACGGACCACATCCAACTAAGTTTCTACATGTTACAAATCCGATGCAAGGGTGCAGTGAACCACATACACCAAGACCTCAATTCCATACAGGCTATCTTCGGACAATTCAATAATGCACTGACTAACCGTTCTTACAACTCAACTCTCTCGGATATATGGTCGAACTATGGCCAACTACCTCCACATTTAGAAGTAGCCAGGCATATGCTGAGGGAAGATTATCAGAGGGAGATGCCTGAGCATTTACAAAGCTACAAGGACAAGCTAGTAGAAGAATGGGTCAAATCAGGGAGAGAGATAAATGCTTGTCCTTACGAGAGGAAACCAGCTCATTACCCACAGTTAAAATACAATGAGCAGTTTGATTCGCCACGAGCATGGAGTCGTATGCAAGGCTCCTTGCCAATAATGGCACCTAGCCAACCTTTGGTCTTTGGTAGTGTGTTCTCCAGAGATCAGAGATGTGCTCCTCCACCTACTTCCATTTCCATGGCTGTAAGCCGTAATCACCCTCTTAGTCACTTTGCAGGTCTCAATTCTAACATGGGAGATGAGGAAGGGAGAGAGGGTGAGGACTCAGACCCCCATAATCCATGGATCACCGTTCAATCAGGTCACTCTCATAGCACTCATTCGAGGCCTACCCATGTCAATAAGAATACTTGTTTCGCCAGTCCTCATGAAGATCATCCATCAACTCTGGCGATTCGTATGATGGATAGTTTCAGCTACATGAGACAAGGAAGGAGTGGGAGAAGCTTGAATGGAGGTGGTCCTCCCGACAGAGATAGTCCCCCAGGTGAAGGATTGCTGTCAGGACCCAGGTATCCTGCTCAGCAAAACAATGAAGGTCTACCTCCTTTCCAAGGCCATGCACAAAACTCAGGGCAAGGACCTCCCAGAGGTGAACCCCCTGGCGGTGATCCCAGTTACAGTATCAACCCTGAGGAGAAAGGCCCAGAGGATAAAAAGAACAAAGGGGAATGGCAATTGAATAACAAAATCAGCATGGGAATGATCCTGCAGTGGGACGGAAACCCGACTACAATGATCGACTACATTATGGAAATTGCTTTACTAGCTCAACTTTCAAAAAGACTCTTCAAGGAAATAGGGCAGATAGCACCCATTAGATGGACAGGTTCTGTGAAAGGATGGTGGATGACCCTGCCTAGGGCAGATCAAGCCTACTTTTCACAGGACTGGGAATGCCTTATGACAGGAATGCATGATCATTTCATGAATGATGAATGGCTTAACAATAGGGGAATCAAATTTAATGCCATGTGATTCCATCGAGGCCACACACATTCCTGTGAAACTCCTGAAGAGTACTTCAACTGTCGTATCTGTCTTCATATGGTTCTCCATCTGAGAGAAATAGACAGGTCTATGGTCACCCATCGACTCATGAACTGGCAGCCTATCTTGTGGAGTTCCATCCTCAACACCATTTCATGTCCCAGTATTGTGCAACTCATAAAGTTAGCTAAAGTGATGGAAGCCAACCTCATAGCTCGGCATTATAATGGTCTGCATATCGAGAAGGCGAAGTCAGTTCACACTGTCAAAGCAACTACTCCAGAGGACTCCAATAAGAGCAGGACAGAGCTTAACATCATCAGAGAAGCACAGGTTGTAGTGAGGAATAAACAGGAAGCATACAGATTGGCCCAAGGGTCGAACCATTGCTGGCTACAGTTACAGCCAAGATGACTTGGTAGTCAGCAAAACTCCTCCCCCTGGTCCTTGCTTCATTTGCCTCAGTCCCAAACACTTCTTCAGAGATTGCCCACATAACACTAGATTCTTTACAAAAGCAGCTCATTCAGTAGATGTGACGATAGACCAAGAGGAACTAAAGGAATTGGATATACAGTTGAGTGCAAAAAGAATGAAGGTTGGTTCATTTTTCTGGTTCTTTCTAAGAATCTATTGTACCTCAAATGTATTTGTGTATTCTTTTACATTATGTAGTTGTGTTACACTTCCCTTGGTATGGACTAATTTCAGTGAAAGCTGGAGCCTTGAGAAGGTTTTTATTCTGGAGCACTTCAGTCACCCACCTTGAACAAGCTATTAGCTAGGAAATCTTGAAAAATTATCCAGGCTAATAGATCCTCTGGCTGTTTTTTTTTGGCCTTTGGATAGAAATATATTATTGGATTTGATAGAAAATGTTTGACCTCTAACATTGTGACCAGAAATATTTGGGTAGATAAATTGTGTTCAAAAATATCCTAGTCAAGTGAAAGTGGTCAGAAATGTTTGAAGGGTGTCAGACTGGTAAGAAATGTTTGAAGGGTGTCAGACTGGTAAGAAATGTTTGAGCCAAGTCAAACTGGCCAGAAATGTTTGAGGTGTGCCAGAGTGACTAGAAATGTTTCAGTGGTGTGACATCGCTCGGATATGTTTTAAGCATGTCACACTGCTAAAAAATCTTTTGGCCTTGTCACATGGCTAGAACATTTCCGACCAGTGTCACGGGGTATCTGGGGTCCCAGTTTCAGAAAAAAAACTTGGTTTTTCTGGCACAGTTCTCTCAATATTTTGCACATGGCTTTTTTTTTGTTTCTTATTGGAGTTACAATCCAAAATCATATA